GCTGCTTACCTATTGCAGATTCAGTCTTCCCAGCCTGGTGCAGGTCTACAATTTTGTTTCTGGTGTCCTTTGACAGCTCTTTGGTCTTGGCCATAGTGGAGTTTGGAGTGTGACTGTTTGAGGTTGTGGACAGGTGTCTTTTATACTGATAACAAGTTCAAACAGGTGCCATTAATACAGGCAACGAGTGGAGGACAGAGGAGCCTCTTAAATAATAAATTACAGGTTTGTGAGAGCCAGAAATCTTGCTTGTTTGTAGGTGACCAAATACTTATTTTCCACCATAATTTGCAAATAAATTCATAAAAAATCCTACAATGTGATTTTCTGGAATTTTTTTTCTCAATTTGTCTGTCATAGTTGACATGTACCTATGATGCAAATTACAGTTCTCTCTCATCTTTTTAAGTGGGAGAACTTGCACAATTGGTGGCTGACTAAATACTTTTTTTCCCCACTGTATCTCACCGGAGAAAACATCAGAGCGAGCGAAACAGTGCCCCTCTGTCTCTGTATGTGTAGCATATCTATCTGATTCTGTCTGGTCAAAAAGAGTAAGACATTGTTGCCGCCCGTAGCATTGAATGCAAGGGAAGCCAGCGAGCATTTGGTTTCCCTTGATAAAAAAATAATAATACAATAATAACCACTGAGTGAGCTCAACTGTGAATGGCCTGCCGCACCAAAAGAAAAGTGTCAAGGGAAGCAAGTTTGGATTTGGCTTTGCACCAATTACATCACATCAAGCTAAACGTCATTGACAGAAAAAATACTTGAATTGTGGCATCTTGTTGTGTTGTCCTCTGGTGGCTAGCTAGCTAGCTAGCTAAAATTGTCCCTTTCCTAAATTAGCCATGGGCGGAGATAGGGATTTGGACTTCCTAAATTAGCCATGGGCGGAGATAGGGATTTGGACTTCCTAAATTAGCCATGGGCGGAATTATCCGTACCGGCCAATGATTATAACGGTGATTCTGATCCAACCACGCATTCACACACACACACAGAGAAATTGTACAATGGACAGCCACATGATATTTAGCTTACGTTGACTAGACTAAATTGTTTTTGGAATCTTTTAGTTGTCACTGTATTAGACTAAGCATAGGTGATTTGATTATGTTAAAATGTTGAAGTTGAAATGGTACTGGAATAGTGGAGGCAGCTCCTGTTTTCTTTGCGACTTGTGGTAACTCTCCAGTGTTCTAAATCGATAGTTGTTTACTGGTCCGAAAATGTCAGAAACATTCACTTGATTGCCCATGCTGTAGGTCATGTAACTGTTTGTTACATGCAATATGCTTTGTGGACTCCACCGGACAGATGTTGCTCTCCAGTTTTGTAATGAAACAAATGTGTGGTTGAATTTATTCTGCCACTGTGTCTTCTTACTGTATCGGCCTTAGGCCTACATATCACGGTGGCAAGGCATATGAACTAACAGGTTATAGAGCAAACAACGCAATTATCACAACACATAGGTCGCAACATGGCTTTTTTTCTGTCTTGGCATCCCCAGTGATTTTATCCACGCACCGCTACTGAGCATATCAGAGCTATGTGATGTGCAGGAGGGAGGGGGGAGGGGGAGTGCTAGGTACTGGGATGTCTGGTAGTTAGTGAGAGAACCAGAGCTTGAAGCTTGAGCTTGTTGGGCTCATGAGCCAACACGTGAGACGTCTGTCTGAGGACAGCAGTTGACAGTACAGTCTGTCTCTACTAGAACCCCTCACTGCTCATCTCTCTTTTCTCTTTGCTCAGCTGATGAAAGTGCTGAAAAGTGGTTGTCATGTTTATATTATCATTTTAAAATCAGAGCAGTGTCGAGAGTGTGGAACTCTGAATTTCCAGAACGAGTTTGTTACTTTTCCATCACTGTCAGAACATACGTTTTGAACATTTGTCTGAAGCTGCGAGTTGCAACGCGTTGTAAATTGACTATTCCGCATAGAAGTTAAAGGGTGTGTGAGTGCGTGTGTGTGCACGTTGGTGTGTGTTCGTTCATGATTGGCACATTCAAAGACTTAGTAGTTTGTTTTGTCCTTCAACCAAGGCCTAACTGAGGGATTGTTCTCTTCATTGTGGAGCACATTGGGGGATTGGAATCAACAATGTATGGAATTAGACATTTTACATTCACAGTAGCATCTCTGATGTCCCTAGACAAAACATATTCAGGAAATTGATGTATTTTCATCCGACTATAATGCTAGAGTACCACTAGAGTTTCTCTTACATTTAAGGCCAACTTGAATAATTTATTTACTTTATCTGAATACTTTATACAGACTGTGATTAACCATCTTTCTGCACTAAAACAGGTCCCTCCTCTAATTAAGAAATAATCTTCTCCTTACAGAAGATTTCTTTCCCTCCCTCCCTCACCTACTTTGTCAGCTCCCTCCTTCTCTTTAGAGGCCAACCCTGCCATTTCTCCAAACGAGGAAACCAGGGAAGGCCTGAGAGAAATAAGAGGAGGGGAGGAACCAGAGAGGAACTAGAGGATCAGAAAAAACTGCACACCTGCAGAAGTGTGCAATTCTAAGACTGCTGACCTAGGACAGTGTATATCTCTCTCTCAGAGCAGGATAGCTGCAGAGTGCTGTTAAATTCATTTAGAGGTTAGTGGTGGGGAAAATTGTTCTTTCCAATGTGAGCGATTTTCTTGACTTTTTTCTTGCCTTTGACAATGTCCTATTGATTGGTACAAATAAATGATGGTCAAAAAGCAAACCTTTTAAAAACATTACGTGCCGTTCACCCTCAGAAAATAACCTTGAAGATCTTTTTCCATTTTCCATTTGTATTTGTATTGCTTCCACAGCAACAAGGGGAATCATGCAGCCATGCCATGTCATATCAATAGGCTGGAAGAAGCAACAGGGGAATTACTACATGACTCTCCTGTTGCAGTAAATTATGAGAATTGCAGAATTAAGAAAGAGCTCCAAGCCCATTTTCTGAGAGAGAACCACCACAATGGCTGCGTTTAGACAGGCAGCCCAATTCTGATCTTTTTTCCACTAATTGGTCTTTTGACCAATCATATCAGATATTTTCACATCAGATATCTTTCAAAGCTGATCTGAATGGTCAAAAGACCAATTAGTGAGAAAAAAATATCAGAATTGGGCTACCTGTGTGAACGCAGCAATATTGTTTTGAATTATTCAACATATTGGTTTTAGCCAGACACCAATTAAAGACCTTCAGCTAATGAGGCTAATGTAATGAGCACAATAGTGTTCTTTTTTTTTATCCCATTAAAAGTCCAGTTTAAGTACATACACACATCAATACGTTTTATTAAACATTGCTTTAAATCTTCCATATAAATCTAAAGATCTGTAAAGTAAGCAAAATCCTACCCATCCAACAGATTCACAAAATATAAACATAAAGTACTGTATGGATCTGATATGGTAAAATATATCCCCACAAAAGGGTGAGGCAAAACAGGTACTGTACAAGCATGACAAGAAACAAAGGCATTTAGTAGAAAACGATACACAACAGCAGTTAAGTTCTTCCTATGGTTAGTGTTTCATTGAGTTTAGTATTATTTCATTCACTTCCTGAGAGGGAGGTATAGCGCTCCTTCCTGTCGACTTAGCCCTAGTACTGAACACCAACCCTTACCTAACACTGGCCACCTATGTTAATCTCCAACAGAACAATGTTGACGTTAGAAACCAGAAAGAAAGGACAAGAGGAAATGAGAGAAAGAAAGAGTGTTGTTTGGTCCTTACGCACACAGTAGCACAATTCCTTCATCCTATTGATTTCAGCCATGTACTGTAACAGTCACTTCTCGTGCAATGTAATCCTGACTCCTGTAATCCTGCTCAACTGCTGCAGTCCAGCAGCATCATTCAGATGACTACTTTGACAGAGAGAGGGATTTCTTCTTGCTTGTGTCGCCACTTGGACTGGCTGATCAAAGAGTGGGGGAGCAGTCCCACATAAAGGTTCTTTTAAATCAGGGGTTCCCAACCTTTTTCCCCCAGGGCCCCCTTTTTCACATTTGAAAAATGTCACACCCTCCTCTCGTTTTTTATTTATGATTGTTTATTGAGATATTCTATATTAAATACACCACCAGCTTGATTTTGTTTAATTTGAGGGACTAGGAAAATGTTGTTTTGTAGCTAATTTCCTGCAATTCTTTGTAGTTTAAGAAGACTTGTGACATCTTTTAGAGGCTATTTAATAATAATGGAGAAGGAAAATAAAGTCTAAACCCGATTTCCTCAAATGTTATTCCACTACCAAACATGTTTTATTATGGTCATTTATATGAACCCTTAATTTAATTATAGGTATTCTCTTTTACAGAAAGTGAATAGATCAATTGATAGCGACAGAGCCACACATTGTATAAGATTACTTCCCAAGCAAAGTCCAATTTCCCATGTGCATCAGAGTCGTGTCTTCCTCAGGCAATTAACCGCATGTTTCTAGCCTAAAGAATTGCAGATTTAGGCGTGCCCCCTAGGTTGGGTACCCCTGTTTTAAATTATGATAGGAGACAGCTTTGAAATAGAAGAGAATAGACAAATCAGGACTACTCAGACAGTCTTCCTTATGCACTATTTACAATCAAAGGATTTCTACATCCTTAACTTAAAGTGGAAAAATAAAATCATATAATACAACTTCAGAGCCAGGAGGAAATGCTCCTTAGGGAATTTTTGAGTCTGTTTCGACCCCCATCCCTTTCAAATGGACCCACACTAGCTGAGTTTGTACTGTAGAAAGACAGTGGGGGTGGTGAGTGTTGAACTTCCAGTCATCCGGTTCTGTTTCAGAGAAACACACAGAGTCACACAGAGTCAGCAGGAAGTGCTGCATTATGAGCCCTACACCTGCTTCCTGTAGAGCGGCCCTGAAGTATAAAGTGCCTCTGCTGTTTAAGACTGGGGTGGCTGCCTGCTGCCGTCCAGATTGTCCTCTGTTCCAGGGGAGGAGGGCTGAAGGGGGTACACGGTGACCCCACCCCATCACCCAGTAGTCAGGTCTGAGTCGGGGGGTTCCAGGCTCTCAGCAATGTCCTCCAACTCATCCAGCAACTCTGAGAAGGAGGGTCTCCGAAACGCATCCATCTGAACCACAGGACAAGAGGACAACATGAGTCCATCTGAACCACAGGACAAGAGGACAACATGAGTGATCTTCTATAGTAGATGGCACATGCAAGTATTTTTTACACTCTTGTATTTTTGAGGCGAACTCTATGACCAGGATTCTTTTGAAGCATGTTATAGTGCTGTTAAAGCGCTACGCACTGAAATACAGACAATGTGAGATCGCATTCATGATAAACGCTGCAGATGTTGGGTCAAACTTAAATTACCTTTAAAAAGCACACCTAAATAAGAGCCATGTGTTTGTCGGTCAATGCCCTTTGGAATGAACCCCGGCTTAAATCTCTCATTTTCTTACACATGATCTCACATTCTCTCTCTAACGTTGTCTCTCAGCCTCTCTCTCTGTTTCTTCCTCACACTCCCTCCCTCCAGTCCACACTCACCAGACAGCAGTTGGCTGACAGCTCCAGGATGCGTCGTGGACAACCCTGGACCATCTCACTGAAGGCCTCGACGTCTAGACCATAGTCCTGCAGAGAGAACAAACACTGTGTCAAATGCATTGTACACCATGTACGGGCCCATAGAGTATCACTAAGTAGTTACAGGTTAGAGAGCTAGATCAGATAACCAATGTACGTCATGGCAAAAAATGAAGTCTTGAGATCATCACTATTGTGTACAGGCTACTGTATATCCCTCTGTTTTGATCATCAGGGACTACTGATGAATTCGCATAACACATACTGTATAGATAGGATAGCAGTGTGACTAACTGACCCTGCGGTCCTCCCACTTCTAATGACAAATGTCACAAATAAATCTAATTTAGGTGAAACCTCAACAAGCACATTAAAGTCTCTCTCTGCTCCCTGTCTCTGACCTTGTCTTGATCATCCCAGGGACGACAGAAAGGGACATTAGATGACTCATTTCACCATCATCTACATAAAAATGTCACTGTCACTGGCCTAATAACTAAAGAGTGCTATCAAGTCACAAGACAGCTAATCGCCAAATTATGTTGCAGGATCACGTTCAATATAATGTCTGAGTTGTGGGGAATTACATTTAATTAACTCATGCCTCAGTTGTGGTATAATTTCCCCATGTACAGTGAGGGAAAAAAGTATTTGATCCCCTACTGATTTTGTATGTTTGCCCACTGACAAAGAAATTATCAGTCTATAATTTTAATGGTAGGTTTATTTGAACAGTGAGAGACAGAATAACAACCAAAAAATCCAGAAAAACGCATGTCAACAATTTTATAAATTGATTTGCATTAGGAGTGCTCCTAATCTCAGCTTGTTACCTGTATAAAAGACACCTGTCCACAGAAGCAATCAATCAATCAGATTCCAAACTCTCCACCATGGCCAAGACCAAAGAGCTCTCCAAGGATGTCAGGGACAAGATTGTAGACCTACACAAGGCTGGAATGGGCTACAAGACCATCGCCAAGCATCTTGGTGAGAAGGTGACAACAGTTGGTGTGATTATTCGCAAATGGAAGAAACACAAAATAACTGTCAATCTCCCTCAGCCTGGGGCTCCATGCAAGATCTCACCTCGTGGAGTTGCAATGATCATGAGAACAGTGAGGAATCAGCCCAGAACTACACGGGAGGATCTTGTCAATGATCTCAAGGCAGCTGGGACCAAAGTCACCAAGAAAACAATTGGTAACACACTATGCCGTGAAGGACTGAAATCCTGCAGCGCCCGCAAGGTCCCCCTGCTCAAGAAAGCACATATACAGGGCCGTCTGAAGTTTGCCAATGAACATCTGAATGATTCAGAGGAGAACTGGGTGAAAGTGTTGTGGTCAGATGAGACCAAAATGGAGCTCTTTGGCATCAACTCAACTCGCCGTGTTTTGAGGAGGAGGAATGCTGCCTATGACCCCAAGAACACCATCCCCACTGTCAAACATGGAGGTGGAAACATTATGATTTGGGGGTGTTTTTCTGCTAAGGGGACAGGACAACTTCACCGTATCAAAGGGAGGATGGACGGGGCCATGTACCGTCAAATCTTGGGTGAGAACCTCCTTACCTCAGCCAGGGCATTGAAATTGGGTTGTGGATGGGTATTCCAGCATGACAATGACCCAAAACACACGGCCAAGGCAACAAAGGAGTGGCTAAAGAAGAAGCACATTAAGGTCCTGGAGTGGCCTAGCCAGTCTCCAGACCTTAATCCCATAGAAAATCTGTGGAGGGAGCTGAAGGTTCAAGTTGCCAAACGTCAGCCTCGAAACCTTAATGACTTGGAGAAGATCTGCAAAGAGGAGTGGGACAAAATCCCTCCTGACATGTGTGCAAACCTGGTGGCAAACTACAAGAAACGTCTGACCTCTTTGATTGCCAACAAGGGTTTTGCCAGCAAGTACTAAGTCATGTTTTGCAGAGGGGTCAAATACTTATTTCCCTCATTAAAATGCAAATCAATTGATAAAAAATTTTACATGCGTTTTTCTGGATTTTTTTGTTGTTATTCTGTCTCTCACTGTTCAAATAAACCTACCATTAAAATTATAGACTGATCATGTCTTTGTCAGTGGGCAAAAGTACAAAATCAGCAGGGGATCAAATACATTTTTTTCCCTCACTGTATAGTGTCAGTCTAAATCTAGTAGTCTATGGTTCTTTAGTTTTGATAAGTGTGTGTGTGTGTATGTTTTTTATTTACCCGTGTTCTAGGAAGGATCTCTGGATCTGCTGGGATCCGGCCCAAAATCTCACACAGCATGATCCCAAAGGAGAAGACATCCACCTGGAGGAAAGAAGTTATGTTATTGACTTCATCGTCCTAATTCCATTCCATTCCATTAATGAATTAAATCAATTAAATTAATGTTATGAATGGATTAAAATAGGAAGGATCAGATGTATGTATTTTCTATCATTCAGTGGAAACCATTAAATAAAATCCTAGTTATTTCTATATCAGGGTGTAAGACTCTCTGTGTCCCAAATGGCATCCTCTTCCCTTTTTAGTGCACTGCTTTTGACCAGGGCCCATTGAGCTCTGGTCAAAAGTAGTGCACTCAAAAGGGAATAGGGTGCCATTTGGGATACAATGAGTGTGTGTAGTCTACCTACCTTGCGGTCGTAGGGTTCCCCTCTGAGCATCTCGGGGGCCATCCAGAAGGCAGAACCCACCAGAGACATCTTCCTCTCAGGGTCGTTAGCCGGCAGCTCCACCATTACCTCCCTGGCCAGACCAAAGTCTGTCACCACCGCCTCCCTGCCCCGAGACGTCTCCCGGATCAGACAGTTCTGCACACACACAACATTCAGACAACGTTAGACAACAGTTCTGCACACACACAACGTTCAGACAACGTTAGACAACAGTTCTTTTTTACATTTCTTTTTAATTGAACCTTTATTTAACTAGGCAAGTCAGTTAAGAACAAATTCTTATTTACAATGACGGCCTAACACAATGCCGGCCTACAATTCTGCACACACACAACGTTCAGAACATTACTCATATTACAAGCACTGGTCACTGCTATCAAATCTATTACATCTATTCAAATTTACTATACAGTAGATATAAAAATGTATTCATAAATGTATAGTAAATATTCATAGAGCTGGTATTCACTTGAAAGGCAATAACTGAAGTAATCCTCTAGTCACACTGCAGTGCAACATGTTGACCACAAGAGGTCAGTGAAACACTTCTACATCCACAAGACAAAGCAATTTTAACCTCCTCCATTCTATCTGCGTTTGAGCCTGGAGGTAGCAACCTAATTCCATAGACTGTACATTCATATGTTTCTACATGATATGAAACACCTCTTTATTCACTGTTGGAGTGCTGACAGGTATGACTGATCACTGTGCTGGAGGTCAAACCACACAATTCTAACATGGACAAAGAGGCACATGGACAGCGAATAATTGAAACAATCATAACATTGGATGTGACTGTGAAAACACACTTGAGATTCGTTCCTCTGTCATTTACTGAGCTGACTATGGCTCCTGCATCAGGACAAACAGTACCCATCTGAAACCAGCTGGTTTAGCAGGCTGCCTCATAATCCAGTCTGAAACGTCCCTTCACCACCCATCCTCTCTGAACAGTGAATTATTGAGACGTGACCTGGGGGACATTTTGTTGGCCCAATGCTAGTGATGACAGAGTAGTCTCTCTAGACAGATGGGTTGCCTCCCACAATGTACCAATGCTCCAGCTTACACGTCTGTAGAAGTTCCGGCGTTAGTTGGGACAGAGAGGAGAAGTTGGAAATGGGACGTGAGTCACCGGTGACATCACTGCCGTATCCACTTGTTGCCCTAGCTAAATATGAGCACACTTCACACCCTCATTTTAAGCCCCGCCTACCCAAACTTTAGATGAGAGATTTCCCTTTCAAAATGTCCAAGAGAATCCGACATCCTCCCCAGATCTAGTGCTCTTGTTCCTAGGTCTGGGTTTCCGAGACTAATGACAGATCGTAACAGTACGTTTCAACCAATAGGTCATTGACAGTGATTTAGACAATATCTGTATCTAGACCTATGGGCCAGTGGTTAGACAGAGAGTATCTGTAACTGTGTTTTATAAAAAAGAATTCAGCATATCTCTATAACCTCTCTATCCCTGGTGCTGCTGGGGAGACATGACTGGTTCAAGTTAGAGCATGCAGGGCGTTTCCTGCCACACCATGGCCTGTAATGACAGAGCAATGGAGCAATGGGAGGATCACACCCACCAAAACCCATCATCATCTCATCACTGATGTGGTTTACTACTAAAGAGAGGAATTTGGACTGGGATGGATAGATAATGAGAAAGGGAGATGTGAGTGTGTGCATGCTTGTATATAAACAACCCCTTGCATAAGGTTCACATAGAGGATAATGTAAATTTAATTATCTAGGAGGTGGAAAACACCCAACCTCAGCCCCCTCTTACTTGTTTTATAGACTAGGGTCCTGTCCAGGGGGTGTACTTGTACATCATACTGCCTCACGCTATAGAAACATGAGATAGACTTCTGTCCTATGGGCTGTTCCGGTTCGGACAAGGCTTACTTACTGTACACTGTACATTGACATTCCTATCAATGTGGGGTTTAGTTTCAGTTATGGGCCTTCCCAGAAGATGGCCCTGTTATTAAGTGGTACTCTATTCCCTAAACAATTCACTACTTTTGCTCTACTATTTAGGGAATAGGTGCTATTTGGGATGCAGCCTTTGAGAAGGACTTAATAGCAGGGCCAGCTTCTGGGGAGGCCCATGACTTTAACAAAACACCACATTGATAGGAATGTCTCCCCTACAGTGAAATTCAGTCAGTAGTCAGTGGTATCTGAGGCAGGATCCCTGTAATCTGCCTATGCTGGCAAAAACAAGCTTTATTATAACTAAAGCGGCATGAATAAGAGCTAACACTGTTTCAAAGAGGACTTATTCTTACTTTTTCTCAAAGTTGTCCAGTGGGACTAATACAGGCTATGAAGAATGCAAACCCTGCAGCTTAGCATTTGCGTTGTATACAGTGAAACAGTGAAAGGTTCAGTTCTGCTAAAGCTAGTAGAGTTAAAGTAGGCACTAGGTTAGGTCCCTATTATGGGTGTTAGGGTATAGTGCAGTTAGAGTGGATATCTATCTACGTCAGGGTTCCTCAACTGGCGGCCCAAGGTGATTTTATTTGGCCCCCCAAGTTTTTTGGAGCCAAAAAAAAAAAAAAAAAAAAAATGGTTTATTGTTGGACATAAAAGACTAAAAACACCAGCAAATCAGCTCCAAATAATTTTTATTTTGGAAATCTGTTCCAGAGTATTCCCATGCATAATAGAGCGATATATGTGATCGTATACAAATGTAAGCAAGGTTTGAAATTATTATGTTTTAGTCAAATATTACATCTGTTTGGGTTCTTGCGGTCAATTTGCAGTCTACAAATTATTCCTAATTTTGTTCCGGCCCCCTGACCATCCGCTCAAGAAAAAAATGGGCCCGCGGCTGAATCTAGTTGATGATCCCTGATCTACGTGCTTGAGAAAATAGTTGGCTGACCCTAGTTATCTGATTTACAGATCAAGAAATAACCAGACGAGACCCTGGCAGTGGTGTGTGTGTGCATGCGTGCGCGCATATGTGTGTGTGTACTTGTGTGCGTATGTGTGTGTGTTTGTGTATACCTTGGAGTTGAGGTCTCTGTGGTAGATGTTCTTGTAGTGCAGGTAGGTCATGCCTCTGCTGATATCACAGGCCAGGTCCACCTTCTCCCTCCAACACAGAGACACGTCCTCCTGGGCCAAGAGGTCTTCCAGACAGCCCCCACTCACATACTGGCACAACACAGAGAGGGGGTGCATAAGTACCATATAGATCCTATATTCATGTCTATGGAGATGGATCCTTTTTTCAGTACCATATAAAGTACATAGATATCCTACATACATAGCAATCTATTCCTTTCAACAACCATGATTACTGCCAGGTGCACAAATACAGAGGGAAAGTACCATAGAGAATCTACATTTGTGTCTATGGAGATGGGTTATACCATAGAGATAATCATTTCTATGGGTTTTACACAGGCATACCAATCTCTTGCTACTACGGTGAGATGCACAGATACTGAGAGGAGAATATTGGTGCTATAAGGGATTAAGAACATGAGCACCAAAAAACGGAGACTTACCTCCAATATCGGGTACAGCTTTTCTTCTCGTACACAGATTCCAAGATACCTATGAGGATAATAATAGTTTGCATTACTATCCCGGTGTTACACCTTTTTTTTGTTGCAACTCCTACACATCTTCCTCTAAAAACAAGCATTTGTCATATATGTTGGAAAGGGACTGACCTGACAATGTTAGGGTGTGAGAGCTTCTGGAGTAGACTGATCTCTCGTACGATGCTGTCCTGGTCCACGTCCTTCTTATAGATCTTGACCACCATCACTTTCCTCGTTGTGCTGTGCGACACCTAGACAACAAAGGGCGTTATATATTTACAGAGGTGTTGTTGCTCAGCTTTGATTGACAACAGTTGGACAATCTCTCTATTGTGCATTTGGACAAGTTGTAAACAAGGCTGGATCTCTCTGAACTAGAGCCAGGGTAACAAAACAAACAATGCCGTTTCTTATATACCAACACAAGACCAAAATGTGCTAATCTTAGCAGTCTTGATGTCTTCCTGAGGTGATTAAAGTTAACTGCATCCTATTGTCTCTGTGAGGCCAGACTGGTTCCGTGGTACGCCATGTTCCCTCCACAGTAGCATTCTTTGGCTGTGTCCCAAATGGCACCCTATTCCCTATGTAGTACACTACTTTTGACCCGGGCCCATAGGTCAAAAGTAGTGCCCTACATAGGGAGCCATTTGGGAGACAGACTTTTACTGACTGTCTGGTACAGGTTCCTGAACCATCACACTGGCTGACTGACTGCGCACCTGTAATCACGCTCCTTTCAGGACTGGACTTTATATCGGCATCTCTGATCCGTATCTGAACGTCTGGGAGTTCCAACTCAACACAAACACGCACGGTGGCCCTGCATGATGGCCCTGCTACAGAGCTATTGTGACCTGACATTCCCTCCAAGGACAACTACTAGAAGGACTGTTGAAGACGCTGCCAGTGTTCAGTCATTAGCATTTCAATGTTGTTCATTTGACTCTACAGACATTACCTCACACCTGGGCATGTTGTGTCTGATGCTCTGAGGAGTGCTTAAGGGATCAGCCAAGGCATCATGTTTTCTGTTGACACCCGAGTTGGTAGTACACAAAATATAGGTTGCTCTTTGTATGGGACTGTAATTTATGTATTGGCTTCTGTGTCAAATATGTTGTAATACACTTATCTGGATGTGTGCCATATACAGCATGATGACACTTTTGAACACTTTTGTAACTGAAAAAAATATGAAAAATGGGAAGTAAATCATAGACAAGGTGTGTAGAAAGTCTGTTGTTTTTTGTTCTCTCTTTCACACACATATCAATGTATTCACAAGTACACACACATTTATTTTCAGCCATGTACAAATTGGACGGTTCATACCTTGTACACCTTGGAGAAGAAGCCACTCCCAATCAGTTCGGCACTGAAGTCTTCCCAGAATTCCAGTTTGCGGACGGCGGTGCGAAGCTTCTGCCAGCGGTCCACCTGGCAGTAGGTGTCTGCTACCTCTCCGAGCAGCGTGGGGCTGCTGGGTTCAGGGGTCAACTCCACCTCACACCTCATCCTGGACAGCTCGTCTAGACAAGCACAGGGTCACAGGGTCAGACACTCAGTCTCACTCACTATCCCTATCCCAGTGTTAAAGCCATCAGAGGAACTAGAATTATCACAATGCTCTCCTTCAATCCAGAAATATTGGCGGCAAACACTCAAAATTATACTGAGCGAAAATATAAACGCAACATGCAGCAATTTCAACGTTTTTACTGAGTTACAGTTCATATAAGGAAATAAGTCAATTGAAATAAATACATTAGGTCCTAATCTATGGATTTCACATGACTGGGCAGGGGTGCAGCCATGGAGGCCATAGGCCCACCCACTTGGCAGCCAGGACCACCCACTGGGGAGCCAGGCCCAGCCAATCAGAATGAGTTGTTCTCCACAAAAGGGCTTTATTACACACAGAAATACTCCTCAGCAACCCCCACACCCCCTCAGATGATCCTGCAGGTGAAGAAGCCAGATGTGGAGGTCCTGGGCGGGCGTGGTTACATGTGATCTGCGGTTGTGAGGCCGGTTGGACGTACTGCCAAATTCTCTAAAACTACATTGTAGGCAGCTTATGGTAGAGAAATGAACATTTAATCATCTGGAAACAGCTCTGGTGAACTTTCCTGCAGTCAGCATGCCAATTGCACATTCCCTCAAAACATGAGACATCTGTGGCATTGTGTTGTGTGACAAAACTGCACATTTTCAAGTGACCTTTTATTGTTCCCAGCACAAGGTGCACCTGTGTAATGATCTTTCTGTTTAATCAGCTTCTTGCTATGCCACACCTGTCAGGTGGATGGATTATCCTGGCAAAGGAGAAATGCTCACTAACGGAGATGTAAACAAATATGTGCCTAATAAATTGAGAGAAATTAGCTTTTTATGCGTATGGGATTTTTTATTTCAGCTCATGAAAGATGAGACCAACACTTTACATGTTGCGTTTAGATGTTTGTTCGGTGTCGTAAACATGAGAAAAAAAGTTTCTGAAAAAGAACATTGATCTTGAAGTAAAATGGGGGCGATTTGAAAGGGAAAAATACTCATTTAAAATGCTAATGAAACAAATTCAGAGGAAAGGGAAAACATTTTGGTGAGATGAAAGACATTCTGAGATGAAAACATAATTTGCACAGCAAAGATCTTTTGAATGCATACAATTAATTTTAAATAACTTTGCAATTTCCTTCTAAGTATGTAATGGCAAATTATTTTCTACATTTCTCAACTGTATTTTATTTACTGTAACTAAGTACTGATGTTCCTACTTTTTACCTGTTTAACTGCCAGTATGAAATGTCTACCAGTGTTGAATGTTATGGTTAAAGTGTGACGCCACGCTGAGCCGAGGGAATACTGATAATGTATCTGTGACACTGTGTGATTCTGTAGCCGCTGATGTTGTGTCTTCCTCCCAGCCTGGTGTTTACAGTACATTTGGTACTGTCAGATTAGAATATAAAAGGGCCTGTCTCCAAGAGGGCCTGTCTCCGCTAGACATTTTCTCTGCTTCTGTGTTGCAACTTGTATTAAACTGAAATTACTCTTCTGTTCACCAGAAAATCCCCTTTACAAAGTGATGTTTGACTTGGCCAGCATAACTATGACAGGTTTAAAACCCAGTTGGAGACACAGAATCACGGTTTAGATTAATTATTCTTTGCTTATGTGGTGTGTAACCTAAAACTACAAATACATACTGTACATGGGTAGAGGTCTATGACACCATCACAACAGCATAAGTCATTGTTGCTTTCAGCTCCAAGGCAGAAAACAATTATATCGGGCTGAGGCCTTGGCTACTGTATCTAACACCTGCTCAAGGCCAAACAACCTCCTGTTTGTTGTCTGTTCACACAGATTCCATCAGACAAGCTTCTCATAGCATCTGCAAATGGTGCGGAGTTGAAAAGAGTTCCGCTAAATATTTTCATCATGATGATCAGATAAGGTATGATCAGGTAAGGTGTGCATGACAATACTTTAGTGGGAGAGCATACATGGTGACAGAGATAGAAGTGGGTAGTCTGGGTAGGCGTGGGGGTGGATGAGGAGGGGGAGGTGTGGGTAGTAGGTAGATCGATTGGGGGGCAGAATGGTGGGGGAGGGGATGAATTACATGCTGACTACACTGACCACGTGCATGCGCCATCGCCCGCATGTTGATTTCATCCATCCACACCAGACGCGATGATGACACGCAGGTTAAAATACCAAAACCAACTGTGAACCAACTATATTAATTTGGGGGCATGTCGAAACACACATGAAACATTCATGGATATTTAGCTAGCTAGCTGTTGCTAGCTAGTTTGTCCTGGGAGATAAACATTGGGTTGTTATTTTACCTGACATCTTTTTAGCTTTTTCTTTGTAGATTTTTGAACTGAATTCATACAAAATTGTTAGTTATCTTTAATGAATCTCTCCTGGTTTGTCTTTCAAGCATCCACGTAGGTTTGTATCTTCCTGATATCTAATAAGGAGGGGACGTGCAGTGCGTGGAGCCAAGTTCTATTTTAGCGCTTGGCTACGCAGACCCTCGTTCGCGCGAGCGGTGTGGGTGAAATGATTGAATAGCATGTGTGTGTATATTAATTTTGCAACACACACACAACGTGGTCAGAGTGTTGGTTTACACGTTAGAGTGGTGATTAGACAGAGACAGTGAACCCAGGGGACCTCTGACCAGTGGCCAGGCCACACACAGGTCATATAAAGGTCATATACACAGGCCCCTGTATCACACCTCCCTGCCATGTACACACACAGGCCAAGGCCCCAGGACAAGGCCTCTGAGACAGGGGCTTCCTCAGAGTCTTTCCAGCACAGTAAGGTCATAAACAATGCAATACTCCAAGGAATGTCATGAATCCACAAAAATACAGTAAGTCATGGTAATGTTATGACTTTGCCAGGAGGACTGTTTTATCTGAAACACACTGCCACACAGTAACTCTGGGCAGACAAGCCAATGTTGATTAGCTATAAACTCAACTGTGTCTTTGTTTTCAAAGGACTGTAAAGTACAGTTGTATTCTCTCTATCTCTTTCTTATCTCTTTACTTATCTCTATTTTGCCCTCTCTTTCTCTACCGCTCTTTTCTTTTGCTCTCTCTCTCACCTGTATTAGCCTACCACTGATGTCATGGGACAAGAAGCAACAGTCAGTTTTAACATGAGCCTGGTCTATTTGGGTGGTCGATTGGGTTACACTCGCATGCAACACACAGCCTTTACCCTGGAGTGTGTAACGTAGAGTGGTGAGATCATGAGGGCCACATGAGCTTATCGTCCAGCCCTGGGCCAAAGTGAAGTTCTAAGTGTGTTGGTGTGGGGATAGATATAAATCACTTGTTGACTGTCCTATAGGTTATAATCATGTTTAAATTGTCAAAATATTTGTGTACTTCTCTTATGACTTTAAAAATATATACACTACCGTTCAAAAGTTTGGGGTCACTTAGAAATGTCCTTGTTTTCAATGAAAACATACATGAAATTAGTTTGAATAGGAAATATATGCATAGGAAATGTAGTCATTGACAAGGTTAGAAATATTTATTTTTAATATAAATAATAATTGTGTCCTTCAAACTTTGCTTTCGTCAAATAATCCTCCATTTGCAGCAATTATAGCCTTGCAGACCTTAGGCTTTCTAGTTGTCAATTTGTTGAGGTAATCTGAAGAGATTTCACCCCATGCTTCCTGAAGCACCTCCCACAACATGGATTGGCTTGATGGGCACTTCTTACGTACCATACGGTCAAGCTGCTCCCACAACAGCTCAATAGGGTTGAGATCCAGTGACTGTGCTGGCCACTCCATTATAGACAGAATACCAGCTGACTGCTTCTTCCCTAAATAGTTATTGCATAGTTTGGAGATGTGCTTTGGATCATTGTCCTGTTGTAGGAGGAAATTGGCTCCAATCAAGCGCCGTCCACAGGGTATGGCATGGCGTTGCAAAATGGAGTGACAGCCTTACTTCTTCAAGATCCCTTTTACCCTGTACAACTCTCCCACTTTACCATCACCAAAGCACCCCCAGACCATCACATTGCCTCCAACATGCTTGACAGATGGCATCAAGCACTCCTCCAGCATCTTTTCATTTGGTCTGCGTCTCACAAATGTTATTATTTGTGATCCGAACACCTCAAACTTCGATTCGTCTGTCCATAACACTTTTTTCCAACCTTCCTCTGTCCAGTGTCTGTGTTCTTTTGCCCATCTTAATCATTTATTTTTATTGGCCAGTCTGAGATATGGCTTTTTCTTTGCAACTCTGCCTAGAAGGTCAGCATCCCAGAGTCGCCTCTTCACTGTTGACGTTGAGACTGGTGTTTTGCGGGTACTATTTAATGAAGCTGCCAGTTGAGGACCTGTGAGGCGTCTGTTTCTCAAACTAGACACTCTAATGTATTTGTCCTCTTGCTCAGTTGTGAGATCTTCAGTTTCTTGGCAATTTCTCACATGGAATAGCCTTCATTTCTCAGAACAAGAATAGACTGACGAGTTCAGAAGAAAGTTATTTGTTTCTGGCCATTTTGATCCTGTAATCGAACCCACAATTGCTGATGCTCCAGATACTCAACTAGTCTCATGAAGGCCAGTTTTATTGCTTCTTTAATCAGCACAACAGTTTTCAGCTGTGCTAACATAATTGCAAAATGATTTTCTAATGATCAATTAGCCTTTTAAAATGATAAACTTGGAACACAGGACTGATGGTTGCTGATAATGGGCCTCTGTACGCCTATGTAGATATTCCATTTTTTTTTTTATCAGCCGTTTCCAGCTACAATAGCCATTTACAACATTAACAATGTCTACACTGTATTTCTGACAAATTTGATGTTATTTTAAATGGACAAAAAATTGCTTTTCTTTCAAAAACAAGGACATTTCTAAGTGACCCCAAACTTTTGAATGGTAGTGTATGTATACAGTGCCTTCAGAAAGTATTCACACCCCTTGACATTTTCCACATTTTGTTGTGTTACAGTCTGAATTTAAAATGGATTAAATTGAGATGATGTGTCACTGGCCTACACACAATACCCTATAATGTCGAAGTGGAATTATGTTTTTCAAAATGTTACATTTTTATAAAAAATGAAAAGCTGAATGTTTTGAGTCAATAAGTATTCAACCACTTTGTTATGGCAAGCCTAAAGTTGAGGAGTAAACATTTGCTTAGTAAGTCACATATTAAGTTGCATTGACTCACTCAGTGTGCAATAATAGTGTTTAACATCATTTTTGAATGACTCCCTCATTTCTGTACTCCACACATATAATTATCTGTAAGGTCCCTCAGTCGAGCAGTGAATTTCAAACACAGATTCAACCACCATGACCAGGGAGGTTTTCTAATGCCTCACAAAGAAGAGCACCTAATGGTAGACACTGAATATCCCTTTGAGCATGGTGAAGTTATTAGTTACACTTTGGATGGTGTATCAAAGATACAGGCGTCCTTCCTACAGTGGGGGAAAAAAGTATTTAGTCAGCCACCAATTGTGCAAGTTCTCCCACTTAAAAAGATGAGAGAGGCCTGTAATTTTCATCATAGGTACACGTCAACTATGACAGACAAATTGAGGAAAAAAAATCCAGAAAATCACATTGTAGGATTTTTAATGAATTTATTTGCAAATTATGGTGGAAAATAAGTATTTGGTCACCTAAAAACAAGCAAGATTTCTGGCTCTCACAGACCTGTAACTTCTTCTTTAAGAGGCTCCTCTGTCCTCCACTCGTTACCTGTATTAATGGCACCTGTTTGAACTTGTTATCAGTATAAAATACACCTGTCCACAACCTCAAACAGTCACACTCCAAACTCCACTATGGCCAAGACCAAAGAGCTGTCAAAGGACACCAGAAACAAAATTGTAGACCTGCACCAGGCTGGGAAGACTGAATCTGCAATAGGTAAGCAGCTTGGTTTGAAGAAATCAACTGTGGGAGCAATTATTAGGAAATGGAAGACATACAAGACCACTGATAATCTCCCTCGATCTGGGGCTCCACGCAAGATCTCACCCCGTGGGGTCAAAATGATCACAAGAACGGTGAGCAAAAATCCCAGAACCACACGGGGGGACCTAGTGAATGACCTGCAGAGAGCTGGGACCAAAGTAACAAAGCCTACCATCAGTAACACACTACGCCGCCAGGGACTCAAATCCTGCAGTGCCAGACGTGTCCCCCTGCTTAAGCCAGTACATGTCCAGGCCCGTCTGAAGTTTGCTAGAGTGCATTTGGATGATCCAGAAGAGGATTGGGAGAATGTCATATGGTCAGATGAAACCAAAATATAACTTTTTGGTAAAAACTCAACTCGTCGTGTTTGGAGGACAAAGAATGCTGAGTTGCATCCAAAGAACACCATACCTACTGTGAAGCATGGGGGTGGAAACATCATGATTTGGGGCTGTTTTTCTGCAAAGGGACCAGGACGACTGATCCGTGTAAAGAAAAGAATGAATGGGGCCATGTATCGTGAGATTTTGAGTGAAGAGTGAAAACCTCCTTCCATCAGCAAGGCCATTGAAGATGAAACGTGGCTGGGTCTTTCAGCATGACAATGATCCCAAACACACCGCCCGGGCAACGAAGGAGTGGCTTCGTAAGAAGCATTTCAAGGTCCTGGAGTGGCCTAGCCAGTCTCCAGATCTCAACCCCATAGAAAATCTTTGGAGGGAGTTGAAAGTCCGTGTTGCCCAGCGACAGCCCCAAAACATCACTGCTCTAGAGGAGATCTGCATGGAGGAATGGGCCAAAATACCAGCAACAGTGTGTGAAAACCTTGTGAAGACTTACAGAAAACGTTTGACCTGTGTCATTGCCAACAAAGGGTATACAACAAAGTATTGAGAAACTTTTGTTATTGACCAAATACTTATTTTCCACCATAATTTGCAAATAAATTCATTATAAATCCTACAATGTGATTTTCTGGATTTCTTTTTCTCATTTTGTCTGTCATAGTTGACGTGTACCTATGATGAAAATTACAGGCCTCTCTCATCTTTTTAAGTGGGAGAACTTGCACAATTGGTGGCTGACTAAATACTTTTTTCCCCCACTGTAACTCAGTTGCCGGAGAGGAAGGAAACCGCTCAGAGATTTCACCATGAGGCCAATGGTGACTTTAAAACAGTTACAGAGTTTAATGGCTGTGATAGGAGAAAAATCAGGACGGATAAACAACATAGTAGTTACTTCACAATACTAACCTAATTGACAGAGTGAAAAGAAGAAAGCCTGTACATAATACAAATATTCCAAAACATGCATCCTGTTTGCAATAAGGCACTAATGTAAAACTGCAAAACATTTGGAAAGTAAATTCACTTTATGTCCTGAATACAAAGCGTTTTGGTTGGGGAAAATCCAACACAACACCATGAAGCCAATGGAAAACCTGGTTCAGTCTACTTTCCACCAGACACTGGGAGGTTAATTCAACTGTCAGCTGGATAATAACCTAAAACACAAGGCCAAATCTACACGGGAGTTGCTTACCAAGAAAACAGTGAATGTTCCTGAGTGGCCGAGTTACAATTTTGACTTAAGTCTACATGAAAATCTATGGCAAGACCTGAAAATGGTTGTCTAGCAATGATCAACAACCAACCAACAGAGCTTGAAGAATTCTGAAAATAATAATGGGCAAATTTTGCACAATCCAGGTGTGGAAAGCTCTTAGAGACTTAAACAGCAAGACTCACAGCTGTAATCGCTGCCAAAGGTGCTTCTACAAAGTATTGACTCAGGGGTGTGAATACTCATGTAAATTAGATATTTCTGTATTTCATTTTCAATAAATTTGCTAAAATTCTGAAAAACATGTTTTCACTTTGTCATTATGGGATATTGTGTGTAGATGGGTGAGAGAAAAAACATATTTAATCCATTTTGAATTCAGGCTGTAACACGACACAATGTGCAATAAGACAAAGGGTAAGAATACTTTCTGAAGGCACTGTATATTTTTTACCTTTATTTTACCAAGCAGGTCAATTAAGAACACATTGATTTTAAATATATTTACAAAGGCCTGGAAATTGAATCACGCATCATAAATGCTTGGAAATAAATCATGGAAGAGAGAGAGATAGAGCACAAAGAGTAAGTGTGTGTGTGTGTGTTATGTACTGCATGACCAATGTGTACAATAAATATATTATTTCATCAACAACAGCTTAACATGTCAGTGTGGATGAGAGCCTGTTACATCACCCCAACATTAAAAAGCCATCGCTGCTCAATCCTCAGCCATCTATGACATGGGGGACTGCCAGTAAAGGCCTTCTTTCTCTTTAACCATCCAACCATATTTACAGCAAATAAATAAACAAACCATTTACAGCACTAGCTCCATCCAATCTTCCCTAGGCGGTCCTAGCAGCCACACTCCACACTGCAGTCTCCACAGCCATCAGTCCAATGAGTCCATCACTCTAACCCTTGGCTCTCCCTGCAACCCCGGGCATCCACACACATCCTCTCACACAATCTACACTATATATACACAAAGGTATGTGGACACCCCTTCAAATGAGTGGATTTGGCTATTTCAGCCACACCCGTTGCTGAGAGGCGTATGAAATCGAGCACACAGCCATGTAATCTCCATAGACAAATATTGGCAGTAGATTGGCCTTACTGAAGAACTCTGTGACCTTCAACGTGGCACTGTCATAGGATGCCACCTTTCCAACAAGTCAGTTCGTCAAATTTCTGCCCTGCTAGAGCTGCCCTGGTCTACTGTAAGTACTGTTATTGTGCAGTGGAAATGTCTAGAAGCAACCATGTGTCAGCCGCGAAGTGGTAGGCCACACAAGCTCACAGAACGGGACTTCCGAGTGCTGAATCGCGTAGAGTGTAAAAATAGTCTGTCCTCAGTTCCAATACTCAGTACCGAGTTCCAAACTGCCTCTGGAAGCAACGTCAGCACAATAACTGCTCGCCAGGAGCTTCAAGAAATAGGTTTCCATGCCCGAGCAGCCGCACAGAAGCCTATGATCACCATGCGTAATGCCAAGTGTCGGCTGGAGTGGTGTAAAGCTCGCCGCCATTGGACTCTGGAGCAGTTGAAACGCGTTCTCTGGAATGATGAATCACAATTCACCATCTGGCAGTACGACGTACGAATCTAGGTTTGGCGGATGCCTGGAGAACGCTACCTGTCCCAATGCATAGTGCCAACTGTAAAGTTTGGTGGAGGAGGAATAATGGTCTGGGGCTGTTTTTCATGGTTCGTTCTAGGCCCCTTAGTTCCAGTGAAGGGAAATCTTAACACTTCAGCATACAATTACATTCTAGACAATTCTGTGCTTCCAACTTTGTGGCAAGAGTTTGGGGAAGGCCCTTTCCTGTTTCAGCATGACAATTCCGTCAGTAGAGGATGCCTGGTTGTTCTTTAAAAGTAATTTCCTCTCAATCTTAAATAAACATGCCCCATTCAAAAAATACAGAACTAAGAACAGATATAGCCCCTGGTTCTCCTCAGACTTGACTGCCCTTGACCAGCACAAAAACATCCTGTGGCGTACTGCATTAGCATCAAATAGCCCCCGCGATATGCAACTTTTCAGGGAAGTTAGGAACCAATATACACAAGCAGTTAGGAAAGCAAAGGCTAACTTTTTCAAACAGAAATGTGCATCCTGTAGCACTAACTCCAAAAAGTTTTGGGACACTGTAAAGTCCATGGAGAATAAGAGCATCTCCTCCCAGCTGCCCACTGCACTGAGGCTAGGAAACACTATCACCACTGATAAATCTACAATAATCGAGAATTTCAACAAGCATTTTGCTACGGCTGGCCATGCTTTCCACCTGGATACCACTACCCCGGCCACCAGCTCTGCACCCTCTGCTGCAACTTGCCCATGCCCCCCCCCCCGCTTCTCCTTCACACAAATTCAAACAACTGATGTTCTGAAAGAGCTGCAAAATCTGGACCCCTACAAATCATCTGGGCTAGACAATCTGGACCCTTTCTTTCTAAAACTAGCCGCAGAAATTGTCGCAACCCCTATTACTAGCCTGTTCAACCTCTCTTTCGTAACGTCTGAGATCCCCAGAGATTGGAAAGCTGCCGCGGTCATCCCCCTCTTCAAAAGGGGTGACACTCTAGATCCAAACTGTTACAGACCTATATCCATCCTGCCCTGCCTTTCGAAAGTTTTTGAAAGCCAAGTTAACAAACAGATCACCGACCATTTCGAATCCCACCGTACCTTCTCCACTATGCAATCCGGTTTCCGAGCTGGTCATGGGTGCACCTCAGCCACGCTCAAGGTCCTAAACGATATTATAACCGCGATCGATAATAGACAGTACTGTGCAGCTGTCTTCATCGACCTGGCCAAGGCTTTCGACTCTGTCAACCACCGCATTCTTATTGGCAGACTAAATAGCCTTGGTTTCTCAAATGACTGCCTCGCCTGGTTCACCAACTACTTCTCAGATTTCAATGTCTCAAATCGGAGAGCCTGTTGTCTGGAACTATGGCAGTCTCTATGGGGGTGCCACAGGGTTCAATTCTTGGGCCGACTCTTTTCTCTGTGTATATCAATGATGTCGCTCTTGCTGCTGGTGACTCTCAGATCCACCTCTACGCAGACGACACCATTTTGTTTACATCTAGCCCTTCATTGGACACTGTGTTAACAAACCTCCAAACGAGCTTCAATGCCATACACCACTCCTTCAGTAGCCTCCAACTGCTCTTAAACACTAGTAAAACTAAATGCATGCTCTTCAATCGAACGCTGCTGGCACCCGCCCACCCGACTAGACTCACTACGCTCGACGGGTCTGACCTAGAGTATGTGGACAACTACAAATACCTAGATGTCTGGTTAGACTGTAAACTCTCCTTCCAGACTCACATTAAGAATCTCCAATCCAAAGTTAAATCTAGAATTGGCTTCCTATTTCGCAACAAAGCCTCCTTCACTCATGCTGCCAAACATGCCCTCGTAAAACTGACTATCCTACCGATCCTTGACTTCGGCGATGTCATTTACAAAATAGCCTCCAACACTCTACTAAAGCAAATTGGATGTAGTCTATCACAGTGCCATCCGTTTTGTCACCAAAGCCCCATATACTACCCACCACTGTTACCTGTACGCTCTTTTGTTGGCTGGTCCTCACTACATATTCGTCGCCAAACCCACTGGCTCCAGGCCATCTATAAATCACTGCTAGGCAAATCCCTGCCTTATCTTAGCTCATTGGTCACTATAGCAACACCCACCCGTAGTATGCGCTCCAGCAGGTATATCTCACTGGTCATCCCCAAAGCCAACACCTCCTTTGGCCACCATTCCTTCCAGTTCTCTGCTGCCAATGACTGGAACGAATTGCAAAAATCTCTGAAGCTGGAGACTCATCCCCCTCACTAACTTTAAGCATCAGTTGTCAGAGCACCTTACCGATCACTGCACCTGTACACAGCCCATCTGAAATTAGCCCACCCAACTACCTCATCCCCATATTGTTATTTATTTTGCTAATTTGCACCCCAGTATCTCTATTTGCACATCATCTCTTATTCCAGTGTTAATACTAATTGTACTTTTTTTGCACTATAGCCTATTTATTGCCTTACCTCCATAACTTGCTACATTTGCACACACTGTATATATATTTTCTGTTGTATTTTTGACATTATGTTTTGTTTTACCTCATATGTAACTCTGTGTTGTTGTTTTTATCGCACTGCTTTGCTTTATCTTGCCCAGGTCGCAGTTGTAAATGAGAACTTGTTCTCAACTGGTTTACCTGGTTAAATAAAGGTTAAAAAAAGAAATAATGCACCCATGCACAAAGTGAGGTCCATACAGAAATGGTTTGTCAAGATCGGTGTGGAAGAACTTGACTGGCCTGCACAGAGCCCTGACCTCACCCCCATCGAACACCTTTGGGATGAATTGGAACACCGACTGCGAGCCAGGCCTAATAGCCAAACATCAGTGCCCGACCTCACTAATGCTCTTGTGGCTGAATGGAAGCTAGTCCCCGCAGCAATGTTCCAACATCTAGTGGAAAGCCTTCCCAGAAGAGTGTAGGCTGTTATAGCAGCAAAGGGGGGACCATCTCCATATTAATGCCCATGATTTTGGAATGAGATGGTCGGCAAGCAGGTGTCCACATACTTTTGGTCATGTAGTGTACTTACCAGCAGCCCTCCCACAGCGGCACAAAGCACACCACAATGGACAAATGATTGACAATGTTATAACAGACAAACAACTGGGGGGAGAGGGATGGGGGGCTGCCCAAATAACCAGTGTTTGGTAACCTCCCCTATCGCAGCCACCGGGCGCAGATTACAAAATCCAGCTGACGTAAACAAGGCATAATGTTGTATACAGAGGACATGTTAGATAACTTACATTAGGGCTAAAGCCTTTCTACAGGCCCATATGGGAATCATCATCAGCCCATTTAGGTCCCAGAAGGGATTATTAAGGGATTTACATAGAGAGATGGATCTGAAATCCCTTGACGCTATACTTCCTGTCTCATCTCACTTAAGATCAAATCCTGCTTTCTCTCTCAGATTTGTGAAAAGATTCCTTCTGCCATTTTTGCATAAAGTGCCCTTTTTCATTCCAGCATGAGCCTTTCAACACTATGGAATATACAGTGGGGTCCGAAACTATTGACACCATTCATAAAGATCAGCAAAAATGACTATATAAAATAAATAATTCAAATACTGAGCTATATTGTATTTTAATTTTTTTTAAGAAAGGGAAATTATATTATTTTATACTAATTCAATTGCTCAGAGAAATAGATTTTGTTTAGCAAGTAAATATTATAAAAACAAATTTAAAAAGGTAGGTGTCAAAATTATTGACACCCCTGTTTTCAATACCTCACCTTGTGAGGATAACGGCAATGAGCCTTTTAATAAAATGTTTTATGAGTTGGAGAACAAATTGAGAGGAATCTTAGACTATTCCTCCATACAGAATCCTTCCAGATCCTTGATATCCTTAGTCTGCGCTTATGGACTGCACTCTTCGATTCAAACTACAGGTTTTCAATGGGTTTCAAGTCCGGAGACTGAGATGGCCATTGCAAACTGTTGATTTTGTGGCCAATTAACCAATTATTTGTGGATTCTGATGTGTGCTTAGGGTTATTGTCTTGCTGGAAGATCCACTTGCAGCCAAGTTTCAGCCTCCTGACAGAGGCAACCAGGTTTTTGGCAAACATTTCCTGGTACTGGGTAAAGTTAATGATGCCGTTAACCTTAACAAGGGCCCCAGGACCAATAGCCCCAGAACATCAAAGATCCACCACCATATTTGACAGTAGGTATGGGGTTCTTTTCTGCATACTGTATGTGGCCAAAGAGCTCTGTTTTCATTCCACTGTATATGCAACCATGGTGTACAGTACAGTACTGTACAGTATAGTACAATATAGTACAGTACAGTATAGTACAGTACAGCTGGCAACAGAGAGATAGTGTCAAATCAACACAAACAGGCAATTACCTGATAACTTTCTGCTTCTCGAACTAGAACATGGCTCTTCACATGTGTTGGACACATGACACTGCATGAGCTATCACCTATTGTGCATGATGCACACGCGCACACACACAGACACACGTCATATTTTTTCTTTAACGATGAACTCATTGTTTTCAACACTCCTGAAACCTGCTTGGCTGGTCCCCTACCATTGCATTTTTTTTTCTTGTAGGACTGAGAAGATTTTGAATGTGATGTTTCACATTGTGACCGTTCAAAATGAGAAAGCATATTGCCAGAGTTCTACTTCCCCCTCACATTCTCTCCCACTAAAACTCTCAGAGCTTTCAGGAGAGTGGGCAGAAAGGCCTTCCTCATTCCAAGGCTTTGTGTGTTTGTGTGTGTGTGTCTGTGTGTGTGTGTGTGTGTGTGTGTATGTGTGTGTGTCTGTGTGTGTGTGTGTGTGTGTGTGCGTGCGTGTGCAGATTCATGAGAACTAGCTGAGTTTGTGTGGGCTAACCTGCCTTTCTGAACACTAAGCCATGTATGTATGAGGGTGTATTCTAAGTGGTCCTCCGGAGCATTACGCAAACTCTGTGTCATTCTTTGTCTGACTGAGTAGTTTACAAGGGAAATGAATGGTTGAGACCGAAATGTCTGAGTATACGAGCTACTGAAAAGAGAATGTGGTTGTGCTAGTGGGAGTACAGTATGTACCTTGTATTATTATGGAGAGAGAGAGAGAGAGCGCGAGAGAGAGAGAGAGAGAGAGAGAGAGAGAGAATCATGGAGCAAGCTGGGTTGAGCAATTTAGGACATGTGGAGGGCCACCCACCACTAAACAATCACAGAGCCACTCAGCCCTCACACACAAATGGACAGCAGTTGATTTCATAACACTTGTTCTGAGAGGGCCAGAGATGGGACAGAGGGGGAGGCGGGGGAGTAATAAAGAACAAGGCCTGATCAACAACAACCTTACACTGGCCAGCATCACAGCATCACAATTCGACTCAATGCATTATTTCATACACAATATGCAAGTGTACATCACTCTCATATGCAATGCAGTTAGTGTAAGATCCTTATGGGCAATGTAACAAACAAAAGATCAGGTTGAAAAGTGACGAAATTGAGCTTTTCCAAATGGGCCACCCACCCGTGGATAATGATTAATTTATGGTCTCTGTGACATGAGGCTGCATGGAGAGCTGGCAGGGTTGGGACTTGTGTTGATAGTAAGTGGATCGGCTCCTGGCCTGCCTGGGCTTTGCCTTGCTGAGCTGGATCAATAATTCAGTGTAGTGGAACCTGTTATCCTCGATGGTTTGTCTCCTGGGGTCACGACCTGCTGCTTCCATAAGGTGTGTGTCGGCCTGTGTGTGCATTTTGGGATTCAATAACTTTTTGAACCCCTTTTGATTGCAACAAACCTTCCATACATACAGTGGGGAGAACAAGTATTTGATACACTGCCGATTTTGCAGGTTTTCCTACTTACAGTGGGGATAAAAAGTATTTAGTCAGCCACCAATTGTGCAAGTTCTCCCACTTAAAAAGATGAGAGAGGCCTGTAATTTTCATCATAGGTACACGTCAACTATGACAGACAAATTGAGAGAGAAAAAATCCAGAAAATCACATTTCTCATTTTGTCTGTCATAGTTGACGTGTACCTATGATGAAAATTACAGGCCTCTCTCATCTTTTTAAGTGGGAGAACTTGCACAATTGGTGGCTGACTAAATACTTTCTTTCCCCACTGTACAAAGCATGTAGAGGTCTGTAATTTTTATCATAGGTACACTTCAACTGTGAGAGACGGAATCTAAAACAAAAATCCAGAATATCACATTGTATGATTTTTAAGTAATTCATTTGCATTTTATTGCATGACATAAGTATTTGATACATCAGAAAAGCAGAACTTAATATTTGGTACAGAAACCTTTGTTTGCAATTACAGAGATAATACGTTTCCTGTAGGTCTTGACCAGGTTTGCACACACTGCAGCAGGGATTTTGGCCCACTCCTCCATACAGACCTTCTCCAGATCCTTCAGGTTTCGGGGCTGTCGCTGGGCAATACGGACTTTCAGCTCCCTCCAAAGATTTTCTATTGGGTTCAGGTCTGGAGACTGGCTAGGCCACTCCAGGACCTTGAGATGCTTCTTACAGAGCCACTCCTTAGTTGCCCTGGCTGTGTGTTTCGGGTCGTTGTCATGCTGGAAGACCCAGCCACGACCCATCTTCAATGCTCTTACTGAGGGAAGGAGGTTGTTGGCCAAGATCTCGCGATACATGGCCCCATCCATCCTCCCCTCAATACGGTGTAGTCGTCCTGTCCCCTTTGCAGAAAAGCATCCCCAAAGAATGATGTTTCCACCTCCATGCTTCACGGTTGGGATGGTGTTCTTGGGGTTGTACTCATCCTTCTTCTTCCTCCAAACACGGCGAGTGGAGTTTAGACCAAAAATCTCTATTTTTGTCTCATCAGACCACATGACCTTCTCCCATTCCTCCTCTGGATCATCCAGATTGTCATTGGCAAACTTCAGACGGGCCTGGACATGCGCTGGCTTGAGCAGGGGGACCTTGCGTGCGCTGCAGGATTTTAATCCATGACGGCGTAGTGTGTTACTAATGGTTTTCTTTGAGACTGTGGTCCCAGCTCTCTTCAGGTCATTGACCAGGTCCTGCCGTGTAGTTCTGGGCTGATCCCTCACCTTCGTCATGATCATTGATGTCCCACGAGGTGAGATCTTGCATGGAGCCCCAGACTGAGGGTGATTGACCGTCATCTTGAACTTCTTCCATTTTCTAATAATTACGCCAACAGTTGTTGCCTTCTCACCAAGCTGCTTGCCTATTGTCCTGTAGCCCATCCCAGCCTTGTGCAGGTCTACAATTTGATCCCTGATGTCCTTACACAGCTCTCTGGTCTTGGCCATTGTGGAGAGGTTGGAGTCTGTTTGATTGAGTGTGTGGACAGGTGTCTTTTATACAGTTAACGAGTTCAAACAGGTGCAGTTAATACAGGTAATGAGTGGAGAACAGGAGGGCTTCTTAAAGAAAAACGAACAGCTCTGTGAGAGCCGGAATTCTTACTGGTTGGTAGGTGATCAAATACTTATGTCATGCAATAAAATGCAAATTAATTACTTAAAAATCATACAATGTGATTTTCTGGATTTTTGTTTTAGATTCCGTCTCTCACAGTTGAAGTGATAAAGATTACAGACCTCTACATGCTTTGTAAGTAGGAAAACCTGCAAAATCGGCAGTGTATCAAATACTTTTTCTCCCCACTGTATTTGCCCATTGTAGAAGTGCTCAGAAAGTTACTTTTTGGACCTGAATGCCAAACATTCAAGAGATAAAAGTGCTCAAAGTTTACACCTTTTGCATACCCCACCATAGCATGAGACAACCATGTCTTCATCACTGGAAAAGATAAACGGTTGAGATTGATTTAAAACTCACAAACAGGTTTGTCAAACTATTTTATAATTTCTTGAAAAAAATGTTGTTTTAAATAAAAATTGTCATTTTTTTAACCATTAATGCCAATTATCTAAAAACGTGTAAACTCAGATTCTGTGGTAGCGAATACCCTATTTTACATCATATGAGCTTTTTGTGTTGTGCCCACCATCGGTTGAGACACAACATGAATTCAGGGTGGGTGTCATGTTTTGGCTAATAAATGTACTAAAATAGGAATAAAATAGAAATGTCAACTTTAAAATCAAATGGTACCACAACAATGGTTGGAGGTCCAGACATCAGAAAATGTTGACTTGAACGGTCATATCTGTTGTTTTAAATACTGTCAATCCTCCATAGGAAACCTATTGAAATCATAGAAATATAGATAATAGAATAGACATGACCATTTCAGTTGACATTCAATGGTTGGTGGACCAGCGGCCATCTTTGTGGTAGTAATTAGAAGTTACAATTTCAATTACATTTAAATGTCAATAGTGTAACAGATAAATTGCAGTGGTCTGAAGGGATAGGTGTAGGTCCATTCTATGAATTATATTTCTATGATCAAAATGACACCCACCCTGTATTCAAGAGCATGTTGTGTCTCAACCGCTGGCCGGCACAACACAAAAACCTCAGATGCTGTAAAATAGGGTCTAAGCTACAACATATGTGAATATGAAAAAAAACTGAAGTTTACACATTTTTAGATAATTGACATTAAAAACAAACAAACAAAAAAAACTAGAAATTATGACATCATTTGACAACCCTGTTTGTAAGCTTTGAAATGATATCAAACTCAACAGTTTATATGTTCAAGTGATGAAGACATGGATGTCTCAATGTAGGGTGGGGTATGCAAAATGGGTCAACTTTGAGCACCTTTATCAAAGATTTTTATCACTAACCCAAGATAGACCACAGCCTGTCATTTCCAATGGGAGCAAATTAATCATTGTGGGCAGAACCAAGCACGAGCTAGTGAGCTGCTATTGGCGTGTTCTAGCATGTATTTGCATATTTCCGTTAGGGAACGCCTACTCTGTGAAGTGCGCGTGTGCAACTCAATTCGCCCATGCAATTTTGTAAAAAAGTCTACAAAACTTAGTCCACTCTTTTCATAACATATTGTAGTTTTGGGAACAGAAAACTCTATTGCGATCAAATGTTCCATTGATGAGACAGTTTGCAGAATGTCTGCCAAAATCCATCTCGCTCCATCTTCTCCCACTTCCAGCTACCGGGCTTCCTCTCATCACCATATTTGGTGGTGAGTGGAAATGCCAACCAGATGCTTCAGATTTATACATCCGGTGAAACATCTGGCTTATTGTTCTATCTGTGCCTTTATCTCCAGAATGTTTTGGCATTCAGGTCCAAAAAGTAACTTTCTCACCACTTCTTCCATGGGCAAACATGTATGGAAAGTTTTGTTTAAAACAAAAGGGATTCTGTCAAAATGTGATTGAATTCAAATGGAGATATTGTTACCGTGTTGCTTAAAACTACATTCAAAGTTTAAACGTATTCATGACTAAGAGTCTTGGGCAGGGTGTTCTAAGCTCCTAATGCCGTGATCATTATATTTGACATGAGACATACTGTATTTTTATTATTTAATCACCCATTTTCCTTCACCCGGTCACATTGTCTTGAGTAGGTGTCAAGTGTATTATTAAAGTCAGACTCAAAGTATCAATCAGAGGTCAGTGACTGAGGTCTGGTAGCTTAATTACTGGATCAGCGTTCTGACAAACACACAACCAACCAGAGACACAGTAAATCAAATCAAATGTTATTGGTCACATACACATATTTAGCAGATGTTATCGCGGGTGTAGCGAAATGCTTGTGAAATGCATTACTATCCAGCTCCTGCATTTGGTTGGAGTGAATAATGGTGAATGGTTCAGATTGGCCTAGAGATCTGTATGGCTCTGGTTCAGAATGGGTTTTTTGGGGCCACCAGTCATCAGTAGTGCCAGTGCCAAAGCAACCAGTACCAGACCAGGTGCCTGAGTACAGAACAATAGGATGTTCAAAAGGTTCAACTAACTGCCCAGGACAGCTACCTACCTACCGCTGGAGCACAGTCTGCTACTGGTGGTGAACTCTCTACTGTACCTCTGGTACCATGTACCACCATGCCTCCTAGCTGGCACACCATCAGAGACCCACAGAGACTCTGGCTAAAACCAGGGGGGGCACCTATAACACAATGCAATAGATAGGATATGGCTGGGTTCTACACCAACTAAACAAACTATGGGTATGAAAACAGTTTATTGGGTATTAACTATTTCCCTGACCAGAACTATGCACAATGTGGCAGCTTCGTGTAGGATTCAGTTTGTTTTCAGTTCAATTGTGTAGCCAGGCTTTTTAAGTAGATATTATTCAAGTAAACGTGCATGAAGACTTTTTATGAAGGGTTAACTTGGACCAGAAGAGAAACTGGGGACATAGGAAGGATTTAACTAAGGACATATGAAGGATCTACCACGCCTGTGTGTCATCACAAACAATCCAGGATGTGACAAGATGTGTCTAAAGGTAATCCAGACATTTCCAGAGCACTTGACCGTACTAAGACAGCAAGACCTCAGAGGAAATGACTGCACTCCAAGGCCTTGACCCTTAGCTTAATGTAACCTTGTTCCTCATGATCACTCTATGCTCTCCCATTATGACCTGACAAGTATTTTAAGTCCTACTGGATGGCCGGAAAACTAAGTGACACGTGTCACAGTTCCACATTGAGTAGCCAAAGCTGGAAATGACCTATGGCCAACCTCCAGAATCACACAAACGGCATCTGCATACAAACACACACACATAAGTCCTTCATGCAGCTGAATCTGACCAATGTTACCCTCTGTGTTTACATCACGTAGAGATGGTCACCTCATGGCAGGGTTCAGTCAAGGCTTGCGTGCCATCGTTGTGCCACACAGATAAGAGCTAATTCGCGCGGTTAAGCCCCTTATGAATCGACCCCCTTGTTCTCATTTGTTTTGGTCAGTAAACCACCCCAAACAGATGACCTACGCACATTCATTCAGCTACTTTGCTCCAACTGAACCATCGACGGCTGCCACAAACAATTTCCCATTAGTGAAACACCACAGAATATAGCATTAGTATCAACATAACCAAGGACAGTACGTGGCAAACAGAACGCACAGACAAAACATACATCACTCCTAGAGGGAGAGAACATTCTTAAGAGCGTTTCTCATTCCTTCTCTAAATGAGTGACAATGATGTATAGATCTGAGGAAGGCTTTGTACCCACAGAGGACACAGGGTGAAAGATCTGACTTTGTCATTGGAACGCCATGAGAAGAGATCGTGCGGTTCCTCAGGCTCAGAGACAAATGAACACTGATGTGTTTGACAGACATATTGTCTTTGCGTTTCTCTTACAAAGGCTGAAGCAAATCATTTCATCCATACAATATTTCTACAAAATGTGCTGATATGTAATGCAATATTCAGGTATACAGGATGTACGTGTATTGTAAATATACACTACATGACCAAAAGTATGTGGACACCTGCTTGTCGAACATCTCATTCCAAAATCATGGGCATTAATGTGGAGTTGGTCCCCCCTTTGCTGCTATAACAGCCTCCACTCTTCTGAGAAGGCTTTCCACTAGATGTTGGAACATTGCTACGGGGACTTGCTTCCATTCAGCAACAAGAGCATTAGTGAGGTCGGGCACTGATGTTGGGCTATTAGGCCTGGCTCGCAATCGGTGTTCCAATTCATCCCAAAGGTGTTCGATGGGGGTTGAGGTCAGGGCTCTGTGCAGGCCAGTCAAGTTCTTCCACACCGATCTCGACAAACCATTTCTGTATGGACCTCGCTTTGTGCACAGGGGTATTGTCATGCTGAAACAGGAAAGGGCCTTCCCCAAACTGTTGCCACAAAGTTGGAAGCACAGAATCGTCTAGAATGTCAATGTATGCTGTAGCGTTAAGTTTTCCCTTCACTGGAACTAAGGGGCCTAGCCCAAACCATGAAAAACAGCCCCAGACCATTATTCCTCCTCCACCAAACTTTACAGTTGGCACTATGCATTGGGGCAGGTAGCATTCTCCTGGCATGTGCCAAACCCAGATTCATCCGTTACTGCCAGATGGTGAAGCGTGATTCATCACTCCAGAGAACGCATTTCCAATGCTCCAGAGTCCAATGGCGGCGAGCTTTACACCACTCCAGCCGACGCTTGGCATTGCGCATGGTGGTCTTAGGCTTGTGTGCGGCTGCTCGGCCATTTCATGAAGATCCCGAGGAACAGTTATTGTGCTGACGTTGCTTCCAAAGGCAGTGTTGCAACCGAGGACAGACGATTTGTACGCGCTACGCGATTCAGCACTCGGTGGTCCCGTTTTGTGAGCTTGTGTGGCCTACCACTTCGCGGCTGAGCCGTTGTTGCTCCTAGACATTTTCACTTCACAATAACAGCACTTACAGTTGACCGGGGCAGCTCTAGCAAGGCAGAAATTTGACGAACTGACTTGTTGGAAAGGTGGCTTCCTTTGACGGTGCTACGTTGATAATCACTGAGCTCTTCAGTAAGGCCATTCTACTGCCAATGTTTGTCTATGGAGATTGCATCGCGGTGTGCTCAATTTTATACACCTGTGAGCAACGGGTGTGGCTGAAATAGCCGAATCCACTAATTTGAAGGGGTGTCCACATACTTTTGTATATATAGTGTATATATAGATGGTAATTACATATAAATACAGTATGTGAATTATAATAATGTAAACTTAATTTTTTGTCTTACCTGTATATCAAGCACTGTATCAACTATACCCCTAATGAGCGTCAACTCTACTGTATTCACAAGCTCCCTGTTAGAAAGCCTCCTGTCTGAAATTAATAACTGATTTATGACTTGTCCTCCTCGTTCGGGTGGCAGTTGCACAGTTCCTGTTCTTCCCTACTCCTGGGTAGAGTAACTTAGTGCCAACAAAATTCACGGCAATGCATCAAGCCCCCACCTACCCTTAGGTCCCCTATGTACCCCACCTACCCTTAGGTCCCCTATGTTCACTGCCTACCCTTATATCTCATATGTCTTCTCTTATGCCCCCCCCCCCCCCCCCAAGCAAAATAAATGTAAATTTGGATTGGACTGAAAATAATAATAATAATAAGTGTGGGAGTTGACCGCACTGTTCACCACACACTCAAAACTCTGAATTCCATGGTGATTAAAGTTGGTATTGCCAAATCAGCAGTCAGTGAAGTGAAATAATTGGCCAGTCATGTTATTATCCTGTGATTACCATAACATGTCCATAATGACATGTACATTACATTTATTACTGTACCATCTATTTCCTTCAGCTTTGAGTGTAACTGGGTAGAAAATGAAGTCATGATTTCAACACAAGTTTAGACCTACTTTATCACCGTGACTGGCTTGGCACAATCTAAGTTTAGGTTAGATCATTAGACAAGCCATATTTCAGTAGTCTATGTAAACTAAGTCCCTGAAAAATGTGAAGCACCTGCCACGCTGATGGATAATATAACAATGTAAAACCCTGGGGTGCACAGATAAATGATTAAAGCAATGCAATAACTTTCAACAATAGATTTTCTCCAATTATTTTCTTTCAAGGGAGGGAAATGTGTTAAAGGTACCACATGTAACAATTCAACAACGAACCGTCTCACTGTGGCCAGCAAATCTCTAGTTGTCAAATTAACTGGTCCGTTATTGAACTTGACAACAAGAGAATTGCTGGAGCCATTCAATTTGACAACAAGAGATGGTCTGTCCTTTGTTGACCAATAAGAAGGCTGCACCATTAGAATGACATTTTGAGTGGGCCCAATAATAGTATATTAAGGACATTTTCTAAAATTACAATGCAAAAATATTACATTTAGCTCTAAAACGTAAAGAATTGAGTGCAAAGGAAAAAGGAAAGTAGTAAGTATGCTGTTAGGAGCTTATGGTTGGACTAGAATAGTGTGTTACTTACTCCATCGATTCAGTAAGCTAGTCATATGCATCTTGTGGGGGTGAACGGGACAGGATGCACAGTCAGTCCCACAGCGTGTGTGTAACCCAAGCAAGACCAGCAGAAGTTAGTGCCTTTGTTCCAGCAGCTGAGAGAGACCAGACCACACACAATGAACACAAAGCACACACAGACAGGGACAAATGTGATTAGACATGCAAACAAGTGTCACTGCCACACCACATAACACACATGAAACATTCCACACTCTTGGTGATAAAACTATTACTGCAAGGGACAGGTTCGATTTTGCACTTGCACTTTCAGTAGGCTACTTGTGTAGTTTGGATGATATAGGGACCTAACAAGAGAGCACCTGTTGCACGTTTCACCGCTTACCAGTGGAGGCTCCTCAGAGGAGGAAGTGGAGGACCATCCTCCTCAGTGAATTTCAGAAGAACAAATGAATAGTGAAACATTAAAAAAGTTATCATTTTTAGATAAAACTATACTAAATATATTCACATATAACCAAATAATTGATTAAAACACACTGTTTTGCAATGAAGGTATACAGTACACTAGCCTCAACAGCACTCTGTAGGGTAGCACCCTGGTGTAGCTGGAGGACAGCTAGCTTCTGTCCTCCTCTGGTTACATTGACTTCAAAACAAAACCTAGGAGGCTCATGGTTCTCGACCCCTTCCATAGACTTACACAGTAATTATGACAACTTCTGGAGGACGTCCTCCAACCTATCATAGCTCTTGCAGCATGAACTGACATGTTGTCCAACCAATCAAAGGATCAGAGAATGAATCTAGTACTGAAAGCATACGCTACAGCTAGCTAGCAATGCAGTGCATAAAATGTGGTGAGTAGTTGACACAAAGAGTGAGAAAGACAATAGTTGAACAACTTAATTTCTTCCAGAATTAAGGAGAAGCAAAAGAGAGAGAGCTAGCTATATTTCCTAGTATTCTTTTTTTCACTTTCACTTTCTAAGCTAGCTTCAAATGCAGCTAGCTAGTTTAGCCTACTCAAACACCAGGCTCAAACAGAGAGGGATGATATTTTAGCTGGCTGGCTATGGCTATCTAACACCGGGGCCCGCCTGTGTAACTGCTCGCTGCTGACTGTACACTGTGCTGCATGATTGTAGCTAGCGGGTTTACTAACGCGTTAGTTCTAGTAGCTATGTTGACTATACCGTGACAACGATGTAGGCTGTGTGTAGCGGGTCATGATATGAAGGTTTGGCTTGGAAAGGTTTTTCGCCTGGTCACAGACATCTGATGTGTTGTGCCCTGAAGTCAATAAGTGAAGGGAAAAGGTGAGGAGGAGAGCGCGTAGATACATGCGAGAAGGAATTATATATACAACTAGCTGTTTGTATGGGGCTGCTATGAAAGTAAACTGTGTTTGCTTGTGATCAGTGGTGTATTAATTGTGCCGATTCTGTTGAAAAAAACTATTTCTTAAACAGAAGCAAACGCAATTAAACAGGGATAAACATACCTGAATTTGTCCAATAGAAACTCTTGTTTGAAAGTGTTGGAGTAATGATTACACCCTAGATCAGCTAGATGCAGGCAAGAGTGTGCAAAGCGGTATTGAATGTGTCACTGTCTGCCACCTTGATTACTCAAAAATCTCTCGACCTGTGCACCTACGTTGTAAACGTTCATTCAAAGGCTAGGTTGTTGCAACCTCATAGTGGGTACAGGGAAAATTCTAGTATCATGTAGTAGCCTAAACATATCGATGTTACATTGAGCTGGGTGAATGGAATCCCTTACAAAAAAGATTGCAGTTTTGAAACTGCAGTAAAAGTGCAGTAACTGCAGTCGACTGTGGTATTTTGGACTCAGTGATTGCAGAGTAACTGCAGTGTACTGCACTGTAACTGCAGTTGCACTGCACAATTACTGCAGTAAAAAAACAGTGTCCTACAGTTATATTGCACTCTTGACTGCAATCTTTTTTCATAATGGATATGAATGACAGTCATCCAATATGCTGTAATAGAAATAAGGCCATGTTCATTAAAAAAATGTCTCATCCTCCCTCATCTTAAACGGCACCAACTGTGTATGATCAAGTTACAGGTATTTTTAAGGTTCAGACTAGTCATTAGGCCCTACTTGCCATAAAAAACGTATTATATTTTAGGATGTGTATGAAAAGGATGCAATAAACTGTTGCATGATACTGCATAAGATTTATAATTTTATTGGGATATGATATCATTCTAAAGTTCACCTATCAATCCGAGGTGTAGCCTAGTTTGTGTCTTGTATATTCAATCACATGTCAATTCTTCACATAACTACCATTTGGACGTCGGCTACTGTGAAAGCAGTGGTGGGAAATATATTGGAACTGAGATAAAAAATTAAAAGTTGCAAGTGTGTGTGCGTTCAAACGGTAAAACAAATCATGTTAACAGATATTTGGAAAGTTTGTGAACTATATGCTTCAATTGATGGCTACAAAATAGCCACTGTCAAATTGTACATGTATATACTACTTACTGCGGCAAACTGTTGTGTAGACAAGCGTTTTCTTCAATGAACTTCCCCGGCTGCGTAGTAGATGAAAATATATTTCCCATAGAAGATGCAATGACTAGAATGGCGCGAGCGCTGCAACACTTTACATTTTACTGCGTTCATGCGAGTCTCGACCAAACAGAGCAATCAATGCGTCAGACTCAATCTGTCACCGTCGGGCTCAGTTGTTTTGCAGAAACTGAACCCAAACAGGTTGATGAAATGCATGCCTTATCTGTTGCCTTGGGAACACCCTGCAATTACAGGACTCACTGCGCTTCAACCTGTCACTCGTTAAAAAGTGAGACCGATGAAAGCGTTGCCTAGTGGCTCTCTTTCCCTCCCTCCCACACACCACACTGACCACAACACAGACAGCTGCCAACGTCGCAATGAGAAACGTTAATATTCTGAAGAACCGTTTATTCTCATAACATTTTCACGTTGTCCTCCCAAAATGTTGACCTGAATTTCATATTATAATAAATTAACCACCTCCATCATAACTTGCTACATTTGCACACACTGTATATATATTTTCTGTTGTATTTTTGACTTTATGTTTTTTACCCCATATGTAACTCTATGTTGTTTTTATCGCACTGCTTTGCTTTATCTTGGCCAGGTCGCAGTTGTAAATGAGAACTTGTTCTCAACTGGCTTACCTGGTTAAATAAAGATGAAATAAAAAAAATAAAAAAAATTAAAGAACACGAAAATCCCTATTCCCTACGCTAAATAAATTCACCAAGACATTCAACAAGTTTGCTTGAAGCTGGTTTGTACAACTCTGAAAATACATTCACCTATTATGCTATCTATCTATTATCTATAACGATTAATAAGAAAACGTATTATTCAGCTTTAGGATATTTTTTTACCAAGGCAGTGAATGTGCTGAGTGCATCCTGTATCATGAAATGGGATAGGATGCACTCTGGTGGTCATTTTTTGTGTAAAGTAAAAGTTGATGTAGCTACATACAATATGGGCATTACCAATGTATACACATAATTGGGATTACCCCTATGATGGCCCGAAAACAAGTGCACAATGCTCTTCTGCAAAAAATACTCAACAATAATGTGACAGAGTCAGGACACAAATTGCAGAAAGGCAACTGTAATTTATTCAAATAATGAACTGGATACAATATGTATAGAATAATTCATTATGAGCTCTCGTTTTGTGAGAAGCTCTGTCATACTGACAATTCAATGGTATGTTTACAGTATGTTAGCATGCATTTGGGTAGAGGCCCCAACGTCTCACTACAATGGATGACATTATACTATAGTACATTGTGTGATATGGACAGTAAAGGTAATCCTAGCCCTTTCAATAAGATTGGGCAAAGATTGTGATGAAACAGAAAGCTAAGATTAAATATATGTATAAATACAAATATCATACAGCATTCTGGGGGTTGCATTTAATTTAACCCTGTAGTCAAACCCAACCTCTCCTTTGATATATTGTTCTTAGGAGAGGGGAGCACTTTCACGTGGAGGGGTGATAAAATATGGTTTGTCTTCGACATTTTCAACAGTCCAATTTAAACCCATGATAGTGGGTTATATCAAAAGTTATGTCCCCCCCACTTCTAAAACCAAAGTTGCGTCATGACTGTGTTTATCCAGAATTAGAATATTTTGAGCAAAATTTGATTTGGACTGAGCTTATAATTATCCTCAGTATCTTATCCATAATTTAAATGTTAGATTATTTTCAAAAGGGCCCCTCCTGAACATTTGACAAGATGGTTAGATCACTATCTCACTAACAGGTACTTCCATACTACAGTTCCTTCACACCCCTTGACTTCTTCCACATTGTTGTTAGAGCCTGAATTTAAAATTGATTAAATTGAGATTTTTGGGTCACTGGCCTACACACAATAACCCATAATGTCAAAGTGGAATTATGTTTTTCTAAATGTTTACAAATAAATTAAAAAATTAAAAAGCTGAAATGTTTTGAGTCAATAAGTATTCAACCCCTTTGTTTTGGTATGCCTAAAGTTCAGGAGTAATACTGTGCTTAACAAGTCTGTCATAATAAGTTGCATGGACTCATACTGTGTTCAATAATAGTGTTTAACATTATTTTTTAATGTCTACTTCATCTCTATACCCCACACATACAATTATCTGTAAGGTCACTCAGTCGAGTAGTGAATTACAAACACAGATTCAACCACAAAGACCAGGGAGGTTTTCCAATGCCTCACAAAGAAGAGCACTTATTGGTAGATGGGAAAAAAAAAAAAGGCAGACATTGAATACCCTTTGAGCATGGTGAAATTATTAATTACACTTTGGATGGTGTATCAATAAACCCAGTCACTACAAAGATACAGGTGTCCTTCCTAACTCAGTTATAGGATAGGAAGGAAACCGCTCAGGGATTTCACCATGACGCCAATGGTGACTTTAAAACAGTTACAGAGTTTAATGGCTGTGATAGGAGAAAACTGAGGATGGATCAACAACATTGTAGTTACTCCACAATACTAACCTAATTGACAGAGTGAAAAGAAGGAAGCCTGTACAGAATACAAATATTCCAAAACATGCATCCTGTTTGCAACAAGGCACTAAAGTAATAGTGCAAAAAATGTGGCAAAGCAATTACATTTTTGCCCTGAATACAAAGTGTTATGTTTGGGGCAAATACAATACATTACTGAGTACCACTCTCCATATTTTCAAAAATAGTGGTTGCTGCATTATGTTATGGTATGCTTGTAATCGTTAAGGACGGATGTTTTCAGGATAAAAAAGAAACGGAATGGAGCTAAGCACAGGCAAAATCCTAGAGGAAAACCTGGTTCAGTCTGCTTTCCACCAGACACTGGGAGATTAATTCACCTTTCAGCAGGACAATAACTTAAAACACAAGGTCAAATCTACACTGGAGCTGCTTACCAGCAAGACAGTTAATTTTTACAGTTGTGACTTAAATCTGCTTGAAAATCTATGGTAAGACTTGAAAATGGTTGTCTAGCAATGATCAACAACCAATTTGACAGAGCTTGAACAATTTTGAAAATAATAATGGGCAAATATTGTATAATCCAGGTGTGCAATGCTCTTAGAGACTTACCCAGAAAGACTCAGTTGTAATCACTGCCAAAGGTGATTCTAACATGCATTGACTGAAGGGTGTGAATACTTACGTAAATTAGCTATTTCTGTACTTCATGTTCAATACACTTGCAAAAATGTCTAAAAACAGGTTTTCACTTTGTCATTATGGGGTATTGTGTGTAGGTGGGTGAGAGAAAAAATATATTTAATTCATTTTTAATTCAGGCTGTAACACAACGAAATGTGGAACAAGTCAAGAGGTATGAATACTTTCTGAAGGCACTGTAGGTGGTCAGCTATACAGAGACCTCTCAGATACCATCTAACAACACAGCATACATGACAGGCTGACTGACAGGGTCCAGCATTGCAACAGAGCGACATTTCTTATGCATAGTAAGTCTTAAAAAACACACAACATACAAGTCCGTGTTTTCACATACAGCAGTGACATGCAAGAAAATGACACGTTGGTGCTGAAATAATCATTATGCGGAAGCATTAATTGTTGAATTAATGTTGTTTCAATAATATCTTATGGAATCATAAACATGCCCAGTGACTGAAGTTATCTGTACACCAACACTGTCTAACTACATGCAAAAAGCGCAAGAGGTTAAAAACACATGCCACCAGAGAACTGGGGAGATTATTAGACCACTTTGGGCTCATCTAAGATTGCACTCTACTGGCAATGTCGAAGTTCTACCATCTCGTTTGTATCTTACCATATCTGATGACAACTTTATCTATGTCAAATTAATTCCAACATTTCCATAAGAGATATGTCATGCATAGATTGTACAAGAGGTCTGCAGTCACACTAGGCTATACGCTTGGTATTAAAATTAATTTGTAAGAGCTAGTAATTTATACAATTTCACAATAATATGCCATTTAGCAGACGCTTTTATCCAAAGCGACTTACAGTCATGTGTGCATACATTTTTACGTATGGGTGGTCCCGGGGATCGAACCCACTACCCTGGCGTTACAAGTGCCATGCTCTACCAATTGAGCTACAGAGGACCACAATGACATTGCAATTACAAATATTCACTTGGTTAAAAGGTGTTTGTTTCTCTATGATTGCTCTTACTTTACAAAATATGATACACATTTTCTTTTTGGTGTTCTGAAAATGAGATGTTTAAAAACCACACCCTTAAATCTATTACCATATAAAAAGAAAAAACACATGATTTTGATTTGAGCTTCAACATTGTATCATCCCCATTTGCTCTCCACACGTTTGAGAAGTAAACACATATATTAGAAACATTTAGCTTCATTTCGTTTTTAAAAGCTCTTTACCAGTTGTAGTAACTGGGAGTCTTTACAATGAACCAGTAGTGAGGACTTAATAAATAAAACAAATAGATTGTGCATCAACAACTACATCTATTAAATGTGCAACTTATGTAGCTTATACAATTTTTGCATTGGGAAATTAACAAACTCACATGCATACTATGAATTTGGTAAACCTTTTTCATTTCAATAAACCTCTACTATACAGGTTTCCACTCAAAACATGTTCCTAAACTGGCCACATTGATGAGTGGTCCAGACAATCATAAATAGTCAAGTAATCTGCTCTGCTGAAACGTGGGGGCCAGGAGTCACCCTTTGAAATGTACAACCATCAACAAACACCCCCTCCCGCCCCCATACCCCTGCAGTAAACGTGAGAGCATTTTCAAATGGAGGAGAGGGTGGAGAAACACGTGTACCTAGGCTAACAGACCTTTACAGCAGAAGCCTGAGACAGAGCATGCTATGACTAGAAACATGAGCATGCATTACAGACATGGGGTTAAGTGAGTGACAGTCAGGAGGGAGATTCCCCCAGAAGGGTGTCCAGGCTCCAGTCACTTCCATATTCAAGTCCTGGATCTCTTCCAACAGTCCTGTCCACCTCAACAAAAACCATTGGTGGCCGCCACAACATAAAGCAGTGAGTGAAGGGTGGGCTTGAGGGGGGGCTGCAAGTCGAGTCGCTAGCATGCGCCCACCTTCGCGCTGAAAAACCACACAGCATCAGGAAAGAGCCTCATCTTCGCCCACGAAGGGCAGGTCCATACTTCTCATGCCCTCACCGCTCTCTTGTTTCCTAGAAAACAGACAGAAGGAGCAGAATTCAATACAGCCATCAGTGCTAAGTACAGTGGCTTGCGAAAGTATTCACCCCCCATTTTTCCTATTTTGTTGCCTTACAACCTGGAATTAAAATGGATTTTGGGGGGTTTGTATCATTTGATTTACACAACATGCCTACCACTTTGAAGATGCAAAATATTTTTTATTGTGAAACAAACAAGAAATTAGACCAAAAAAATGAAAACTTGAGCGTGCATAACTATTCACCCCCCCCAAAGTCAATACTTTGTAGAGCCACCTTTTGCAGCAATTACAGCTGCAAGTATCTTGGGGTATGTCTCTATAAGCTTGGCACATCTAGCCACTGGGATTTTTGCCCATTCTTCAAGGCAAAACTGCTCCAGCTCTTTCAAGTTGGATGGGTTCCGCTGGTGTACAGCACTCTTTAAGTCATACCACAGATTCTCAATTGGATTGAGGTCTAGGCTTTGACTAGGCCATTCCAAGACATTTAACTGTTTCCCCTTAAACCACTCAAGTGTTGCTTTAGCAGTATGCTTAGGGTCATTGTCCTGCTGGAAGGTCAACCTCCGTCCCAGTCTCAAATCTCTGGAAGACTGAAACAGGTTTCCCTCAAGAATTTCCCTGTATTTAGTGCCATCCATCATTCCTTCAATTCTGACCAGTTTCCCAGTCCCTGCCGATTAAAAACATCCCCACAGCATGATGCTGCCACCACCATGCTTCACTGTGGGGATGGTGTTCTCGGGGTGATGAGAGGTGTTGGGTTTGCGCCAGACATAGCGTTTTCCTTGATGGCCAAAAAGCTACATTTTAGTCTCATCTGACCAGAGTACCTTCTTCCATATGTATGGGGAGTCTCCCACATGCCTTTTGGCAAACACCAAACGTGTTTGCTTATTTTTTTCTTTAAGCAATGGCTTTTTTTCTGGCCACTCTTCCTTAAAGCCCAGCTCTGTGGAGTGTACGGCTTAAAGTGGTCCTATGGACAGATACTCCAATCTCCGCTGTGGAGCTTTGCAGCTCCTTCAGGGTTATCTTTGGTCTCTTTGTTGCCTCTCTGATTAATGCCCTCCTTGCCTGGTCCGTGAGTTTTGGTGGGCGGCCCTCTCTTGGCAGGTTTGTTGTGGTGCCATATTCTTTCAATTTTTTAATAATGGATTTAATGGTGCTCCGTGGGATGTTCAAAGTTTCAGATATTTTTTTATAACCCAACCCTGATCTGTACTTTTCCACAACTTTGTCCCTGACCTGTTTGGAGAGCTCCTTGGTCTTCATGGTGCCGCCCCTTGCTTAGTGGTGTTGCAGACTCTGGGGCCTTTCATAACAGGTGTATATATACTGAGATCATGTGACAGATCATGTGACGCTTAGACTGCACACAGGTGGACTTTATTTAACTAATTATGTGACTTCTGAAGGTAATTGGTCACTTTTCCATTACTTATTTTTTAGAATTTTCTGAAACAAGTTATTTTTTTCATTTCACTTCACCAATTTTGACTATTTTGTGTATGTCCATTACATGAAATCCAAATAAAAATCAATTTAAATTACAGGTTGTAATGCAACAAAATAGGAAAAACACCATGGGGGATGAATACTTTTGCAAGGCACTGTAGCTGTGTCAATTCTATCACTGCATAGATAGTTAGTTAACCTCAGTTTAGCTGGGAAACTGAGTGGAACCATTCACTTGTTACATAACTGGAGAGAGTGAGCAGAGAGGGAACTTAGCAAGCTGTTAGTCGAACATTCAGGTCAGAGGAAAAAAAAAGTACATGAAAGTAGTTCACTGGTATGTCCTTGGGAGAGGGAGGAGGGTATTGTGGTGCTGCATGCAGAGGATTCGGTAACCCATAAAAATAAAAATAAACGGATACTTTGGCCAAATTTAATTCAGGGTTTTCACAGGCAAAGTGTTTAGGCTACAATTCTGTAAGTGCTTGGCCAAGGATCGAGTCAGGCTGGTTGACCTTGATCATGTTATGAAGTTCATTACAATCAGGGTTTAGACAATGAGATTCTAAGTTGACGGTTTCTGCTCATTGCTGTACAGTACACACCTGGCCAAAAACACTTACATTTGCGCTCGGTAGTAGGCAACCCCACTTCATAACAGATACCAGTGCAGTTGGGGATCAGCAAGAGGTTCCCAGACATGGCTTCAAGTACCCCTGTGTATTGGCTATAATTGTTTCATTGACTGTATGTTAAACTGTTACACAGGAGCACTTGACAAACTAACACCATTCATGCCTATGGACTTAAGTGTATTTCATACCACTTAAATAGTACTACGATAGATAGGCAGGCAAGGCAGTGGCAGGCCCATAGTCCTTTACCTTCTTTGGTTACTATGAATGTAGCAGTATCTCACATTTCCCGCTCTCCTTTTGCTGGTGGGCAGGAGAGGGGGGGACAGATTAAGAGGCTGCCACAGCAAGTGCAGGCAAGCATATCATTGGTCGCCCAGGGAGAGAATAAATCTTAACACTTTCTAAAAGGAGCATCATTTTGCAAGATCAGACTAGTTAGGAATGTTGCCCATGTACGAAAGTGCCTCTAGCACAGAGCTTCTCCAGAGTAATATGAAGCTACATTACATTTATTAAAAACCATGAACTGCTTTTCAGAGTTAGGGGCAATTCCAGTCCATTTCAATTCTCTTCAATGCTTTTCAATTAGGAACATTTGGAATGTGGTTTACTTTCTGAATGGACAGGAATTTAAATGGAATTGACCCCAACCCTGCTGCTTTTAGAGTTGCAAAATTCTGGTAACTTTCCCCTAATTCCCCGGTTTTTCAAAAAAAAAAGCAGAAAATCCTCCAACCAGGATTTCGGGAAAACCTGGGAATTTGGGGAAAGTTAACAGAATGTTGCAACCCTAACTGACTAGAGAGCAGTGTAAAAGGCCTAAGAGGGGGACTTACGTGAGCATGTGTCCCGGTGCAGACAGACTTGTGCCTCTGTCTTCTGTCCTCTGACGGCCCCAGTCAAAGGGGTTCCCAAATGAGCGCTTCCTTAGCATGGTCCTCACCAGGATCTACATAAACAGACAGATAGACAGACATCTGTGATCTGGCCACACAACTGAGTGATATTGTATTGTGTCAGTGGCTTTTTAGGGGGACAACATCAGATATCAGACTGTATTATGTCCGGGGCTTTTTGAAAGGGCTATACCATAGAGTTAAGTATGAAACACATCACGGAGTGGCTATGAGCAGATCATTCATTGTCCGTAGTCATACTTTCACTTTTCCTGGTTATAGTTCAAACAAAGTATTTTAATTAGTTACATATTTAGCAACACTTCATATCAAGTTGCACTAATGCAATAATTACTCTATAACTTATTTGGTAACCACAGTTTAATTACCCAACTGTATGACAGTAAGGTAGATGAAATAATCAAAGAGCTGAAAGGAAACTGAACATATTAAACCAATAAATGAACATTCGTAACAAGGCATCTTTTGTGAACTGCAAAGTATGACCTCATGTCCCAGGACAGCAAGAAACTGCCTGCCGTAAAATGAGCCTGAGTGTGAGTTCTGAGCCATTAATCCAGTGCTATCATGTTTAATCCAGTGTTAAAGGCAGGGCAGTGTGTGGCCTGTGTGTGTCCTCCTCCCACCACTCACCACAGTGGCCAGACTGGGGATGTGTTTGACAGAGTTCTCCACCTCCTCCTCGGTCACCTCAATCAGCATGCAGCAGTTATCATCCTCCAGAGGGAGGGGTTCCGCTCCGTGCCTCGTCACCCACGGGTGCACCTGGAGGGAGCAGAGAGACAATCTCAACATCATGTAAGCACACACATACACACAAATGTATTAATTTTAATTTTAATTTTATTTCACCTTTATTTAACCAGGTAAGCCAGTTGAGAACAAGTTCTCATTTACAACTGCGACCTGGCCAAGATAAAGCAAAGCAGTGCGATAAAAACAACAACAACACAGAGTTACATATGGGGTAAACAAAAACGTACAGTCAATAACACAATAGAAAATATATATACAGTGTGTGCAAATGTAGTAAGTTATGGAGGTAAGGCAATAAATAGGCCATAGTGCAAAATAATTACAATTTAGTATTAACACTGGAGTTATAGATGTGCAGAAGATGATGTGCAAATAGAGATACTGGGGTGCAAATGAGCAAAATAAATAACAATATAAATAACAATATGGGGATGAGGTAGTTGGGTGGGCTAATTACAGATGGGCTGTGTACAGGTGCAGTGTTCGGTAAGCTGCTCTGACAACTGATGCTTAAAGTTAATGAGGGAGATAAGTGTCTCCAGCTTCAGAGATTTTTGTAGTTCGTTCCAGTCATTTGCAGCAGAGAACTGGAAGGAATGGCGGCCAAAGGAGGTGTTGGCTTTGGGTATGACCAGTGAGATATACCTGCTGGAGCGCATAATACGGGTGGGTGTTGCTATGGTGACCAATGAGCTAAGATAAGGCGAGGATTTGCCTAGAAGTGATTTATAGATGGCCTGGAGCCAGTGGGTTTGGCGACGAATATGTAGTGAGGGCCAGCCAACGAGAGCGTACAGGTCACAATGGTGGGTAGTATATGGGGCTTTGGTGACAAAACGGATGGCACTGTGATAGACTACATCCAATTTGCTGAGTTGAGTGTTGGAAGCTATCCAGAATAAAATAATGGATTTCTGAAACACTGCTTGAGATTACTTACTTCTTGACACACACACACCATAAACATATAAGAAAATCACAAAGAAGCAAACCTTAATCTGTGGTATTGATATCCTGCTCTCTGGATTCTTGTCCAGCATCTTCAGTAGCAGATCTTTCAGATCGTCAGATATGTCTGCACTGTAGGGCCACAACAATAGTCAGACTTAGGATGCTTACGGTCATCCATTTGTAATGGATCATATCACTCCCAGTAGAGTTGAATGTAGTACTCACTGCTCTGGCAGCTCCACTGGCTGGGTCTTGATCTTCTGATGAAGACTGAGGATGCGCTCATCCATGAAGGGACACTGTTGATGGGAGTAAAATTACAGTCAACGTGGTTGACAAAAGTTAACATTTTAGGTGAACAATGATGTATAAAAATGTACAAGTTAAATTGTTCAGTATCCGTGTTAAACCTGACCTTGCTTTATGCAGATGTGGATTGTGAGGTAATATGTGCAACACAGTGTAAGGTTAGTGAGCAGTGTAAGGAAAGAGGTTAGAGGTTTACCACTCCAAACACGAAACAATAGAGCGTCACTCCCATGGCCCAAACATCCAATGCCTACAAGAAGAAACAGAAATGGACTTAATTTAAAACCCACATCATTAAATTGTCCCATACAAGTTGCCCTACGGGAATTCCAAAGGAAAATATGTCATTTCCAAAGAGCCCTCCAGGGGGTGACAGAAGCTCATTCACCTTGCCAGAGAAGTTCTTCCTGGTCTCAGAGAGGGTCTCTGGGGCGAGGAAGGCAGGTGTGCCCACCGTGCTGGTCAGAAGGGCATCTGCCCCCTCAAACTGGTTACTGACCCCAAAGTCAGCGATCTTAATATGACCGTCCTCCCCAACTAGGAGGTTAGAGGGCTTGATGTCCCGGTGGATGATCCTCTGGTAATGCACTGGAAAACAAAAACAACAACAACAACACATGTTACCGGCATCACTGTGCTGCAAACAGTATCGCTTCCATCACTGTCCTTGTCCATGGCTCGAACTAGTTACCCTCTGCTCGCAAACACCTGTGACCGCCTGCTTGACAGCCTACTAACCATTTGCGCCACTGAAAAGGATCCAATTTAATGGCGCAATTAGCAACATTTCAAGCTGTGGGTGAGTTTATTTGGTACGATCTCAATCTGTTACACACACACGCCTTAGTAGAATACAGGTAAATAAGGATTCTTACCTTGTCTATAAGTGAAGGTGGGTTGACTAAGTAGTTGTATAAGGGAGAGGGAGAGAGGTTTTGAGTGCTGCATCTAGTGCCCATACAGTGCATCTCCCTCCCTCCATATCTCCGTCTGTACTGCTCTGGTAGAAGACAGAGCTTGTGGTAAGTCTTAGGGTGCGCCCCCTTTTCCCTATATAGTGCACTACTTTCACCAGAGCACCATAGGCTCTGGTCAAAAGAAAATGTAATGTAGTCTCTGGTCAAAAGTAGTGCACTATATAGGGACTAGGGTCCTGTTTGAGTGCAATAATGGCACTAAAAGCCACTGAGATTATGTGCGTCGGGCAAAGGCGGCAGTGGGTGGCTAAAGAGAGGAAGAGAACAGACAGTTCTGAGATCACAGAAGAGAACCCACTCACAGAACTCGATCCCCCTGAGCAGGTCTTGGAAGTAGAACCGCGCCTGGTCTTCATTCAGCGGCTTGTCCGTGGGCATCTCCTCCATCACAGCCCTGCGCGCACATACTCACGCACACACACATGTAAACATACCCACAGACAGACACACACACACGTAAACATACCCACAGACAGACACACACGCAGAGAGAGCAGTGCATTAAGCGTCAGTAGGGCACTATAAAATCTGCGATGCAGTGAACGCGGACGGAATCACGGAATCGAGACATTAAAACGAAATTCAACAATGTTCAAAAATGTATTGTATATACTAGAGAAGCAACTAAATGTATTGAACATGAATACATTTTCCCAAGTTTATCATAAGACATGAACAGAATGCATCAGTGATACGTATTTCCTGCAACTTTCTGAAGAGGCAACGAGAATGCCCCTGTCTGTGTGTGTGCTGTGCACGCGTTAGCGATGATGATAGCTAATGGAAACAGTCTTCTGGTAGATGGAAAGGCTTTCCAAAAAACCTTCTCAATAAAAACTTAACTACAAACTTCAGGATATAATTGCAGAGTTTCATGAGGCTCTATGCTTACCTGGCAGAATGATATCATGATTATTTTCATCAATCCAGTGGGTATTTGTTTAGCAAATTCATCACATGCAGTACAAAAACACCGCTAAACAACAGCCACTTCAATTAAAGGGTAACTACACCAAAAAATCACAATTTCGATTTTTTTAAATTTGTGATTGAAGCATTACAACATCCAATTTAGTTGTTTTTCTATTTAAAAAGTGTGATTTTGAGAGAGAAAACATGAAAGAACTGGGAAAATCTGAAACCTGGAAAGAGCAAACAGAATTTTGGGAAAAACTAAACGGAATCAGGAAAAATATTACAACGATTTTGTAGGGCCCTACGTCTGTGCTTAAATAGATTGGGCTCATTCCAGCTTGTAATGATTACAGTAAAAAAAGGCTTAACTTACCCCTGTTTGACCAGCTCAAACACTGTGAACAGAACAAAGATGCCATCATTACATCATCATCAACAATGCTTTAGCTAGTTAGTTATGATGATTGAATTGATAATAGCTTCGGGAAATCATTTAATCTGTGAGTAGGTCTGATTAGGACGTGAGTGGGACATGTGTGTGTGCATGCGGATTGCCAGGCAGAGGGAGAATCAGGCCAATCATACCCATGTACAGATGGTCCTCACCAGGGTCATCCAGAACCTGGCAGGAGAAGAAAGCAGGTGAGAGGAACACATACTAAGTATACTAGGCCTACAGCACACTACACTACTAGCAGTCTGTGGTAAACACAAGTAAACTTGCAATCACTGACAGGGTCGAGGACACAGTGCAGACTACGCAGTCTCAATGATTGTATTATGTATTGGCAGTCCACAAACAGCTTGAGTTAAGAGGACCAACGCCATCCAAATTGCAGAGCCTCACCTCCACCAGCTTCACTACATTGGGATGGTCCAGCTTTTTCAGGATGGCAATCTCCTGGTAAACCCGTTCCAGGGGTCCTTTGGGCTGAGGGGGGCCTTCGGGGGCTGCTTTGGCTCCGCGGGGGGGTGGTCTCCCTGCAGGTGAACAGGAGGGAAGAGAGAGTGTAGTGGCCTTGTTAGTCTACAGCAGCAGAATCCCAGAGTAGTGTACTAGCTAGTAGAGCCGGGTAATATGGACAAAAAGTAATATTGTGATAAATGCAACTACACTGAACAAAAATATAAAATGCAACAATTTCAAAGATTTTACAGTTACAGTTCATATAATGAAATCAGTCAATTTAAATAAATTCATTAGGCCCTAATCTATGGATTTCACAGATATGCATCAGTTGGTCACAAACACCTTAAAAAAGAAGTGGGAGCGTGGAACAGAAAACCAGTCAGTATCTGGTGTGACCACCATTTGCCGGAAAGGGGATTCATTTGCCTCATGCAGTGCAACATCTTATTCACATAGAGTTGATCAGGCTGTTGATTGTGGCCTGTGTAATGTTGTCCCACTACTCTTCAATGGCTGTGTGAAGTTGCTGGATATTGTCGGGAACTGAAACACACTGTCGTACACGTCGATCCGAGCATCCCAAACATGCTCAATGGGTGACATGTCTGGTGAGTATGCAGGCCATGGAAGAACTGGGACAATTTCAGCTTCCAGGAATTGTGTACAAATCCTTGCGACATGGGGCTGTGCAATATCATGCTGAAACATGATGGCAGCGGATGAATGGCATGATAATGGGCCTCAGGATCTCGTCACAGTATCTACAGTCTTGGTCAAAAGTTTTTAGAATTACACAAATATTTTCTTCAGTGTTATGAGATATTTTTGTCAGATGTTACTATGGTATACTTAAGTATAGTTACAAGCATTCCATAAGTGTCAAAGGCTTTTATTGACAATTACATTAAGTTTTTGCAAAGAGTCAATATTTGCAGTGTTGACCCTTCTTTTTCAAGACCTCTGCAATCCGCCCTGGCATGCTGTCAATTAACTTCTGGGCCACATCCTGACTGATGGCAGCCCATTCTTGCATAATCAATGCTTGGAGTTTGTTTTTGATTGTCCACCCACCTCTTGAGGATCGACCACAAGTTCTCAATGGGATTAAGGTCTGGGGAGTTTCCTGGCCATGGACCAAAAATGTCGATGTTTTGTTCCCCGAGCCACTTAGTTATCACTTTTGCCTTATGGCAAGGTGCTCCATCATGCTGGAAAAGGCATTGGTCGTCACCAAACTGATCTTGGATGGTCGGGAGAAGTTGCTCTCGGAGGATGTGTTGGTACCATGCTTTATTCATGGCTGTGTTCTTAGGCAAAATTGTGAGTGAGCCCACTCCCTTGGCTGAGAAGCAACCCCACACATGAATGGTCTCAGGATGCTTTACTGTTGGCATGACACAGGACTGATGGTAGCGCTCACCTTGTCTTCTCCGGACAAGGTGTTTTCCGGATGCCCCAACCAATCGGAAAGGGGATTCATCAGAGAAAATGACTTTACCCCAGTCCTCAGCAGTCCAATCCCTGTACCTTTTGCAGAATATCAGTCTGTCCCTGATGTTTTTCCTGGAGAGAAGTGGCTTCTTTGCTGCCCTTCTTGACACCAGGCCATCCTCCAAAAGTCTTCGCCTCACTGTGCGTGCAGATGCACTCACATCTGCCTGCTGCCATTCCTGAGCAAGCTCTGCACTGGTGGTGCCCCGATCCCGCAGCTGAATCAACTTTAGGAGATGGTCCTGGCGCTTGCTGGACTTTCTTGGGCGCCCTGACGCCTTCTTCACAACAATTGAACCTCTCTCCTTGAAGTTCTTGATAATCCGATAAATGGTTGATTTAGGTGCAATCTTACTAGCAGCAATATCCTTGCCTGTGAAGCCCTTTTTTTGCAAAGCAATGATGACGGCATGTGTTTCCTTGCAGGTAACCATGGTTAACAGAGGAAGAACAATGATTTCAAGCACCACCCTCCTTTTAAAGCTTCCAGTCTGTTATTCTAACTCAATCAGCATGAGAGAGTGATCGCCAGCCTTGTCCTCGTCAACACTCTCACCTGTGTTAACGAGAGAATCACTGACATGATGGCAGCTGGTCCTTTTGTGGCAGGGCTGAAATGCAGTGGAATGTTTTTTGGGGAGTAAGTTAATTTTCATGGCAAAGAGGGACTTTGCAATTAATTGCAATTCATCTGATCACTCTCCATGACATTCTGGAGTATATGCAAATTGCCATAATCAAAACTGAGGCAGCAGACTTTGTGAAAATTAGTATTTGTGTCATTCTCAAAACTTTTGACCACGACTGTATGTGCATTCAAATAGCCATAGATAAAATGCAATTGTGTTCGTTGTCCATAGCATATGCCTGCCCATACCATAACCCCACTGCCATCATGGGGCACTTTGTTCACAACGTTGACTTCAGTAAACCGCTCGCCCACACAACGCCATACACGTGGTCTACCATCTGCCCGGTACAGCTGAAACCGGGATTAATCCGTGAAGAGCACACTTCTCCAGCGTGCCAGTAGCCATCAAAGGTGAGCATTTGCCCAGTGAAGTCGGTTACGACGCCGATCTGCAGTCAGGTAAAGACCCTGGTGAGGACGATGAACACGCAGATGAGCTTTCCTGAGACGGTTTCTAACAGTTTGTGCAAAAATTCTTCAGTTGTGCTAACCCACAGTTTCATCAGCTGCCCTGGTGGCTGGTTTCAGACGATCCCGCAGTTGAAGAAGCCGGATGTGGAGGTCCTGGGCTGGCGTGGTTACACGTGGTCAGCGGTTGTGAGGCCAGTTGGACGTACTGCAAATTCTGTAAAACTACGTTGGAGGCGGCTTATGGTAGAGAAATTAACATTAAATTCTCTGGCAACAGCTCTGGTGGATATTCCTGCAGTCAGCATGCAAATTGCACACTCCCTCAAAACTTGAGACATCTGTAAGTGACAAAACTGCACATTTTAGAGTGGCCTTTTATTGTCTCCAGCACAAGGTGCACCTGTGTAATGATCATGCTGTTTAATCAGCTTCTTGATAGGTGGATGGATTATCTTGGAAAAGGAGAAATGCTCACTAACAGGGATGTAAACAAATTTGTGCCCAAAATTTTAGCTAAATACATTTTTTGTGCATTTGGAAAATTTCTGGCAACACTTTACATGTTGCGTTTATATTTTTGTTCAGTGTTTCTTGCTCGATAACAATAAATAGCATACAACAATAAAAACAAGTTTAATGGAAAGTTACTTTACATTAGCGGCAGGGCTATAGACAATTTATTTCCAGTGCCAAGTACACTACATATACAAAAGCATGTGGAAACCCATTCATATTAGTGGATTCAGCTATATCAGCAACACCCGTTGCTGACAGGTGTATAAAATCGAGCACTCCGCCATGCAATCTCCATAGACAAACATTGGCAGTAAAATGGCCTTACTGAAGAGCTCAGTGACTTTCAATGTGGCATCGTCATAGGATGCCACCTTTCCAACAAGTCAGTATGTCAGATTTCTGCCCTGCTAGCGCTGCCCCGGTCAACTGTAAGTGCTGTTATTGTGAGGTGAAAACATCTAGGAGCAACAACTGCTTTGGTACGCCACACAAGCTCACAGAACGGGATTGCCGAGTGCTGAAGCACGTAGCGCGTAAAAATAATCTGTCCTCGGTTGCAACACTCACTAAACAGTTCCAAACTGCCTCTGGAAGCAACATCAGCACAAGAACTGTTAGTCGGGAGCTTCATGAAATTAGTTTCCATGGCCGAGCAGCCGTACACAAGCCGAAGATCACCATGCGCAATGCCAAGCGTCGGCTGGAGTGTTGTAAAGCTCGCCGCCATTGGATTCTGGAGTAGTGGAAACGAGTTCTCTGGAGTGATTGATCACGCTTGACCATCTGGCAGTCCGACGGACTAATCTGGGTTTGGCGGATGTCAGGAGAACGCTACCTGCCCGAATGCATAGTGCCAACTGTAAAGTTTGGTGGAGGAGGAATAATGGTCTGGGGCTGTTTTTCATGGTTCGGGCTAGGCCCCTTAGTTCCATTGAAGGGAAATCTTAACGCTACAGCCTACAATTTCATTCTAGACGATTCTGTGCTTCCAACTTTGTGGCAAGAGTTTGGGGAATGCCCTTTCCTGTTTCAGCATGACAATGCCCCCGTGCACAAAGCGAGGTCCATACAGAAATGGTTTGTCGAGATCGGTGTGGAAGAACTTGACTGGCCTGCACAGAGCCCTGACCTCAACCCCATCGAACACCTTTGGGATGAATTGGAATGCCGACTGCAAGTCCCCGCAGCAATGTTCCAACATCTAGTGGAAAGCTTTCCCAGAAGAGTGGAGGCTGTTATAGCAGCAAAGGGGGGACCAACTCCATATTATTGCCCATGATTTTGGAAGTCAGAAGTTTACATACACTTAGGTTGGAGTAATTAAAACTAGTTTTTCAACCACTCCACAAATGTCTTGTTAACAAACTATAGTTTTGGCAAGTCGATTAGGACATCTACTTTGTGCATGACACAAGTAGTTTTTCCAACAATTGTTTACAGACAGATTATTTCACTGCATCACAATTCCAGTGGGTCAGAAGTTAACATACACTAAGTTGACTGTGCCTTTAAACAGCTTGGAAAATTCCAGAAAACAATGTCATGGCTTTAGAAGCTTCCGATAGGCTAATTGACATCATTTGAGTGAATTGGAGGAGTACCTGTGGATGTATTTCAAGGCCTACCTTCAAACTTTGTGCCTCTTTGCTTGACATCATGGGAAAATCAAAAGAAATCAGCCAAGACCTGAAGGTACCACGTTCATCTGTACAAACAATAGTACGCAAGTATAAACACCATGGGACCACGCAGCCGTCATTCCGCTCAGGAAGGAGACGTGTTCTGTCTCCTAGCGATGAACGTACTTTGGTGCGAAAAGTGCAAATCTATCATAGAACAACAGCAAAGGACATTGTGAAGATGCTGGAGGAAACAGGTACAAAAGTATCTATATCCACAGTAAAACGAGTCCTATATCGACATAACCTGAAAGGCCGCTCAGCAAGGAAGAAGCCACTACTTCAAAACCGCCATAAAAAAGCCAGACTACGGTTTGCAACTGCACGTGGGGACAAAGATCGTACTTTTTTGAGAAATGTCCTCTGGTCTGATGAAACAAAAATAGAACTGTTTGGCCATAATGACCATCGTTATGTTTGGAGGAAAAAGGGGGACGCTTGCAAGCCAAAGAACACTATCCCAAACGTGAAGCACAGGGGTGGCAGCATCATGCTGTGGGGGTGCTTTGCTGCAGAAGGGACTGTTGCACTTCACAAAATAGATGGCATCATGAGGAAGGGAAATTATGTGGCTATATTGAAGCAACATCTCAAGACATCAGTCAGGAAGTTAAATCTTGGTCGCAAATGGGTCTTCCAAATGGACAATGACCCCAAGCATACTTCCAAAGTTGTGGCAAAATGGCTTAAGGACAACAAACTCAAGGTATTGGAGTGGCCATCACAAAGCCCTGACCTCAATCCTATAGAAAATGTGTGGGCAGAACTGAAAAGGCGTGTGCGAGCAAGGAGGCCTACAAACCTGACTCAGTTACACCAGCTCTGTCAGGAGGAATAGGCCAAAATTCACCCAGCTTATTGTGGGACGCTTGTGGAAGGCTACCTGAAACGTTTCACCCAAGTTAAACAATTTAAAGGCAAAACATTTAGCTAGATTGCAATCTCTAAATATGATATTGCTGCTATATAGCCATGAAAGCTAATTGATTAAACCTATCAGTAAATGTAGGCTAATGTCCTACAAAAACTTTCCAATGCTAGGCCTAGGCTACTTGATGTACAACAAGATCTCACGGTTTTACCAATTTATCCACGTTTCTCCAAACATCAAATTTAGAAGTTGCTCCAACTTCAAATTTCGAAGTGTTTTTGACACCCTGGGTTGCTCCTGCTGCTATGTATCGTTCCAGGCAGATACTTTCAAAGCAGGAATCAACATAATGCATCGGTTTTAGAACTATCTACATGAACGCTGTGTAGCAAAATCACAGAAAACTACTCACGTACGAAAAATGCTTCGGTAAGAAGAAGACAATGTCTGTAATTTTCGGATTATCGTCCAAGCACTACTAGCTAGGCTATGTACTCCCTGCTGGATTTACTATCTGCCTCATGCTCTGTACTTACGTGGGAAACCTGCCTGCCTCATCAGCCTCTTCTTGGACAGTACTTTCATCGCCTAGAGGAGGGGAGGGAGAAAGAGAGGGAGGGAGAAGGAGAGAAGTTTGACATCAAAGTATGGAGAGATGTACAGTAAAAAGGAGTGCAGTTACATGCTACAAACCTGTGCACATGCTTCTCTGGATAGAGGATGGCGTAGATGTGAAACATTACCCTACTTTTACACAATACAAGAAACACATTACAGAACTGCGAGTGTTCCTCAATTAATTAATTATCTAACCAATTGCCTCTGTTCTGCTTCACATACAGTCACACCTCATAGCGATAGCGTTGTCATGATACCAGTATCGCGATACTACGATACCAGATTTTCCATGGCAAAAAGGAAAACACAAAGCAGACTAAACTTTTTGGTCCTTTAAAAAACCTATTGTATGTAACATATTGTGTGCTATAGCTTGGAAAATAAACATGTGATCTGGGTGACAACATAAGGCTGCTAGTTTCCAAAATTAGGGCCACTTCATGTTTTATTTCTTTGTCACGATACCGCTGAGTATCGCGATTAGTACTAATGATGACAGTGTGAGAGTGTGTGTGTATGTGTTGTGTGTGTACGGTGGCCAGCAGGACTCACATAGTAGGTGTTGTCGTCTTCATTGTAGGCCAGCTTGACAACACCATAGGAGCCCTTGTCAGAGAACAGGAGAAAACAGTTAGACAGAGTGTGACATTCAGCAGCTGTCAATCATCCACACAAATAAAAACCTGCTGTACACACTCAAAAGGACACACAAACCCGGATGCACGCACACACACAGAATAGCTATCCCAAGCTGACCCATCGGAAATGTATGGGCTGAGTACTCTCAATGAGGAGCAGCTTCAAAATCAACAGTCCAATTCAAATCTACCCACCCACCCACACATATTAGATTTGTGCCTAATTAGTGCAACACAATCTAGCTTCTCTACCCACACACATATACAGAGCTTAGCCCAATTAGTTGGAAAGTATATCCTTCACACACACACACACACACACACACACACACACACACACACACACACACACACATCCCAGCTGGGAGAACAGATTGGGGCTACAGCAGGAAGCCCATCCCAGACTAGAGAGATGAGGTGATAGCAGAACACAACTCTCTCCAACTCCATCCTGACAGGCTCCCATTGTCTACTGCTCCACACAGAACAGAACAGACTCACTTGGCCCCATGCACACTACCCAAGGAGGAGAGATGACTAGGGCTATTTATACCAGCCTCTCATCCTCCTCTTAACTCTCCCCGGGCCAGGGATTTTCAGAGAATTTGAAATGAGGACAAGGCTGGCAGGGAGAACTGAGAATGATGGCAACTGTGTCCTTAATGATCCTCCGTCTTTTTAACATGCACAGTGGGAAATAGATAGAGGAATGGGGACTTCTTCAAAAGAAAATCAAAACAGACTATTTTATTCCAACAGCCATTAGGGTCTATAATAGATAATCTGTTGGTTCCTCTTGTATACAGCATATTCCACTTTCACTTTAAATGTGTAGCTACAGTATAGCACTTTTAATTAAATATATTGTGTAGTTTCTGTGTTTTCATGTTTTATGTACCATCTTTTTAAGCACGACCAAATTAATTTCCCCCTGGTGGTATAATAAAGTTGATCTGAAGTGCTTTGAAGAGCGACGACAGTACCTTTCCGATTTCATCTTTGAGCTTGTACTGGTTGAGCTGCACGCAGTCCTTTGAGAGAGAGAGAGAGAAAAAAGCAATTGGTTGACTAATGCATTTTTCTTGGTCTACAACAATCATCACATTAGGTATAGCATTAGCAGAACCAACAATCCATGTAAAAGCAATGTGCTTCCCAACACAACCTTAATTATGGATCACCTTGGAAAACAAACTAACAAAAGTCAGCATGACTAAACATACAAAATTGAAGTCTGTACAAACCATGAGTAATGGGATCTGCTAGTTTATATCAAGTCAAGTCTAGAGGTGTTCAAGGAGAAGGGTAACAGCATAGCTAGAGACCATAGGGTGCTATTTGGGACACAAACCATCTCTACATGGAGTCTACTGGACTATGCTTCTGAGATCTAATGGGGAGTGAGCTGGCATCTAATAAGACCATGGACCTTACCTTCACATAGACTCAACCTTTATACCAGTATGCTGCTTCATTTACCACTGGGGAACAAATGCACATGTTCAGCTGATGTGCATTCATAGAATTTGGCTAACACAAAAATTGTGTTTTATTAAACAGACCAAGTAGGAGGTTAAATGGCCGTAGCCTACCTGCAGGTCAGTGATGGAGACGCGGTGAGACTCCACGGTGGGTCTACGGGGCAGCCGGGGGGAGGAGTGGGGCGAGGTGATGGGCGAGTAGGGCAGCGAGGGGTAGATGAAGCGGCCGTTGAGCCCTGGGGAGCCGCAGGGAGACAAGGCCGTCTGGGAGCGCTCCTGCAGTGATAGCTTCCTGTCTGACAGGTTTAGTCTTCCCCGGTGCTCATGGGGCTTGGGGAACAGGGCCTCAGGGGCGGCCCACGGCGTGGGACAGCTGGTGGCAGGAGTGGGCTCTGAAGGGGGGCGCGCCAGGCTCAGGGGTCTCAGAGCTGTCCATGTCCTCCACCTCCTCACCTCCCTTGGGCTCGTACTCTGTCACCACGATGAGGGACTCCAGGTAGTCTGGGACAGGGTGGGGTTGAGGGTTCATCGTTGGGGCAGGGCAGTTGCACAGCAGGGGCTGAGTATGAGTGTGTGTGAGCAGGGAGGCATGGCAACAGGGCGAAGGGGGCTCAGCAGAGGGCCAGGAGGAAACACACGGAAACATGACGTAGACTGTCCCCAGAGCCTATTGGCCGCTGCTCCATCAGTGGTCTACCTCAGGAGAGCAGACAGCTAAGAGAAAACACACAATACAAAATATATTTCACTTTTCAACACAGAGAACTTGAAGGATGAAAAAACAAAAAATGTCTAACATTTAGGCTAACAGTTACAACACAGGTCTGTAGACAGACACAGAGCCTAGGTCCTGACCTTGTTCATGGGCAAAATAGCAAGATGTGCCAGACCCCCTTGGAATTCCAACCTGCAACAACATTTTAGCTCTTTCAACTCAAAACGAGTTGAGGTGCCAACAAACAAATCCTAGGAAAGTATGTCAATCAACTTACAGCTGTATGAACTTAGGCTAGGCTACGACGTTACTAGCATACAGTTTCTCCATGTGCTAACAATTCCAAATAGTGCTAGAATCAAAAACAACATCTCCGAACAGTTGGACTCATTGAAGCCTCCATAGGGGGTTAGGTTATCTATTCTAGCCAACCAAGGTTGTTTACCTCTATCTCAAGTACCCCCAAGCAGCAGAAGAAAACCTTACTCTCTCTCTCTCTGTCTCTCTCTCTCTCGAGAGGCTCTGAAGACACGAGAAGAGAGAGAGACGACAGCTCTCTCTCTTGAAGAGAGAGCGCGAGCGCGCTCCATCTCAGAGAGCTCTCAGGTCGGAGCTCTCTGCTTCATCGCTCTTCTCGAGAGTTCTCCTCCTCGTCATAGAGAGCTATCTCGCGATCTAGTAGATTGAGATCTCGTCTCTCTCTCGGCTCGCGCGTCTCTCGTCTCGTCTCATCCTATGCTATCTCTCTTCTCTAGATCTCTCTGATCTCTCTCTCTCTCTCTCTCTCTCTCTCTCTCTCTCTCCTCAGTCACGTCCAGCCTTTCTCCCTTTTTGGTACCCGCTGTACTTCACCACTGACCCCTAGCTCATTATATCCACAAGACAGCCTCCTATTAAACATCCCCACACACACACTCACTCACTGGCAGTCTCCATCTGCTGGGGGAGAGTCAACAACAGGTATTGTGTGTTTATCTTTTGATGAAGAGAAACATTTCCAGAACATGCTGTGGATTGGACAACCTTTATGAATCTTCCTCCTTCCCTCGTTACCAAGTAACAATACAATAACAATATCAAACGGGGTCGGTTCCCCCCCCCCTTCTTCTTTTCAGAGCAGAGTAGCACTGTAAACTCCCCTGCTGTCACAACTCAACTCTGATAGCCTGATTTAGCTTGAGGAGAGTAGAGGAACGTGGTGAGACGTGACCCACTGTGTACATGGGGCTTTCTATAATCGGAGTGCAGTCAACTATCCATTAGGAGTGGGCGATATACCGGTTTGATAGTAAAAACCGGTATTGTGCCGCGCCATGATATGGATTTAGCAATATCATGGATACCGCGATTTATTCAGAATTCATAAATTCGAATTTTGCATCAATATTTTTTTGTTCCAAATTTCAACTGAGTGATAGTACTAAGTAGCTACATCTTTTTTTTTTTTTTTTTTATCCAACCTTTCTTGGTTCTTACGAATAAAAGAATGTATGTTAATATGTTGACCTATTTTTATGAGCGCACGTCGCATGCACTTGTTGCACGCATGTAGTGCTAGCAACAAAGAAGTGTGCAGGCAGCTGCAGTTAGGAGGCAGGTTAACTATTGGGGGAAAACTTTACAATCCAGGATGAGCGAAAACACAGAAATTGATGTTGCTCAAGAGCAGGAGGATAAATTGGTTAAGAAGAAAGGGGGCACCTCTGTTGTTTGGAACTGGTTTGGCTTTAAAATCTCCGACCCCGACCAAAACACTACCCTATGCAAGTTGTGTCGTCGTGTTGTCTTAGCAAAAGGTGGAAACACGACCAACCTGTTCAATCACTTAAAAAACATACATGTCCGTGAGTATGAACAATGCACCAGAATGCGTGAGACAGTAAGCCCAGGAGCTCGCCCGAAGACAAGCCAGACTCGCACTCAACAATCAATTATATCATAATTTGCTGCCGGTACTTGCTATGAGAAGACGAGCAAAAAATGGATAGACATCACAGCTGCGATTACAAATCACATAGCGAAGGACATGGTACCGATTCAAACTGTGGAGAAAGAGGGGTTCAGAAAGTTGATTCAAACTCTGGACCCAAGATATGAGATCCCGAGCCGCAAATATTTTAGCCAAAAATGCCTGCCACAGCTTTACACAGAATGCTGGGACAGAGTTTACAGTGAGATAAATAACATTCCATTCTTCTCCACTACTGCCGATCTATGGTCAAGTCGTACCACAGAACCTTATATAAGCCTCACAATCCATTACATAGACGGTGACTGGAAACTGAAAAGTAAGTGCCTACAGACGTCTTATTTCCCAGACGACCACACCGGGGAAATAATTGCAGGTGGGCTGAGGGACATACTGTCGTCCTGGGGATTAAAAGAGTCGCGTCAAGTTTGTATGACGACCGACAGCGGATCGAACATGATCAAGGCATTGCAGCTGAACAAGTGGGCAAACCTTGGATGTTTCGGACACAGGCTGCACAATGCTATTGGTAAGTTTCAGGACTGTAGCCTAGGCCTACCCTGTATGATGCTTATTATTAAGAAAAAATACAGCTCACATCAGCCATGTACCGTAGGCTAAATCTAAGCACATCAGATTTGTAAAATGTGTAACAGTTGAATGTAAATGCCGTAAATCCTCAAACAAAGATTAAAAGTTATATTGTATTGTGATTTCTATATAAAAATGCATTATTATTAATTATTATTGTATTGTGATTTGATTATTTTTCACCCTATTATTTTGATTTCTTATTCCCAATTTCCAGAGAGGAGTGTCCAAAACGCTCCCGGGCCACAGGGGTGTGCGATTTCCCGGGCCACAGGGGTTTGCAAAAAGGTGGTTAGCACGTTCTCATACAGCTGGAAAAAGCAGAAGGCCCTGATGACAGCACAGAATGAACTAAGCCTGCCCCTGCACAAGCTCATCACAGAATCTCCGACAAGGTGGGGATCTCGTCTGAAAATGATGGAAAGAGTCCTGGAGCAGGAAAAGGCCATTACACAGGTCCTGGCAGGGGACAAAAAGACACGGCACCTTGTACCTACCTGGCAAGACATCCAGGTCTTGGAATCAGTCACAGCAGCACTGAAGCCACTCCAGGACTTTACAGATGCCCTGTCAGGAGAAGCGTATGTGAGCGTGTCCTATTTGAAGCCTGTCATCAATCTGTTAAATGCAGAGGTTCTAAATCTGAGCAAGGACGATACAGAACTGACCAAAGAGATCAAGATCAAGGTTCTTGATTACTTGAATAACAAGTACACTGACCCTGCAACAGATGAGCTGCTCTCCATGGCTACCTTTCTAGATCCAAGGTTCAAGACCAGGTACATGTCCGCTGAGAAACTGGAGGACATTAAGGTATTTATTCATTTGTTCTTGTTTTATTGCTTCAAATGTAAAGCACTTTGGGCTGCATTTTATGTATGAAAGGTGCTATACAAATAAAGTTTAATTATTTTCATTTTTTAAGGTGAGAGCTGCCTCAGAGACCGAAGCCCTCCTGGTGGAGAACACAGCCCTGGGAAAATCGTCTCTTGCAGAGGATCACACTGACAGGGAGAAAGAAGCTTCCACTGCTCATCAATCAGGCAAGAAGCCCAAGAAGAGCCTTGGGAGCTTCTTTAAGCAGACCAGCAGTGCACCTGCCTCATGTTCAGAGAGGCAGATCATTGAGCAAGAGCTGAATAGCTACATTCTGGCAACGGCAGCAGACAGCGAGTCTGATCCTTTGGAGTGGTGGCGATTTCACGGATCTAATTTTCCACGTGTGAGTTGTCTGGCAAAGAAATACTTATGCATCCCTGCCACAAGTGCCCCCTCTGAGAGGGCATTCAGCACTGGGGGCAATGTGGTGACATGTCACAGGGCAGCACTAAAGCCAGAAACAGTCAACATGCTGGTATTCCTGGCACGGAACTTGTGAAGAAAGTTCTAGTGAAGATTTGTTGATATTGTTGATAATTGATGGTTGAGGCTTGAAAGGTTTAGTTTCAAACGGTTAGTTTTTTACATATCTACGGACCGTAGCCAAAACAAACACACGTATTTGAATTTGTAATTACCTTATTTTCTTTATCTCCTGTTATTTTTTATTTAATTTTACTTAATATCTAATTTATATATATATATATATATATATATATATATATATATATATATATATATATATATATAGGCCTACCTACCTCATGTTTACGGAATGCATGTTTGCACAATACAAATAAAAACTTTTCAGGTCCATACGGTCCAATGCCTCACTCTTTCTGGTTATATAAGGTTCAAATACATATTTTTCCTTAACTAATATAATTTAACCAAGAAGGGATATTAAAATGTGATTCATATTTTTTTACGTCATATATCGTGATATCATATCGATATCGTCTGGACAGTGGAAAATATCGTGATATGAATTTTAGCTCATATCGCCCACCCCTACTATCCATGACCTACTTTGATCTCAGATGGTTGACGAGGCCCAGCTCAAGACCTATTTCCACTCACATGAGATGCTAATGCAAACACAATCCGTGGTTGAGATATTCACACACACTTCAGAGTTAGGCTACATATTAACACATTTTCTTGTCCCTATTCTTGTCAAATTGGCTGAAATGGAGTCCAAAGACAACTTACTTCCTTGCTCCTAGAGATCTGAGGCTCAAACCATTAAACTACCCTGATCCCTCATTACACTGGATCGCTGACGAAGCAGCTTCCAGCCCTGGAAACAAACAGATGCTGCTCTGCTCCAGATGCCACTGGCTCATATCATAACAACAGTCACATGATCTGACCTGGGTGGGTATCAGAATCTGGGGACTCACTCTGAGGACAACAACACTCACACAGGGCCATATGTAGCAGAGGAGTATTCTCAACATCATTAACAGATCAACATTACAACCCTGTCACTGATCTATAGTCCGAGACCAGATAAACCCCTGTGAATGGCAAGAGAAGTCTCTTCTCTCAAGCAGACTATATAGCTGATGTAACTACTGTAATATTTATGCAGTGGACTCAATGGGATTGACGGCTAAACATCTGGAAACCCATTAGGCCTATTTCAAATATACTTGACCAAACAGATGTTGCAAGCAAACACTTGGCAAGTTTGGTATCATGATTTGACCTGGGTGCCTATGACTTATCGATATGATCTGTTCACATTAATTGGATGGGAAGCAATTCGCATTAAATGACAATGTTAGTCTGCAAGCCCACAATTCGGTACCCAGGTGGCTCATTCCGAGGAAGATACTTATAACCTGTACATTACCACATCAACACACAAAACAGAGAACCATGCAAGGTTCACCTTCACAACAGCTTACAGAAAATTAGCAAACGTTACTGCTGTGCAGGATATGTTACATGGCTAACGTTACAGTTTATAGCTAGCTATGTTGCTAACCCTAACGAAGATTTTCGCACTTCAAAATAGCTTAGCTATTGTTTAGGCTATGTATTGCCAAATAATGTCATGTTATAGGTAATGGCATATTTATATAATTGACATACGAACATAAACTGTTCAATACACCTTGACAGATTTCCCACGTATCGTCGTACTTGATTGTGGAGCTAGCTAGCCAACTTAGTTAGCTTCACGATACAGAATGATGTTGAGGGAAGGCGACGCTCGCGCTTCACAAAAACAAGCCCTCGACCGTTAACGTGATGCGTGGTAGAAACACTTGCACAAAAACTTACCTTTTCATTAAGTGCAAATGTCAACTAAAGGTATTCCGTGTGCTAGCCACCTGAGGTATGAAATAGCGTTGATGTTGCTGGTTAGCTACATAGAGAAACTGAACGGGGGTATCGTTGTGATAAGTAGCGAGAATCCTCTGACGGACCAATGTAGTTGGGCAGACACCTTGTGGCCGGTGGGTGAAATGCTGTGGGTGATGGACCCTCTCAAACGAACGGTTCTATTATTTACCCCAGTAGATTCACAACAGAAAATAGCTATTCGGAGCATAGCTCAAACAAACTTGCCATGGAATTGGCCTTTCTTGGCATCGGAGAATATAGCCTTGATGATTTCTGGCTCCACCGTGTGGTACAAAAACGATATACACTACATGACCAAACGTATGTGGACAACTGCTCGTCGAACATCTCATGGAAACCCATTTCATGAAGCTCCCGACGAACAGTTATTGTGCTGACGTTGCTTCCAGAGGCAGTTTGAGTTTGTAACTCTGTAGTGAGTGTTTCAACCGAGGACACGATTTTTATGCGCTTCAGCACTCGCGTTTTTTGAACTTGTGGTCTACCACTTCCGGCTGAGCCTTGTTGCTTCTACACGTTTCCACTTAATACACTGCTCAAAAAAATAAAGGGAACACTTAAACAACACAATGTAACTCCAAGTCAATCACACTTCTGTGAAATCAAACTGTCCACTTAGGAAGCAACACTGATTGACAATAAATTTCACATGCTGTTGTGCAAATGAAATAGACAACAGGTGGAAATTATAGACAATTAGCAAAACACCCCCAATAAAGGAGTGGTTTTGCAGTTGGTGACCACAGACCACTTCTCAGTTCCTATGCTTCCTGGCTGATGTTTTGGTCACTTTTGAATGCTGGCGGTGCTTTCACTCTAGTGGTAGCATGAGACGGAGTCTACAACCCACACAAGTGGCTCAGGTAGTGCAGCTCATCCAGGATGGCACATCAATGCGAGCTGTGGCAAGAAGGTTTGCTGTGTCTGTCAGCGTAGTGTCCAGAGCATAGAGGCGCTACCAGGAAACAGGCCAGTACATCAGGAGACGTGGAGGAGGCTGTAGGAGGGCAACAACCCAGCAGCAGTACTGCTACCTCTGCCTTTCTGCAAGGAGCACTGCCAGAGCCCTGCAAAATGACCTCCAGCAGGCCACAAATGTGCATGTGTCTGCTCAAACGGTCAGAAACAGACTCCATGAGGGTATGCCAGAGAACACCAAGATTGGCAAATTCGCCACTGGCGCCCTGTGCTCTTCACAGATGAAAGCAGGTTCACACTGAGCACATGTGACAGACGTGACAGAGTCTGGAGACGCCGTGGAGAACGTTCTGCTGCCTGCAACATCCTCCAGCATGACCGGTTTGGCGGTGGGTCAGTCATGGTGTGGGGTGGCATTTCTTTGGGGGGCCGCACAGCCCTCCATGTGCTCGCCAGAGGTAGCCTGACTGCCATTAGGTACCGAGATGAGATCCTCAGACCCCTTGTGAGACCATATGCTGGTGCGGTTGGCCCTGGGTTCCTCCTAATGCAAGACCTCATGTGGCTGGAGTGTGTTAGCAGTTCCTGCAAGTGGAAGGCATTGATGCTATGGACTGGCCCGCCCGTTCCCCAGACCTGAATCCAATTGAGCACATCTGGGACATCATGTCTCACTCCATCCACCAACGCCACGTTGCACCACAGACTGTCCAGGAGTTGGCGGATGCTTTAGTCCAGGTCTGGGAGGAGATCCCTCAGGAGACCATCCGCCACCTCATCAGGAGCATGCCCAGGCGTTGTAGGGAGGTCATACAGGCACGTGGAGGCCACACACACTACTGAGCCTCATTTTGACTTGTTTTAAGGACATTACATCAAAGTTGGATCAGCCTGTAGTGTGGTTTTCCACTTTAATTTTGAGGGTGACTCCAAATCCAGACCTCCATGGGTTGATCAATTTGATTTCCATTGATAATTTGTGTGATTGTTGTCAGCACATTCAACTATGTAAAGAAAAAAGTATTTAATAAGATTATTTCATTCATTCAGATCTAGGGTGTGTTATTTTAGTGTTCCCTTAATTTTTTTGAGCAGTGTATAATAAGCCATTTAGCAGACGCTTTTATCCAAAGCGACTTAGTCATGCATGCATACAGGTTTAGGTATGGGTGGTCCCGGGGATCTAACCCACTACCCTGGCGTTACAAGCGCCATGCTCTACCAATTGAGCTACAGAGGACCACTTCACAATAACAGCACTTACAGTTGACTGGGGCAGCTCTAGCATAGCAGAACTGTGAAGAACTGACTTGAAAAGGTGGCATCCTATGACGGACCCTCTTCAGTAAATCCAATCCTACTGCCAATGTTTGTCTAAGGAGATTGCATAGCGATGTGCTTGATTTTATACACCTGTCAGCAAGGGGTATGGCTGAAATACCACTAATTTGAAGGGGTGTCCACATACTTTCGTATATATTGTGTAATTTTACAACCCATAAATCTAGGTAAAGGGTGGTAAAATTTGAACGTTTCTAAAAAGGTAATTGCATGTCATATCCATAGACATTAAGGGTCCTATCACAATCACTAAATAAAGAGACCAAAAGGCACTTCAAATAGAAGTTAGCAGAATTTATTTAAAATATAACAAAAAAAAGGGGGTGAAACTACAATGTCAAAACAGGTGTCAGTCTTGCAAAATGTAGAAGTCTGGCAAAAGAATAAAATAGTGTATATTCTCTTAAGAAAAAACATTAAAAACACTGTACAATGTAATCTTTTTAAATTAACCATTGCGGATACTATCGCCTCTTCTGGAAAATGTTTCCTCTTCCCATTCCTCCACCACGACCCCGTCCTCTTGCAGCCACTGCAGAAAACAGACAGTTAAATTCATTAGACATTTACATTTAATAAAATCTGTCTATATACAGGGGGTACCGGTACAGAGTAAATGTGCGGGGGCACAGGTTAGTCGAGGTAATATGTACATGTGGGTAGAGGTGAAGTGACTTTGCATAGATAAACAGTAGCAGCAGCTTAAAAATAGGGAGGGGGGGGGGGGGGGGGGGGGACAATGCAAATGGTCCCGGTAGCCATTTGATTAGCTGTTCAGGAGTCTTATGGCTCGAGTGAAAATTAGTGTTATTGACCCTCAATCCTTTTCCATACTGGTGTATGTAGAAGCAGTAGCACTCACCCTGAGCTTTGAGAATGGCTGCCTTCCCCCTCCCTGCCCCGGTGCCCTGGTTCTTGTTTTTCATGCTCTTTAACATAGGGGCATTCTTTAACATGTCCGGTAAAATCAGGAAGCGAATCTTGCTGCCCCGGATGTAGACCTGCTCTAGTTGGGCTACACGGCCATCCCGATGAGTCACAGTGATATTTGACATCTGAAAAGAAGAGATAAGAGTTGATATACTTCCTACAGACAACTCTAAAAGGGACAACAAACAAATCCCTCCCTTACATAATAATAAAATAGAGATTATCTGACAAGTATCCCTTAAAACAAGTTATTGTCTGAAACCTGAAGGCAGTCAGATGACAAACCTGGCAGTTCATGTTGTCCTCAGCCTCAATGAGCTTGCCCCTGTACACTTCACCAGTGTTGGTCTCACAGGTCACAATGTGACCCTCAGCTTCATGCAGAATCTTGATGGGCACGCCGATGGACATATTTGCAGTGGTCCTGTAGAAACAATGAGACAATATTTAGATTGACAGCATCTCCAGAGATAGAAAACAAATTGTACCTTATTATAATAATTAACAAGGTATAACACCCAAACTAAAGTATTTTATTTCAGCATAATGGAAGGGTTAGATTATAGCCTACTATAAATAAAATGCTTGCACTGCCGCACCCCTGGTCACCCTAAGTCCTGCTTTTGGCACTACCCGTCCATGCACTGCCCCATTTCACCTTTTACCTGGAACCCGACTCTTTCAATGTCTGGTCTTCAGTCCATGCACTCACTTGGCTGACCCAGATCAACATCAGTCTTCATTGTTGCCAATGATATGCCTGGCCTGACTTAGTCTTGATGGACTATTGTTCTTCAAACTAGGTGGTCACAGTACAATGAACTTCTACTTGGCCAATCAGAGGATGTACTCCCCTCTTGAGTGGATCCTTCATAGTTTCTTCCTACCAATAGTTCAGTTTCTTTGTCACCTCTACTTGCTGGTTTAGGCCTGGGTTACAATTGTATTAACATTCTGTGGTTATTCAGCCTGCGCATGTCTTTCAAGTTATGGTGGCCTACATTGAAAACAAACCTTTTCAATTATACTGGAAAGCTAAGTGAGTTTCAGTATCAAGGTTGATAGCTACCTGCACAATTTCTGAGCCAGGTAAATTAGAAAAAAAACGTTAAATTCAAAATATTGTCACATACGCCTGATAGGTGCTGTGAAATGTGTTGTTTTACAGGGTCAGCCATTGTAGTGCGGCGCCCATGGAGCACATTCAGTTTAAGTGCCTTGCGCAAAAGACACATCGACAGATTCTTCACCTTGTAGGCTCGGGTATTTGAACCATCGACCTTTCGTTACTGGCCCAACACTCTAACCGCTAGGCTACCTGCCGCACAAACGTATTTAAAAGTGCAAAATTTAGTTAGCTAGGTAACTATATAGCTAGCCAACTATAGCCTACTCATCCGTGGGGGGGTCTCTACTGTAGCTATCTAGCTAGCTAACGTTAGCTTGCTGGCAGGGATGGGTGTGTTGGTTTAGGCTCGCTGGATAGTATAAGCAATCTAGCAAAACACACTTGCTTAAAATGTAGCATTGTTTTTACCTTAATTTGAACTTGAATGAAGTTGTTCTTTGTTGGTTTCCGCGGTCTTCCAACTTTCAAGCTTCTGCAACGTGCGACCTATGAATCAGCCGCGAGAGTGTTTTGTGCGTTTTACGACTACCCAGAATGCAACTGGGGAAAGGAAGAACTTCCGGTTAAAACATAAAGTGATGCCTCATGGGACTTGTTGTCTTCCTCGAAATATGAGTCAATGGCGCTTACATTTGCTAAAGAAGTTCAGGCGCCCCCACTTTTTTAGATGGAGACGATCCCTTTGTAAAATGAACGTGTTTAGATAAATTAAACATACAGACAATCTGACAGGCCATTTCCTTTCATTGTGGCCCTTGCTTGTTCTGCCCACAATGCTTAATTTGCTCCCACTGTAAACGACACAGATGGAATATCTTGGGTAAGTTACAAATATCTTTGCTACAGTGGTTTACGATCCTATAGTACACTGATATTGACGGTAGGGAGCAGTATTGAGTTGGTGCGTTGTTTAGAATAAATCAAAGTAGCCTACTTCATCCAGTGGCAGCCAGTGTCATGGTAATGTAAAAAATAACTCTTGCTTATTTAAACATGTGCTTTGGATGGTGTCCGTGCTTACAAATATCTGGGCATCTGGATAGATGAAAAGCTGTCTTTTAAAAAGCATATTGATGAGATAGTTAAGAAGCTGATAATAAAAATGGACTTATTCTATAGAAATTGGTCCTGCCTCTCGCTAAATAGTAGAAAGCAGATTATTCAGTCGACGTTCCTATCGGTCCTTGGCTATGGCGATATCATATACGAACGCAGCTGCCACTTCATTAAAGTCGTTAGATGCAGTTTATCATAGCGCACTGCGCTTTATTACGGGCAACAATTTTAGTACTCATCACGGCATTCTCAACCAGAAAGATGGTTGGCCTTCTTTGATGTCACGTAGGTTGATACATTGCTATATTTTCATTTATAAAGCCCTTTTACAAAAAGTCCCACTATACCTAACATCGTTACTAAACTTTAGACATACGAGTTACCACACCCGGTCTCAGCGATGGCTAACTCTGGAAATTCCTTTGGTCTCTACTGAGTTAATATTGACGGTAGGGAGCAGTATTGAGTTGGTGCGTTGTTTAGAATAAATCTAAGTAGCCTACTTCATCCAGTGGCAGCCAGTGTCATGGCAATGTAAAAAATAACTCTTGCTTATTTAAACATGTGCTTTGGATGGTGTCCGTGCTTACAAATATCTGGGCATCTGGATGATGAAAAGCTGTCTTTTTAAAAAGCATATTGATGAGATAGTTAAGAAGCTGATAATAAAAATGGACTTATTCTATAGAAATTGGTCCTGCCTCTCGCTAAATAGTAGAAAGCAGATTATTCAGTCGACGTTCCTATCGGTCCTAGGCTATGGCGATATCATATATGAACGCAGCTGCCACTTCATTAAAGTCGTTAGATGCAGTTTATCATAGCACATTGCGCTTTATTACGGGCAACAATTTTAGTACTCATCACGGCATTCTCTACCAGAAAGTTGGTTGATACATTGCTATATTTTCATTTATAAAGCCCTTTTACAAAAAGTCCCACTATACCTAACATCGTTACTAAAACTTTAGACATACGAGTTACCACACCCGGTCTCAGCGATGGCTAACTCTGGAAATTCCTTTGGTCTTTACTGAGTTAGGTAAATCAGCTTTTAGTTTTCTTGCACCTTATTTGTTTATCCATCTTTAAAATGATCTTAAATGGCATGTTCTGGTGCCTCTGGCAATTCAGAAAGCGGATTTAGGACCTTATTACAGATGAATGTGTTTGTTTTTTATGACCGTGTTTTTCTTTCTGCTTACATTTTATATATATATATATTTTGGTGTGTATTTTCTGTAATTTATGTAATTCAGGGCTCATCTGTAAAAGAGTCCTTTGTCTCAATATGATAAAAAAATAAAGGTGAAATAAAATGTTAATCTGACCAGCTGTGAAACTGACCAGTCAGTCATGCACTGAGGCGCTTTTGAAAGAAGCAGGAAACAAACAAATATTGCAGCTGCCATTGTCAATTAGTTTGATAACCTGAGAAACAGGACAAATGAGCAAAAGTGTAAGTGGACTTACATGAAATTGCATACAGATGTCCAGTTCCCCTTCCTTCCTTATCCTAATAAGATTATGGGATGCATGCCTGCCTCAAATGGCCACTAATAGAAGGCTATTCAGCTCCTTTTAATGCACATGTTTTGAAGTTGTCCCCTTTCTAGCTCAAAGAGCCCAAGGGCCCATGAATTCTGGATTTGTGAAGATAGTATTTGACCTTTAAAGTCTTTTCACATGTTGTGTTTTGGCATGGTTGTGGTGATGTGCTTAGTTTTTTTTTTTTTTTTAAATCAGGAGATTGTCTGCACATATCTATTTTCTGCACAAAGTGACCCACAGAGGAAGTAGATGATACAAATATAATGTGTCCAAGGATACCAAGCCATACTATCTCTCTTTTTCTCTGTAACTGACCATGGACTAGTCTGGACTGAGCTTTGAAACTATTTTTCTCTCTCTAACACACACACACACACAGAGAGAAAGACAGACGAGGAGTCCTACCAACTCATTATATACTATCTCTCAGCTCCAGACCAAAACCTAATTCAAGCTTCAAATAAACCTGCCAGGGACCTGATCTACACAGCTCTCTGTCCCTCTATACACTTATTCAGTCAGTGCCAATAATCTAGAGACATGCATCAGAGGGTACATTTACGTTTTACATTTTAGTCATTTAGCAGACGCTCTTATCGAGAGCGACTTACAGTTAGTGAGTGCATAAATTTTTTCATACTGGCCCCCCGTGGGAATCGAACCCACAACCCTAGCGTTGCACGCGCCATGCTCTACCAACTGAGCTACACGGGACCCCCATGTCTCCTCTTCTCTATTTATAGCAGTAGCAATAAGGCCATAGAATCAACTGTGACAGAGGGACTTGTAAAGGCATGTTTACAAACAAATAACCATAAAGATTATCCGCTAGGCTAATTATGTCCCTAATAAAATGTGTATACTCTAACAAGGCACCCACTAGACTCATGTTGTATGTTAAAGCCAGCAATATGTTAATTTTTACTGTATTACTCGCTGTAAAAGTTAACCCACTTGAATGAGCCATTGTTTTATTACACAATATCATGCCGCCAAAGCCTCCACCTGAAACTTGTCTTTCTTTCACCATGTTTAGTCTACAATTGATTATGTCATTCAGAATGCAAAAACATTCCACAGTGTTTGATTAGTATTTTTATGATGGTTACGGCATTGATTGTAGGTTGTAGAGCTCATTTTCATATTTCCTTCATCTCATGTTATTATAGTTACACAACACAAAACATTTTTAAGAGCAAATTGCCAATGTCCACCTTCTATTTTAATTCACTGCATAATGTTATGATGGATGCTCAATAGATGCAATGCATCATTATTGAATAAACACACACAGTACATGCCCACACAAACTAAGGCTGTGAGCACTAAAGGGAGAACTCTTCCCCCACATCACGCGATTGCTCTGGGGAGAAAACACTGCTTAATGCAGGTCGTTCCCACAGTGGAGGAGCATTTCAATGAGGAAAGGGAAAGCATAATGGCATAATAAAAGACAATCAAATGCACCTTCATTTGATTTCCATTGAATTAGGCCCAGTGACTGGCGTCAGCAACTACTCTGTAAACACAATCACACCAGTTGGTGAGCGTGTGATTGTGTGTGTGTTTTAGCTCTCCAGGGGGAGGTTAAAGGTGTGCCCACTTATTTGAGCAGTGAGATAAAATCCTTTGTGTTTCTTTGTTTTGGCTTGTTGGCAACACTTGTAGGGGGATCTGGCTCTGAAATTATACAATGACTTTGATGACGTACTCAATAGAGTTGTGATGGGTGACTGGTTCTTTTGTCCAGGTTATCAATCTGGCAACCTCATATGTTCAGTAAATATAGACAGAGTATATTTGGCTGTAAAATCAGCAAGTTACAGAGGCTATATATGGAGGCTATATGGAACTATTGATTTTCCCCTTGGAGTAATGTAGTTAGTTTTCACTTCAGCAGTGAGCGTGCAATCACAAGATGCTGCGATTTACTCTCCAACCAGATGCAGTATCACATCTTTCAATATAAACTAATGGACGTCTAGAGCATCATCACATCTTAGTGATGTGTTCTCTCTCCCCACCAGAACTCACTTAAAGAAACACACAGTGATAATAGAGTTTAAGACTTTTAATAATCTGACAAGTAAACTCAGGGGACCAGCTTTTGAAAACAGGATATGACAGAATTGGAGGAATACTGCATTGCAAAAGGGAGAGCATACATTTCAGAAGCCTCACACTGACATACAGTAGTTTCATTAACTCAGTAGTGGTTGGCCAGCAATACCGGATATTGTATCATACAGTGTTGCACAGTCGTTGGCGTCCTTATGGTTTTGGTCATAATCTTTCAGCATACGACAGGTGTTCCTTAGACCAGTCCATTAATTTATAATGTGATCAATCTTTAAATTCAGAAAGACTATCAGCCTACACTAAAATGCCTCAGAGGCGATGTATACAAAATGTGTCCACAAATAACAGCTATGTGAACAACAAATACAATCATTTGAAGAAAGAAAAAAGTTAAATGGCTGGGAGTAATTTAATACCAGTTTGTTGTTGCCCTTCCAGGCTAAGGAGTCTCCCTCCTAAAGAAAGAAAAGCTATTTCTAGTAAGTGCAAGCATTTCCAAGATTTAAGTCAAATTTATTTTTACAGGCGTAGGGAACATGCTTTTAGCTTGGTCCCTCACTTCTCCCCCTCCTAGTTGATGATGTACATTGGGGTATCAGTAACTTGTCCATCATGGGGATAACTATATCATGACACCTCAATGAGTTCTACTGAATGGTTAGGGCTGGTCTGTGTGGGGGACAGAGGCCTGACGTGCACAAATGAGATGTTCCCACTGTCATCTCCATCACCTCTGTTGTTCCCACAAGGTTCTTAGTCTCAACCCCACTTTGGACCGCACATCCCATGATGCACTGCTTCCACCTAGGCGACAGGGGGGCATCCCCTCTGTGGTGTCCATTTTGGATGTAGCTGATTGGTGCAGGGTCTGACCGTGGTGGTGACCACTGGCAGAAGGCAGAGGAAGCCTCTTTCCCAGCTCTATGGGTCTCTATGGGAGTCCTAGTGGGGCTGAGTTTTGGGCTGGTCTCCAGGGCATAACTGTTCACCATGGTGCCAAATGAGTCATCCACCATGCTGATGCGAGTGGAGGTACGCATGATACTAATGCTGCCGCCCACCCCTCTGCCACCCCCAGCCCCATGCCCCTCCTGGTGGCCCAGCACATGCTGGCGCAGGATCCTGCGGAATGTGTGGCGGAACTCCCGTAGGCGGTATGCATAGATTAAGGGGTTGACCACGGAGTTGGCGTGGGACAGGATGATGGCGATGTTCATCACCCAGATGTGTGGGCGCCCACAGTCCTGGCAGAACAGGTTGAAGCAGTTGATGATGTGCAGGGGCAGCCAGCAAAGGGCGAACAGCCCCATGATGATGGCCAGAGACTTGGCCGCGTGGACCTCCTTCTGCAGGGTGGAGCGGGAAGATGTGGATGACGAACTTGTCCCGGGGGCGTGCATGTGAGCCAGTTTCAGGTCAATCCGCCTCAGCTGGCCCCTTGTTGCCATGAAGATGTGGGCGTAGATGGCCAGCATGACCAGCAGAGGCACCAGCACGCAGCCGAAGAAGTTGAAGTAGACCATGTAGTCCAGGGTGACCACACCCTCGAACAGGCACTCTGTCATGCCCTCGGGGCATGAGCTGCTGTTGGTGGCGTTGACGCCCCTGTTCCAGCCCAGCATGGGAGTGAGGCCGATGCCCACAGAGAGAACCCAGCACACTGCGATGATGCCCTTCGCCCTCCCGGCCGTCACAAGGCTGTTATACCTAAAGATCACATGAAAACACAAGAGAGGAATTCAGATAGGTGCTTTATATTTTTTATTACATGACAAACATTGATGTTCCCAGGATGAGAGAGTTCCTTTATTCAAGGCCAGACAGACTCAATAACAAAGCAAGTTCACCTTTCCTGGACCAAACGAATGGCTTCCTGTGATCAGAGAGCTCTGCAGAATGTATGGGACAGGCTTCAGAGGGTAAACAGCCTTTATACATAGAATGTACCCGTATCTACTTGTATAGCAGCAGCCTTTTGGGAAATGAGTCCATTGTTTGACAGACTCGACTAGCCCTGCCATACTAGGAGATGGAGCAGCGGATATCAGCTCATGTACTATATGTGGACTTAAGAAAGCATTTCCTACCTGTATTGTGATTTAGGGAACATTGCACAAAAGCTTATCTACCCTCTGATGTAACCCTTGTTGGCTGTGCTTTGTTTGTGCCCCAGACAGTACACAAATTAAAATCTGTGTTCTATGTAATATGCAGAATGAGATCAACCGATTGATATAATATCACAAACCACTCAATATTGTGATACACCACAGCTATAGAAATTTAAGGCAAATATTCGCTCAGCATTAAAGCAAATACTAAGGGGAACATTCAGTCTTAAGGCCAATAGTTGTAATGAACAGAATATTAGGCTGTTGTCAGGTCTTGCTGTCTGTATTCTTCCATTGGCCATTTCTAAACCAGAGTTCATAATGTAAAATCTCAAAGGGCAGCGCCACAGACACATGACCCAGTTGTTTGTGGTTAAGGGGTGGGTTGGGGGGTCCAGGGGGGATTAGGCCTCTGTGAACCAGGGTGGCGGCAAGTTTACTAAGCCCCTTGGATCTAGAGCTCAGGCTCCAATGAAAGCTCATTCATATTTCACACACATACAAATACACACACACACACACTGGCTGGGCCCCTAACCCTAACCTGCAATGACTTTTCCACGAAAGCAATGCCTTCCCACAGGAGAATCAAAATTGCGGTTGTGACTGTGACCAAACAGTGGCTTTGGTTACCCACACGTTTGTAGTATGAGGCACCCTATTTCACTCTAGTTAAGGGGATTTTGGTTGTTGTTGCCAAGTTTGCGGGTTGTTTGGTTGTAGTCTGCAGGAAATATCCCTTAACATATATTCAAAGTTACATATTTGTCCCTTATGCAAACTTGAGTGCCTTATTAACATAGCATACTAAACTAGCTATCTAGACATTTATTGCAGGCAATTTGTTGCAGTTAATGTTCCTAATGACTGGTGTTGAGCAGATAGCAACCCGGATGATACATATTTTGTAATTATTTTATATATATATATATATATATATATATATATATATATACACATACACACACACACACACATACCCCTTTTTCTCCCCAATTTCGTGATATCCAATTGGTAGTTACAGTCTTGTCCCATCGCTGCAACTCCCCTACGGACTCAGGAGAGGCGAAAGTCGAGAGCCATGCATCCTCCGAAACACGACCCTGCCAAGCCGCACTGCTTCTTGACACACTGCTCGCTTAACCCTGAAGCCAGCCGCACCAATGTGTCGGAGGAAACACTGTCCAGCTGGCGACCGAAGTCAGCTTGCAGGTGCCCGGCCTGCCACAAGGAGTCGCTAGAGCACGATGGGACAATGAAATCCCGGCCGGCCAAACCCTCCCCTAACCTGGACGATGCTAGGCCAATTGTGCACCGCCTCATGGTTCTCCCGTGATCGAACCCGGGTCTGTAGTGACGCCTCAAGCACTGCGATGCAGTGCCTTAGACCGCTGCGCCACTCAGGAGGCCCAACCCGAATTATCTACCTGCCATCACACCCTGAGGGAGAGCTGAAAAACAGAAAAACACAAAGCTCTCTCTCTCTGAACCAAAGAGTTGCTCACTACCCTGTCAGGTTCTTGGTTCAGCGCAGTGGCGTACTTTAAAGTACTACTTAAGTAGTTTTTGGGGTATCTGTTTTCTTTAATTGACTATTTATATTTTTGACAACTTTTACATTTACTTCACTACATTCCTAAAATAATATAATGTACTTTTTACTCCATACATTTTCCCTGACACCCAAAAGGACAGGAAAAGGGTCCAATTCATGCACTTATCAAGATAATATCCCTGGTCATCCCTTCTGCCTCTGATCTGGCACTCACTAAACAGGTTGAGATAATGGATGGGCTGGACATGCCAAGAGATGAGTTGGGATTGGTCTGCCATGTAGAATGCTTCTGTCTATAACATGAGCTGCTCAGTATGTGTAGATAATCCTTGCTACCGCAGCTTTTTTGAAAGAGATGAAGTTAGCCATGGACAACTGCAAAAGTGTTGCTACTGCTCTCAACAACATTGCTGCCCTGAATTTAGTAGGCGGTCTGTGTGAACCGGAGTGACTTGACACAACTGGCCAAACAAGCTGTAGCTACAAACAAAATGGAAACGACACTTAGTTAAAGTGGTTCCAGGCTGCCATGAAGCGTTCATCCATGTATACGGGTAAGAGTCTAGCTACATATTCAGATTTTATATGTTTCTAATTTAGTCAGAAAGTACTGTTAGCTAGCTAGCGAACGTTAGCTTGCTGACTCGCTAGCTAACGTTACGTGTATGATCTGTGTCAGTGGCGGTTGGTGCCGTTTAAGATGAGGGAGGACCATTTTTTTTTGTTCATGAGCATTGCCTTATTTCTATTACAGCATATTGGATGACTGTCATTCATATTCCATTCACCCAGTTCAATGTAACATCGATAGGTTTAGGCTACGACATGATACTCTAATTTTCCCTATATCATGAGGTTGCTACAACCTAGCCTATGAATGAAAGTTTCCAACTTAGGTGCACACAGGTCGAGAGAAAAAATTGAGGTGACAGACTGTCACATTCAATACCAAATTCAGGTATGTTTATCCCTGTTTCATTCCGTTTAAGAGATGTTTTTCAACAGAATCGGCGGAAAGAACACACCCCTGATCACGCGTAAACACAGTTCACTTTCATAGCAGCCACGTTGTATTTCTTCTCGCATCTATGTATGCACTCACTAACTGTCTGGATAAGAGCGTCTGCTAAATGACTAAAATGTAAAATGTAAATCTATGCACTATCCCCCTCTCACCCTTTCCCTTTATTTGTGGACTTCAATGCACAACACATCAGCTGTATGAGACCAGGCGAAAAAACCTTAATAATTACTGTGTAAGTCTATGGAAGGGGGTGACAGCCATGAGCGTCCTAGGTTTTGTATTGAAGTCAATGTACCCAGAGGAGGACGGAAGCTAGCTGTCCTCCGTCTACACCATGGTGCTAACCTACAGAGTGCTGTTGAGGCTACTGTAGACCTTCATTGCAAAACACTGTTTTAATCAATTATTTGGTGACTTTAATATATTTATTATAGTTGTATCTAAAAGGATAACTTTTTTAATGATTTATCATTTGTATTTTTATTAAAATTCACTGAGGATGGTTCTCCCCTTCCTCCTCTGAGGAGTCTCTATAGATCTGTGTAGTAATATTACTTGTATCTCAGAAAGCCGTTTGCATTGCTAGTTATAGCCTAATGTTAGCTACCTAGCTAACATTGAACCTACACTACATGACCAAAAGTATGTGGACACCTGGTCGAACATCTCATTCCAAAATCATGGGCATTAATATGGAGTTGGCCCCCATTTGCTGCTATAACAGTCTCCACTCTTATGGGAAGGCTTTCCACTAGATGTTGGAACATTGCTGCGGGGACCATTCAGCCACAAGAGCATTAGGGAGGTCGGGGCACTGATGTTGGGCAATTAGGCCTGGCTCACAGTCGGCGTTCCAATTCATCCCAAAGGTGTTCGATGGGGTTGAGGTCAGGGCTCTGTGCAGGCCAGTCAAGTTCTTCCACACCGATCTCGACAAACCATTTCTGTATGGAAATCGCTTTGTGCATGGGGGCATTGTGCACGGCGAGCTTTACACCACTCCAGCCGACGCTTGGCATTGTGCATGGTGATCTTAGGCTTGTGTGCGGCTGCTCGGCCATTTCATGAAGCTCCCGACAAACAGTTATTGTGCTGACGTTGCTTCCAAAGGCAGTTTAGAACTGGGTAGTGAGTGTTGCTATTTTTACACACTACACTCTTCAGCACTCGGTAGTCCCGTTCTGTGAGCTTGTGTGGCCTACCACTTCACGGCTCAAATGTCTTGCTCCTAGACATTTCCACTTCACAAAAACAGCACTTACAGTTGACCGGGGCAGCTCTAGCAGGGCAGAATTGTGATGAACTGACTTGTTGGAAAGGTGGGATCCTATGACGGTGCCAAGTTGAAAGTCACTGAGCTCTTCAGTAAGGAAATTATATTGCCAATGTTTGTCTATGTAGATTGCATGGCTGTGTGCTCAATTTTATACACCTGTCAGCAATGGGTGTGGCTGAAATAGCCGAATCAACTCATTTGAAGGGGTGTCCTCATACTTTTGTAAATATAGTGTAGTTGGTTAGCTTTAGCTAGCTGCAGATTCATACTACAGCATTTCATGCATTGTGGCTAGCTATGACAATCCGTTTGTACGGTATGCGTTGGGATTATGGTTAATTGTTTAGGTACATGTCTAAACAAAAGACTCCACATAATTACATGACCCATCATGTTTGCCAGGTGTGTGTCGGGGTGATTACTGCCATCAATTGTATTTCATGAACATGTGTACATGTCTAGACAATAGTGACCCATCCACTTAGCTAGATGTGGCTGGGGGGTGGTTATAGCATTTATTTTGCATGACACATCAATTTAGACAAGTGTGTCTGGTTAAACAATCTAATAATGATAAAATATGTATAAAATATTTTTTTATGGACACTTTATATACACCTTCTGTATCCTGTGCATGTGACAAATAAACTAAGATTTGATTTGATTTGATATAGTGTGTGTTTACCAGAGATGGTAATGTAAAGAACAACATGACCTGCACCAAAGTCAGATCAGGATATACAGTTGAAGTCAGAGGTTTACATACATCAAAATAAAGGAAACACCAACAGTGTCTTAATAGGGTGTTGGGCAACCATGGGCCACCAGAACAGCTTCAATGTGACTTGGCATAGATTCTACAAGTGTCTAGAACTTTATGGGAGGGATGAAACACCATTCTTCCATGAGAAATTCCATAATTTGGTGTTTTGTTGATGGTGGTGAAAAACGCGGTCTCAGGCACCGCTCCAGAATCTCCCATACAGTTGAAGTCGGAAGTTTACATGCACTTAGGTTGCAGTCATTTAAACTCGTTTTTCAACCACTCCACAAATTTCTTGTTAACAAACTATAGTTTTGGCAAGTCGGTTAGGACATCTACTTTGTGCATGACACAAGTAATTTTTCCAACAATAGTTTACAAACAGATTGTTTCACTTATAATTCACTGTATCACAATTCCAGTGGGTCAGAAGTTTACATACACTAAGTTGACTGTGACTTTAAACAGCTTGGAAAATTCCAAAAATGATGTCATGGCTTTAGAAGCTTCTGATAGGCTAATTGACATCATTTGAGTCAGCCAAGACCTCAGAAAAAAATTGGGAGAAATGTCCAAATGCCTGAAGGTACCACATCCATCTGTACAAACAATAGTACGCAAGTATAAACACCATGGGACCATGCAGCCATCATACCGCTCAGGAAGGAGACGCGTTCTGCAAATCAATCCCAGAACAACAGCAAAGGACCTTGTGAAGATGCTGGAGGAAACGGGTACAAAAGTATCTATATCCACAGTAAAACGAGTCCTATATCGACATAACCTGAAAGGCTGCTCAGCAAGGAAGAAGCCACTGCTCCAAAACCGCCATAAAAAAAGTGTTATGAGAATTTCTATCCCAATGTTTCAAAAATGAACTTATTACTCAGTCTGTATCCCAGAGGTTGTAAATCTCTAATAATCAGACCAAGCAGCCCAGCATACAATCATCAGGGTTTATTCATGAGAACGTTCTAAAACAAAATGGTCATACAATATTTTTATATGCACACGTCAGAGAAAGAATCCCTCCCCTCTGTAGGCAGGCTGTAGTTTTCCACTTTATAATTGCTCTCCTGACCATCAGTTCACACACACACACACACACACACACAAGCCTAACAGTTTCTCTCCTCCCTAAATTCCTCAGTTATCTTGGTTTCTCAGTTGCCTGTAGACAGTTCTCCTTGTCCTTTGTTGTCTGGCCTAACTCTTATTCACATTGCTAAATAGTAGCACAATGTCATAATCTTTACTGGTCCTACACTCACACATTACCAGGTAGTAGATTCTAACACATCTCACACAGTTTCAGAGTGTAATAATTAGTCACTACTAAGAAAATACTAAATCATACTTAAAACAAGAACATTTCACAACTATATTTAAGGGTGGAACATTTAGTCATTACTTTTAACCTGATTCCTATATCAAAAAGCCAGACTACGGTTTGCAACTGCACATGGGGACAAAGATTGTACTTTTTGGAGAAATGTCCTCTGGTCTGATGAAACAAAAATAGAACTATTTGGCAATAATTACCATCATTATGTTTGGAGGAAAAAGGGGGTCACTTGCAAGCCGAAGAACACCATCCCAACCATGGCAGCATCATGCTGTGGGGGTGCTTTGCTGCAGGAGGGACTGGTGCACTTCACAAAGTAGATGGCATCATGAGGAAGGAAAATTATGTGGATATATTGAAGCAACATCTCAAGATATCAGTCAGGAAGTTAAATCTTGGTCGCAAATGGGTCTTCCAAATGGACAATGACCCCAAGCATACTTCCAAAGTTGTAGCAAAATGGCTTAAAGACAACAAAGTCAAGGTATTGGAGTGGCCATCACAAAGCCCTGACCTCAATCCTATAGAACATTTGTGGCCAGAACTGAAAAAGCGTGTGCGAGAAAGGAGGCCTACAAACCTGACTGTTACACCAGCTCTGTCAGGAGGAATGGGCCAAAATTCACCCAACTTATTGTGGGAAGCTTGTGGAAGGCTACCCGAAACGTTTGACCCAAGTTAAACAATTTAAAGGCAATGCTACCAAATACTAATTGAGTGTATGTAAACTTCTGACCCACTGGGAATGTGATGAAATAAATAAAAGCAGAAAATAAATAATTATCTTTCTATTATTCTGACATTTCACATTCTTAAAATAAAGTGGTGATCCTAACTAAGACAGGGAATTTTTACTAGGATTAATTGTGAAAAACTGAGTTTAAATGTATTTGGCTAAGGTGTATGTAAACTTCCGACTTCAACTGTAGGTATAAGGAGTGTATTTATACCTGGAGTTTTTCCTTATTGTAGGCTACTACTTTCACCACTTTTAGTCTTGAAATCGTTGGTTGTTAATTACACTACCTTAGTCACTCTGTTTAGCACATGGCCTCACATGTGAATCCTTAAAGAGATGGGTGGGGCTAAGGCTTAAGAAGGTGTGAACGATGCTGAATAGGTGTAGACAAAGAGGAGCTCTCCAGTAGGTGTAGCAAAACATTCAAGGGCCATTTTCTCAAAAGTGGGGTTACAAGTTGATCAACTTTCAAAGCAGAATTACTTTCTCCATTGTTCCTCAACTGCAGTGTATGATATACCATTTTGTAGCTCTGAGTCTCTACTTTTATCCAATGTAAAAAACACAATTTCAAATGGTAAATTATGTCCAGTGTGCCCCTGGCTATCCATAAATAAATAAAAATATTATAATAATTGTGCCGCCTGGTTTGCTTAATATAAGGAATTTGAAATTATTTATACTTTTACTTTTGATACTTAAGTATATTTAAAACCAAATACTTTTAGACTTTTACTCAAGTAGTATTTTACTGGGTGACTTTCACTATTTACTTGAGTATTTTTTTTATTAAGGTATCTTTACATTTACTCAAGTATGACAATTGGGTACCTTTTCCACCACTGGTTCAGCGACTGTAAAACGTTTTAGCCACATTATCTCTCAAAGTGTTAAGCCTGATTTGATCCTAACTTGGCTGGCTCACTCCGAGGCTGGAACCCAGGACCTCTGCCTCACAAACACACGTGACCGCCATCCTGAAGCGTCTTACTCAGTCGTGCCACCCGAAAAGCTAGCTATCGGCACCACAAGTGGAGAGTTTCACCGTCCCATTCTGCTACACAGTCACGGTATAGAATAGAGGAGGTGTATGGGACATTCAACATACAACACATTCAAAAATACACTGCTCAAAAAAATAAAGGGAACACTTAAACAACACAATGTAACTCCAAGTCAATCACACTTCTGTGAAATCAAACTGTCCACTTAGGAAGCAACACTGATTGACAATAAATTTCACATGCTGTTCTGCAAATGGAATAGACAACAGGTGGAAATTATAGGCAATTAGCAAGACACCCCCAATAAAGGAGTGGTTCTGCAGGTGGTGACCACAGACCACTTCTCAGTTCCTATGCTTCCTGGCTGATGTTTTGGTCACTTTTGAATGCTGGCGGTGCTTTCACTCTAGTGGTAGCATGAGACGGAGTCTACAACCCACACAAGTGGCTCAGGTAGTGCAGCTCATCCAGGATGGCACATCAATGCGAGCTGTGGCAAGAAGGTTTGCTGTGTCTGTCAGCGTAGTGTCCAGAGCATGGAGGCGCTACCAGGAGACAGGCCAGTACATCAGGAGATGTGGAGGAGGCCGTAGGAGGGCAACAACCCAGCAGCAGGACCGCTACCTCCGCCTTTGTGCAAGGAGGAGCAGGAGGAGCACTGCCAGAGCACTGCAAAATGACCTCCAGCAGGCCACAAATGTGCATGTGTCTGCTCAAACGGTCAGAAACAGACTCCATGAGGGTGGTATGAGGGCCCGACGTCCACAGGTGGGGGTTGTGCTTACAGCCCAACACCGTGCAGGACGTTTGGCATTTGCCAGAGAACACCAAGATTGGCAAATTCGCCACTGGCACCCTGTGCTCTTCACAGATGAAAGCAGGTTCACACTGAGCACATGTGACAGACGTGACAGAGTCTGGAGACGCCGTGGAGAACGGTCTGCTGCCTGCAACATCCTCCAGCATGACCGGTTTGGCGGTGGGTCAGTCATGGTGTGGGGTGGCATTTCTTTGGGGGGCCGCACAGCCCTCCATGTGCTCGCCAGAGGTAGCCTGACTGCCATTAGGTACCGAGATGAGATCCTCAGACCCCTTGTGAGACCATATGCTGGTGCGGTTGGCCCTAGGTTCCTCCTAATGAAAGACAATGCTAGACCTCATGTGGCTGGAGTGTGTCAGCAGTTCCTGCAAGAGGAAGGCATTGATGCTATGAACTGGCCCGCCCGTTCCCCAGACCTGAATCCAATTGAGCACATCTGGGACATCATGTCTCGCTCCATCCACCAACGCCACGTTGCACCACAGACTGTCCAGGAGTTGGCGGATGCTTTAGTCCAGGTCTGGGAGGAGATCCCTCAGGAGACCATCCGCCACCTCATCAGGAGCATGCCCAGGCATTGTAGGGAGGTCATACAGGCACGTGGAGGCCACACACACACTACTGAGCCTCATTTTGACTTGTTTTAAGGACATTACATCAAAGTTGGATCAGCCTGTACTGTGGTTTTCCACTTTAATTTTGAGGGTGACTCCAAATCCAGACCTCCATGGGTTGATAAATTTGATTTCCATTGATAATTTTTGTGATTTTGTTGTCAGAACATTCAACTATGTAAAGAAAAAACGATTTAATAAGATTATTTCATTCATTCAGATCTAGGATGTGTTATTTTAGTGTTACCTTTATTTTTTTGAGCAGTGTACATTTAGACATAACAAATAAAGACAACAAATAATTGTAAAGATTATCAACTAAACTAACCCTACTTGACAACCACGCAAATATTGTCCATTCCTCACAGACAAATTATTGTTATCTATAAACTATCTCCATTTTGTCATTAAAGGCAGGACTAAAGGACTATAAATATACATCTAATTGTAAGGAAATTCAACAATTTTCCCCTTTGGGGAAATTAATGACTATAAAGCTAAAAGGGAGGGATGACAATGCTCTGTGTGTGTCCCCTTGTGTCACAGTGACAGAGAGGCTACGTGAGAGTGTTCATGTTTCTGTTGGGGGGGGATCCAGGGCTGTTTGAGGTGAGAACACAGTCCTGTCTATCTATACTGTGCCTGGGCCCTCACAGGTCTCCCCTGGTGTTGATTTACCAGGATGATAATGATCAAAGCCTTTAGCCATTTTAATCCTTCCAGCAGCACACAAACACTAACCCAATGAAGCCTGTGGAGACATTTATCTCTGTCTGCCCTGCGGTGGGAAGATTAACCCTAATCGAATTACCCTGCTATAATTCAATGTATTTTCATACACAAATGCATTGTGCTGTGCACATCACTTATATCATAGCCAAGATCTAATGGGCCAGAGGACCTGCCTTTTGATGTTCTGTAAATAAAACAACATATCAAGCATAGATGATACCTGTTTGTTTGATAGTTGGTTTTTAGAGAAGACCAGGAGCAGAGTGTCACCACCATGCTCAGCCCTGTCCCTAGCCAACCCCCCCCAGTCCCCTCCCTCTCCTCCCCTGCTAAGGTCATCACCTGAGGGGACTCTTGATGGCAATGTAGCGGTCCACAGCGATGGCCAGCAGGCTGAAGATGGAGCTCTGGGTGAGCACCAGCACGAAGCAGGCAATGAACAGGCAGCCGTGGAAGTTGGCGCAGAAGCCCATGCTGATGGTGATGGCGAAGGGGATGGCCAGCAAGCCCACAGCGATGTCTGCCACCGCCAGGGACACCACAAAGTAGTTGGTGATGGTCTGCAGGGTGCTGTTGAGGCACACGGCCCAGCAGACCAGCACATTACCGGTCACAGCCAGGCAGGCGATCACCAGCTCCAGGGCGATGTAGACCAGAGAGGCATTGTTCAGCATGGTGGGGCCGGGGGCACGTTGAAGGTCACAGCCAGAGTCTGAGTCAGGTAGCAGGGAAGGGGCCTCCTCTCTACATGCATCGCTACACGTGCAGACTCTGGCCCTCCACCAGGGACCGTCCGTTCGATGATTAGCAGGCTCAACCACCAGTAACAACTTCCTGTTTCTATAGCCGTTGCCCAGAAATGGTGCCACTGCCAACCACAGAGCAAATGAAGAAGTGAGTCGAGGTTCACTCTACTCTATTGTCACGCTACAGAAGGTTGTTTGGTTCTCTCCTTCTTCCAGTCCTTCTGTCCAATCGTGTTCTCTGTTGCTAACCTCAGGGGCTGGACACTGCACACTGGGAGAGGCTGGAGTGTTGCCGTTGCCAACCAACTGTCACATGAAGATCAGTATCCTGCAGTGAGAAAGAGAGAGTAATGTTTACTGTTCATTTCTGATTGTTTATTTCCCTTTTGTTTATTATCTATTAACATATGTTTCCCATGCCAATAAAGTCCTTTTAATTGAATTGAGAGAGAGAGCGAGAGAACAATCTCATTACTAGTCTCTGTACAAACAGGCTGCAGGTCAACCAGCACACACACACACCAGGTCACAACAGCAATTTGTCTCCCAAAGCCAGCAGCTCTGTTTCCCACACAGATCAAAGCACAGTCCAATAATACAGCTTTTATTTTAGGACAGCTTTCCCCTCAAAAAAGGTCACACTTATCACCAGACCCTGTCACGCTTCTCTCTCCAATCAAGAACCAAGAATTACGCCAATGAGCGTAGCGATATGAATTGTAGTGACACAGCTAGTGCTATTATTGGAACAAATATTTAGACAGTGTTTCTATCGTAATCATTTACATGGCTGTTCCTATTCTATTCAAGGTGTGGTCTTCTTCTCCAAAGCATTTCCTAATTCAGCCAGGTTCTCCTATATCTAACGCTGTTGTTGGCAACTTTCCTTCCTGTTGCCAGTACAAACCCCTTAGCAAGAGAGATTGAAATGTGGGCTAGTCTATTGAGTTTACTGGGTTTCACAAACCCAGGAGAACGAAGGAGAGACAGACATGTTATTCCTATGCCAGTTATTACAAAAGCCATATAGCCCTCACTTCAAAAGCCCTATAGTTCTGTATGAGTATACACCTCTGGATATGTATGAATGGATCAAATGAAATCACATTTTATTTGTCACATGCTTCGTAAACAACAGGCGCAACAGTGAAATGCTTCCTTATGGGTCCTTTTCCAACAATGCAGAGTTCAATATAAAAGATGGATATTAGCTACTACCTGAAAGTTCAGTATCATGACAGAAACCGTAGACAGAGGGAAACTATGACGTGGTATAAGATGAAGCGTTCTCAATGTGAAAACACTGCTGTTCCCTTACTGATAATATGCAGGGGGCAGTTTTCTTCTATTTATAGTAAGCTGCTAGTTGTTATCAGGCCTGAGGGAACCCTCTTGGCTTTCATGTTTAGACAGAGACTAGACCGCTCGTTCCCCTGGAACCCACTGAACTGTGTTGGCAGCCTTGTCTGAGATTGTGGCAGAGCACATACCTCAAAAAATGTGCCTTCAATCAGGGCGACAAGGCGACTGCACCTTTATCCTGGCCCAGAAGGTCTGTAACCGCTCAACCCCTCCCTCACCCCACAACCCCCAGAGCCCCTATGGAGTGAGATAAGGACAGTGGAATCTAGGGAGGAGGACAGACTAAATGGCGCTGTCATTGCTGATGTGGAAACATAACCTGGTTTCCACTTCTGTCACTACTACATTATATAATTTCTTATTGCTGACAGTGATGTAGTGGTAAAAAAAAAAATTGGTGGGTGAAGTCTGGTTGCCGTGAAAAAAGTAAAGCTCACTTTACTTTAAATGCATTTTCCTCAAAAAGGTGGGTAAACTTTCAGGCAAAAAAATAAAGTGGGTAAACTAGAAGGCCCATATGGCAACCGGAGTATGGGCAAGTGGGTGTGTCGAAAGGAAAGTAGTGGGCGTGTGAAAAGGAGTGGGTGTGTCGAAAGCGCTCTCCTATAGACAGTTTTGATTGAGACATTATTTTTTTTGTACCACGCAACTACCGTACCATATTTCACTGTTAGTTTTACAGAAATAATGGTAACTGTTCAGTTATTAAAACTGACGATTGTTAATTTTTTCATTAAAAGTACTGATGACAGGTGTATTGTTGCTTGTATGCATTGTATGCGTGTGCTTACCGTGACTGTCACCCTGATATTGGCTATTAGGTAGCTACAGTCCATTCGGAAAGTATTCAGACCCCTTGACTTTTCCCACATTTTGTTACGTTACAGCCTTATTCTTAAATGGATTCAATAAAAATAAAAAAAACTCAGTAATCTACACACAATACCCAATAATGACAAAGCGAAAACAGGTTTTGACATTTTTGCTAATTTATAAAAAATAAAACAGATACCTTATTTACATAAGTATTCAGACCCTTTGCTATGAGACTCAAAATTGAGCTCAGGTGCGTCCTGTTTCCATTGATCTTCCTTGAGATGTTTCTACAACTTGATTGGAGTCCACCTGTGGTAAATTCAATTGATTGGACATGATTTGGAAAGGCACACACCTGTCTATATAAGGTCCCACAGTTGACAGTGCATGTCAGACCAAAAACCAAGCCATGAGGTCAAAGGAATTGGCCGTAGAGCTCCGAGACAGGATTGTGTCAAGGCACAGATCAGGGAAAGGGTGCCAAAACATTTCTGCAGCATTGAAGGTGCCCAAGAACACAGTGGCCTCCATCATTCTTAAATGGACGAAGTTTGGAACCACCAAGACTCTTCCTGGAGCTGGCCGTCCGGCCAAACTGAGCAATCGGGGGAGAAGGGCCTTGGTCAGGGAGGTGACCAAGAACCCAATGGTCACTCTGACAGAGCTCTAGAGTTCCTCTGTGGAGATGGGAGAACCTTCCAGGATGACAACCATCTCTGCAGCACTCCTCCAATCAGGCCTTTATGGTAGAGTGGAAAGATGGAAGCCACTCCTCAGTAAGCCACTCCATGACGGCCCCTTGGAGTTTGCCAAAAGGCACTTAAAGACTCTCAGACCATGAGAAACAAGATTATCTGATCTGATGAAACCAAGATTGAACTCTATGTCCTGAATGCCAAGCGTCACGTCTGGAGGAAACCTGGCACCATCCCTACCGTGAAACATAGTGGTGGCAGCATCATGCTGTGGGGATGTTTTTCAGCGGCAGGGACTGGGAGACTAGTTAGGATTGAGGCAAAGATGAACGGAGCAAAGTACAGAGAGATCCTTAATGAAAACCTGCTCCAGAGCGCTCAGGACCTCAGACTGGGGTGAAGGATCACCTTCCAACAGGACAACGACCCTAAGCACACAGCCAAGACAATGCAGTAGTGGCTTTGGGACAAGTCTCTGAATGTCCTTGAGTGGCCCAGCCAGAGCCCAGAATATAACCTGATCTAACATCTCTGGAGAGACCTGAAAATAGCTGTGCAGCAACACTCCCCATCCAACCTGACAGAGTTTGAGAGGATCTGCAGAGAAGAATGGGAGAAACTCCCCAAATACAGGTGTGCCAAGCTTGTAGCGTCATACCCAAGAAGACTCAAGGTTGTAATCGCTGTCAAAGGTGCGTCAACAAAGTAACTGAGTAAAGGGTCTGAATACTTAAGTAAATGTGATATTTAAGTTCTACAAACCTGTTTTTGCTTTGTCATTATGGTGTATTGTGTGTGGATTGATTAGGGGAAAAAACATTTTTAAATCAATTTTAGAATATGGCTGTAATCTAAGAAAATGTGGAAAAAGTCTAGGGGTCTGAATACTTTCCGAAGGCACTGTACTTCGCACGCCATTGCGTGGAAAGCGGGAGCGAAGGACACTGTCCCGGTGTTGTTGCTGTTCATTCCCTCCCCCCATTGAGTAGACTGTATGTATGTATCAAGGTGACATCTACAGTGCCTTCAGAAAGTATTCACACCCCCAATTATGTTTTTAGGAATTTTTACAAATTAATAAAAAATGAAAAGCTGAAATGTCTTGAGTCAATAAGTATTTAACACCTTTGTTATGACAAGCCTAAATAAGTTCAGGAGTAAAAATCTGCTTAACAAGTCACATAATATGTTGCATGGATTTTTGAATGACTACCTCATCTCTGTACCCCACACATACAATTATCTGTAAGGTCACTCAGTCGAGCAGTGAATTTCAAACACAGATTCAACCACAAAGACCAGAGAGGTTTTCCAATGCCTCACTAAGAAGGGCAACTATTGGTAAATGGGTAAAAATACAAAAAGCAGACACTGAATATCCCTTTGAGCATGGTGAAGTTAATAATTACACTTTGGATGGTGTATCAATACACCCAGTCACTACAAAGACACAGGCGTCCTTCCAAACTCAGTTTCCGGATAGGAAGGAAACCGCTCATGGATTTCACCAATGGTGACTTTAAAACAGTTCGAGTTTAATGGCTGTGATAGTAGAAAACGGAGGCTGGATCAACAGCATTATCGTTACTCCACAATACTAACCTAATTGACAGAGTGAAAAGGAAGCCTGTACAGAATGAAAATATTCCTAAACATGCATCCTGTTTGCAAAAAGGCACTAATGTAAAACTGCAAAAAATGTGGCAAAGAAAGGATCTTTATGTCCTGAATACAAAGCGTTATGTTTGGGGAAAATCCAACACAACACATCACTGAGTACCACTTTTTTCAAGCATGGTGGTGGCTGCATCATGTTATGGGTATGCTTGTCATCGGCAAGGACTAGGGATTTTTTGTAAATAAAAAGAAACGGAATAGAGCTAAGCACAGGCAAAATCCTAGAGGAAAACCTGGTTCAGTCTGCTTTCCAACAGACACTGGGAGACAAATTCACCTTTCAGCAGGACAATAACCTAAAACACAAGGCCAAATATACACTGGAGTTGCTTACCAAGACAACATAGAATGTTCATTAGGGGCCTAGTTACGTTTTTGACTTAAATCTGTCTAGCAATGATCAACAACCAACTTGACAGAGCTTGAACATTTCAAAAAAGAATGTGCAAATATTTTACAATCCAGGTGGGCAAAGCTCTTAGAGACTTAACCAGAAAGACTCACAGCTGTAATTGCTGCCAAAGGTAGGGGTGTGAATACTTATGTAAATAAAATATTTCTGTATTTCATTTCCAAATAATGTTCTATAAAATTCTAAAAACATGTTTTCACTTCATCATTATGGGGTATTTTGTGTAGATGGGTGAGAAAAAAAATGATTTAATCAATTTTGAATTCAGGCTGTAACACAAGAAAATTTGGAATAAGTCAAGGGGTATGAACTTTCTGAAGGCACTGTAGATGTTATCAATATTAGTTATTTCTTGTGTAGGCTGCTATCCTACTTTAAATTAAATCATGGGAGGGACAGAAATGGCAACGTTAGCTACCGCCGGCGACACCGTGATACAGCTGCCCAGTGGGAAGCACCTTGGGTTGGCAGCACCTCGATACAACACCAGTCGCCATGTTAGCTACCGCCGACAACACCGTGATACAGCTGCCCAGTAGGAAGCACCTCAGGTTGGCAAGCACCTCCATACAACACCGGTGCACTAGTCATTCGCACCGGCTTATCGGCTCGTGGTGCATCCCAATCAGCCACGCAAAACGGTGATTCGCTTTCCATACACCCACTCCTTCCCACACGCCTACACTCTGGTCGCCATATTGGGCTGCAGCAACCCATAATTGGGGTAAACTGCGTTTACCCTCCACTACACCACTGATCGCTGATGATATTTCAGTAGCTGTGACAACATGGTAGTTTCAACTACAATGACACATCATAACATGGACTCTTCCTGCTGATATACACTGACTGTGCTCTTTGTATGACAGACTATCCAGGTGAAACCTATGATCCCTTATTGATGTCACCTGTTAAATCCACTTCAAATCAGTGTAGATGAAGGGGAGGAGACAGGTTAAAGAAGGATATTTAAGCCTTGAGACATGGATTGTGTATGTGTGACATTCAGAGGGTGAATGGGCAAGACAAAAGATTTAAGTGCATGTGAACAGGGTATGGTAGTAGGTGCCAGGCGCACCGGTTTGAGTGTGTCAAGAACTGCAACGCTGCTGGGTTTTTCACGCTCAACAGTTTCCTCTGTGTATGAAGAATGGTTATCCACCCAAAGGGAAGTATTGGAGTCAACATGGGCCAGCATTCCTGTGGAACGCTTTTGGCATCTTGTAGAGTCCATACCCCAACGAATTGAGGCTGTTCTGAGGGCAAAGGGGGGTGCAACTCAATATTAGGAAGGTGTTCCTAATGTCACTCAGTATGTCCATTTATCTCAGTTTGTATGTGTGTGCTGTAATCTATGAGCCAATGAGTCAGTGTAAAACGGCTACATTAGTGTGTGTGTGCGCGCCTTGAAGGAACAGATAAGCACATGCACATCCTTGGAAAGACTGTATTGCAGGCCTGTCAATCAAATTACCACTTAGGCACCACAGAGGAGAGTGAAAAGGAATAACAGGAATGTTGCTGTTGGCCATACCACTATGTGAAATGTTGATGAAAGGAGAATTGGACCTTGACTACATCTATGTCCTGAAGTGCAGCCACAGATACCAAGAGACAAACACAGCTCAAAGTCAAGCAAACGACACCAGGGTAATTTATGGATCACTGCCAAAACAAGTGACCAATGGGCATCTGCACTATATCCAGGTGATAAGGATGATAGACATTCTCTGTATAAAGTTTCCCAATATGTTAACATGATCAACCTATTTTTATATTCATAGATAGCAAGGTTGGGTTCAATTCCATTTCAGCTCAGGCAATTCAGGAAGACTGCAAAGAGTAGGACTGTTGATGATCAATCAAGTAGAAGTACTACTATTCTAGTAATTGAGTTATGAAGTTTACTGTAGCCCGATTTTCTTTGTTGAATTTTTGTTAACTATCATTTTAATGTAATGGGGAGGGAACAATGAATTAAATAACCAAAACCATTGTGTATAAAAAACTAAATTAAAAAGACACAAAAATACATTCTGAACTTTTCACAATTTAGACACTTTTGTTTCATACAAACGACCTAAGAGCCACTTTGAGATTGGGGACATTATGCTCCTTGACGACAAAGTTTTTCAGATTACCCTTTATGATAAACAGTGAGTGTGAAGAAGACAAAACAATTGAATAAAAACAATACTTGCCTTTTTGTCTTGTCATATTAGATGACATCCACTGACACAAATGCACAACATATTCTCAAGCCTTCTCTCCATAGGCTACATGCGTCTTCATATAATCAATTATTCTTCAAAAGGTGAAAGTTTGTCTAGGAATTATATATTGCAGAAAAAAAGATGACTGTAAATTATATAAACGTGTACATTAGAAACAAAGAGATGCGCTCAGAAGTTGGAACACGAAAACGCGATAGCATGCGCTCTCATCCATGCGCGCGCTATACTGAAGACAAACGCAAAGCATCCGTTTCGTTCAGGTCTCGAAACAAAGAGACCTAGCTAGCACATTTGGTTCCTTGTTTTGGGTTTAACATTGGCCATACGTTTCCTGACTGGTAAAACAGAAGTTTTTTAAAAAACATTCTGAGAACATAAGTGAACATTTCACCTCTCCTGTGAAGTTTATTTTTTAGGTTGCAGGGAGGTTCTGAGAACGTTTTACTCTGGTTCCTTGAAAGTTGTCCTTGGAGGTTTTATTAACGTTCTGAGGACGGAAATTATAGGTTATTTGGAATTTTTTAAATAACTTCCTTAATTTTCACTGAATGTGTCAGCAGTGTTATTAAAAGACTTATTATCTTATTTTGGATTAACATTTTTGAACTCCAAGCACTGATAGGAGACATATAAATTAATTTCCTTAGGCATTAATCAAACAAACACATGCATTTTTTAATGTGACACAGTATCAGTGAGATTCAAACCTTTAATCTTCTGTTCTCTATCCATGGAATGAGTCCACTGCACCACCAGAATGGTGCTCGCATGCCATGTTTTTTTTACGCATACAAAGCTGTTCATTTGCCTATTCAAACAGACCCCATTTCAAAGGTAACAAGCACTCATTAAGATCAGGTATGGCCAATTAGTGGGTGCAGTCAACACACCTGAACACACAACTTGATAGAGTATAGAGAATTTTGTTGATGCTGAGAATCAAATGTATATGGTTTTAGATAACATTCTTAGAACGTTCTCTGAACGTTACTAACATTTTCTTAATGTTCTCGGAACAATTTGAGAACATTACTTTAAATAGAACCAAGGGAAACCTGTAGGAAACATTATGCTTAAGTACTGAAATTCCCACAGAAGACCGTTGTTTCTTAATGTTCTCTGAACTATTTGAGAACATTCCCAATGTCAAACCAGTGAGAGAACATTCCAAGATCATTACCAACATTTAAATTACATTTAACCATGTTTGAACTTTTAGGAAACGTTCTGTTAAAGTAATAAAAATACCAAGTTCCTTAAATGTGCTGAGAATGTTCAAAAGCCAAGCAACTATCCTGCACCATTCCCAGAAAGTTGTGGGAAGGTTGTATGCAAAATAACTATAGGACAACCACATACTCACCAAGCTCTAAGAAACATATGGTTCTCAAACGTTATGTGCTAACTAGGGAGAGACAGTCAACGAGCCAATCAACAAACTTACATTCATGTGTCAAATAAATTGTGGAAAACAGAGTTAAGAGGTAGCTCAGATGTATGTGTGTGTGTTATTTAAAGTGACCAGGATCAGTTTCAATGATGAGGAGATTACATTGATATGTTCAGGTTGATCATGGCTGAAAAGCATAGAGCGCCACAGTGGAGGTGTCATAATACCCATAAAACCTAGCGGTCAAACAGGGAAATGGTTCCAATCGTTTTTCCACCATTCATTTTTCACATAGGGGATTTTAGAAACACTTCATATAAGGGCTGTATTTCGTGTAGGCTTACCCTGGCGTGACGTTTTGATAACCATGTAAATCTCTCTCGGACAAGGTTACTTTTATCAATATATTCACCTGTATTTACTCCCCCAAAATGAAATGTTAATTAGTTAATTCTTCCATATACAGACAGTAATTCAAAAGGCACTCGCACATCTGAGCTATATCTTTGTTGCAGGTGCATGGTAACAATTGAATAACATGAAAAAAAAGAGAAAGACAGTAAAATAATTGTCAGGTTGTGTACCAAGATGACTGCAATCTTGTTACAGGAATCCTGACAGCAACCTTAACATGCAGCAACACTTATTACAAACAATTTCCTTGCAAGGCTGATGAGGAAAGAAGTGTAGGGTCTAGCCCACACAAACAACCTATGTGGATATGTGGATGGGGATGTGGGCAGCTCAGACTATTCTGGCTGATGTAACACCTCCCTAGAAGAACACTGAGTTTCCGTCTACCACCTGTGGTGCCTGTGGCATTATAACTAGAGTTTTAGTCTGCAGTGGAGCGAAGCAAACGTTCTACTATGTAGTTTCAGAGAGAGTAGTAGTCAAGTGGGCCAAGAACTCAATTCTAGCTTACATTTTTTATAAATACAAATAAGCCTGTAAGCCATGTAACTTTCAGTGTGACAGTTTATTAGCAATGGAAAAATAAAAAAACGTAATCAGTAATGGATTGCTGAAAAGGTGCATGGCACTACTGATGTCTAAAAAATAACAATGAGAAAAGGTTATTTAAGTTATTCAGTGAACTCAACTGCAGTCATATTTGTATTGCATCTAGATATAAGCTTGCACACACACACAAAAGTGAATAAGAAAAACATCTTACATACATTTTCATTAAATATGCTTTTCACCTCATTCAAAAAACTTAAAAGCCTTTTTAATTTCATAATAAGTTAAACGGCCATGTAGTGTTAACTTTACATTGAGGACTTCAAAGTCCAACTGTTAAGTCAACCCAGTTTGTACTTCGGAATGCTTTTAACTTAATGGTCCTCTGATACATGAGTAGTTGGAGGCTCAACAATGGTCAAATGAGCCCAGGTCCCTTAAAGGGATTCTCTGGTACTTTTAAAAACGTTTTAGCTAGTAGTTCTAAAAGGCGCACACACGAGCCAAAAGTGGTCCCCGAAAATTGCTTACTACATCACGTGCAGATTGTGCACCACGTCAATGCTCTTTCTCGCTCTGCTGTGTGATTCTTGCTAGCTGTCATTTAAAATGGCAAGGGGCTGAATCTCATTGGCTGGAACTTTAATTGCTAGGGGGCTGGCCCACGTGGGGGGGGGGAAACGTAGGGAAAATGGCACAGCACAGCTTCCAGAAAACAGTCGCCTTCAAACTAGGGATTTCGTGGTTAATTTAGGTAAGAGAGTAATTCAGCTCATAGATTATGCATGTATGAACTACACACTGACACATCCAGCCCAAAGCGGGAGGTTTAAAAAAACTACTTATTAGTCACCAAAGTACCAGAGAATGTCTTTAAATCATTGACTAAACAGAGTGGAGAGGAGAGAAGGAAATAAGAACACATTGGCATCCTGTCTACTGTTAGCTAGGACGGACTGACAACTCTTTACTTGGAGAAGTGTTCCCATACAGTACATGACAGGCTCTGGCTATGCTCAGTTTACTTTTGATCCAATTTATATTACAGCGAGACATCGGTGACCTTTATAATGTAGCCCAATTCTCTTATGAACAAGTTCATTTAATCAGATAACACATGAAAAAGGTGCAAACAAGGAACTGTAGAAACCAGACACCAACTTAACCAAAACATGACCATAGTGTTCTAACCAAATCATCACCATAGTGTTCCGTGTAAGGAGTTATACCGCTCCGCAATTCGCCATGAGTGCATAGGGGAGAGTGAGACTAAATGTAACACAGATCAATTGTAATGTAACTTGGGGGGTAAAACGTCACCTTACCTCAAAATCATTTTGTGATGACACCGATAAAAAATGTTTTGTTGAGAAAGAGTGGTGGCAACCAGGGAAAGTGTTGGGGGAAAAATTGTGACATGAAGTGGTTCATGTGAGATGTACAGGCAGGATGCGTGTTAGCCCGGGTGTCATTTTACCCCAAGTTACCCTAACTGGAAGGTTTACATTACACTGTGTACAAAACATTAGGGACACCTGCTCTTTCCATGACATAGACTGACCAGGTGAATCCACATGGAAAGCTATCATCCCTTATTGATGCCACCTGTTAAATCCACTTCAAATCAGTGTAGATGAAGGGGAGGAGACAGGTTAAAGGATTTTAAAACCTTGACACAATTAAGACATGGATTGTGCATGTGTGCCATTCAGAGGGTGAATAGGCAAGATGAAAGATTTAACTGCCTTTGAAAGGGATATGGTAGTAAGTGTCAATTTGAGTGTCAAGAACTGCAACGCTGCTGGATTTTTCACGCTCAACAGTTTCCCATGTGTATCAAGAATGGTCCACCACCCCAAGGACATCCAGCCAACTTCACACAACTGTGGGAAGCCCTGGAGCCAACATGGGCCAGCATCCCTGTGGAACGCTTTCAACACCTTGTAGAGTCCATGCCCTGACAAATTGAGGCTATTTTGAGGGAAGGTGTTCCTAATGTTTTGTACACTCTGTGTCTATTAGCCTTGATTCCTGACAATGACCAGTACCATTTAAATGACTGTAGCTCACCTTAGCTGAGGAAACCTTATCAGATGCCTTTATGAGCAACAACAAAATGTTATGAAATATTCACATGGCATCTCAGTATACGGAGACTATTCCAATGTACCAAAAACACAACTCATAAGTTCTCACACATACACCAATACATATTTAACTACTTCAAAGCAAATGAGGATTGTAAGCTTTCCCCATGTGTGGTGGGAACATACATAGCTAATATGATTTCCCTGTGCTGGAGGAAGGGGCTTTACTGCATGTAGTACATCCAACTGCTTTGAAACGTTCAGTGGTTTCTATGGCATTGATGGTTTAAACACATTCCATTTGAGTAAAGAGCCTCACCTCCCCTCGTTGTGCTTTGAAACCAGTGAGGATTTGCTGAACAGTAAGCGGTGCTTTTACCTTAATGCCCAAACTGTTAGCTTATCAGGTCAGCAACCTGTGTTGTTCAGCCTATTTATGGATGGGTGTGCTACAGGGACCTCACTGTACACCCAGAGACTGGCCGTGGTGGCCAACCATCACTCTCAGAGTCTGGACACAACAGACTGAGAAAAATAATAAATTGCGTAAAAGACGTCAATGTGATTGAACTCCGTTCGACTTTGGGTCCTTCAAAAAGCGCTATAAGTCCTATGTATTATTATTAAAATTCCTAATGGTCAATGGGCATTGTCATAATTGGCAAAAACAAACAAGAGACTAACATGGCATTGATTCCTATGAAGTTCAATACATTTTCATCTGCCAAACTTGTAGGCTAAATTATCTCTTTGGAATAAATATCACAGCAAAGCATTGGGCTAAAACAGCCTAGTTAGAACATCTACATTGACAGTTAAGCTGGACCCGCTGTCAGTCAGGTAGGACACACTTACCATCAAGTCATTGCGCGAACAGACAAAATGGACAAAGCCAAAGGCATTTTAAAAAGACAATCCTGTTCTCCGCAGTATTCCAAATCCAAAACCATACACACATTTTTTTCAGCTAGCTAAACATGAAATACAGTGTAATGTTGGAGGTGATGATGGTGTAGGCTACTGCAGACAGCACAGAGTTGGCATAGGACTGGTGTCAAGAGGCCAGAAGACTTGAGTATACAGGACGTCACTGTTGAAGGACAGATCAACACATTGTCTAATACCCATGGCCTCGGTCTATCCACAGCATAGTCTGAGGGATTCAGTCAAACTGAGAAGCCACATTCGCATCCCAAGCAAAGAGTTTGTAGAACATTGCAGTGTAAACATGGAATATATCGGTTGAGTTAAGAGATACAGCTTAATGTAGAACTCAGGGTCCCAGACGTCTTTGCAGGTAGCATTGGCTGATGTTGCTCAAAGGTTGTCCAGTGTTGAGATAGCCCTGGCTGGACGTGTGTGTGTGGGCAGCGAGGTGTTCAGGCTTGAAGATGGGTCACGTCTCAAAGTACTTGTAGATGGCAGTGACGTAGGTCATCACACTCTGCCAGTCAGGCCTCTCTGTGTGCACCATCTCTCCAATGTCCTGAGAGAGAGAGAGAGAGACAGAGACAGAGACAGAGACAGAGACAGAGACAGAGAGAGAGAGAGAGAGAGAGAGAGAGAGAGAGAGAGAGAGAGAGAGAGAGAGAGAGAGAGAGAGAGAGAGAGAGAGAGAGAGAGACGTAAGATGTGTTGCAGTACACATTCGTATCACACTGGATTTCTTTCGCTGCAAATTCTGTGTTTAGAATATTGTCAGTGAGACGGTGAGGAATAAAGTTCTGACTTAGCAAGCACACATCGCTTGGCCTAGGAGTAACAAATCACAATACTTTCCAACAGTATGTGTTGGACAAAACAGTGAATCACTCAAAGATGAACCCCGTCTGCCTCTTGTTAAGCTGAAGTCAACTGGCCTTGGTGTGACACTGCTCTTAAGTAAGCTGGAGCTGCTTGCCATTGACATGAGCACATCATCTTTTAAGGGCAGTCCTCAGGCTACAGCCAGCCAATCTATGTACTGTTGGTGTGCATTGCTGCTGAACTATATATCAGCCCTGTCTTTCTGTTGCCCAGTCTTTCTAGTCAAGCCTTACAAAGGGGAGGAAGGGATATGAGAACGTGTCGCTCATCCCCCCCAGCCATATAAAGCATCTTGGTCATTTCATTCTACACTTTTGAGTGGTAGACAAATATCCTTTCGTGCAAATGGTGGAACTGTCTTGGGTTCGTTTTTGCTCGGACACCAACCAATGAGGACTTGATCCCGACACTTTCAGCTGCCTGGAAAGCCAGTGTGAAATTTCGCTTCTGAAGGAAGAGAGAGAAAATAAATGTTTTGATGAACGAACTACATGTATACACAACTCAAAATGAATTTTCAAACACTTAGACCCCTCAGTCCACTGACAGGAAGGTTCTATCTCACCTTGTCCTGGCTGGAGAGCTCTAGGTAGGGGATGTGGGCAGGCAGGTAGGTGTGGAGAACAGCACAGAAGGCCAGCCCGTCGTTCCAGCTGCTGCTGAAGTTGGTGATGTCAATGTTCTGGAGAGAGGAGAGAAACAGCATAACAGTGAGGACTCTCTAATACCAGCCTTAGCAGTGTTTCCTCTACAAAAATGTGTAGCAGTGAGAGAAGAGTTTGCGGAGGGGGTCCACCCCCAGCCTTGTTTCGCTGACTCCATTAAAATATAATTTCCACCTCCAGAAATGTGGTAAAATTATTTGTAAAAATTATTTTAACATATTGGACCATGACATGCATATAGCCTATGCATGGTCCATATTATCAGGTATGCTATTAGCAATAAGCATTATCACCTGTAGCCCAACTGATGCAGAATAGTGGCCTATAAATAAATAGGCTGAAGCATGGGGTTGCCCATCTGCATTTACCCTATTGGGATAATCATTAGGTAGATCCCAAATATGATATTTTAACTAGTTAGCATCATATTGATACGTTTTATGTCCCAAAACAGTGAATATACATAGTATACCAAATATTAGGAACACCTTCAGCTCAACTATATTATCAATGTTCCATCTTTTGTTTTGTGTGGGGGCAATGATTATGCCATAGCACAGCACCACAAATGACTGCAGAGGAAACACTGAGCCCTAGGCTATTCTTATGTTTCACCATGTCGTCCCCAACCACTGTCAACAACAGTAGATGATGCAAACTGTTGTCTTTCAAATGAAGTGGAAGAATGTACACTACCAGTAAAAGGTTTGGACACACCTACTCATTCAAGGGTTTTTATTTTTACATTGTAGAATAATAGTGAAGACATCAAAACGATGAAATAACACATATGGAATCATGTAGTAAACAAAAGTGTTAAACAAATCAAAGTATGTATTATATTTGAGAATCTTCAAATAGCCACCCTTTGTCCCTTGATGACAGCTTTGCATTCTCTCAATCAGCTTCACCTGGAATGCTTTTCCAACAGTCTTGAAGGAGTTCCCACATATGCTGAGCACTTGCTGGCTGCTTTTCCTTCACTCTGCGGTCCGACTCATCCCAAACCATCTCAATTGGGTTGAGGTCGGGGGATTGTGGCCAGGTCACCTGATGCAGCACTCAATCACTCTCCTTCTTGGTAAAATAGCCCTTACACAGCCTGGAGGTGTGTTGGGTCATTGTCCTGTTGAAAAAAAACAAATGATAGTCCCACTAAGCCCAAACCAGATGGCGTATCGCTGTAGAATGCTGTGGTAGCCATGCTGGTTAAGTGTGCCTTGAATTCTAAATAAATCACAGACAGTGTCACCAGCTAAGCACCCCCACACCATAACACCTCCTCCTCCATGCTTTATGGTGGGAAATACACATGGGAAGATCATCCATTCACCCACACTGCGTCTCACAAAGACACGGTGGTTGGAACCAAAAATCTCAAATTTGGACTCAAGACCAAAGGACAAATTTGCACCGATCTAATGTCCAGCGCTCGTGTTTCTTGGCCCAAGCAGGTCTCTTCTTCTTATTGGTGTCCTTTAGTAGTGGTTTCTTTGCAGCAATTCGACCATGAAGGCCTGATTCACACAGTCCCCTCTGAACAATTGATGTTGAGATGTGTCTGTTACTTGAACTCTGTGAAGCATTTATTTGGGCTGCAATTTCTGAGGCTGGTAACTCTAATGAACTTATCCTCTGCTGCAGAGTTAAGTCTGGGTCTTCCAAATTTTCCGTATTGACTGACCTTCATGTCTTAAAGTAATGGACTGTCGTTTTGCTTTGCTTAATTTGAGCTGTTCTTGCCATAATATGGACTTGATATTTTACCAAATAGGGCTATCTTCTGTATACCCCCCTATCTTGTCACATCACAACTGATTGGCTCAAACGCATTAAGGAAAGACATTCCAGAAATTAACTTTTAAGGAGGCACACCTGTTAATTGAAATGCATTCCAGGTGACTACCTCATGAAGCAGGTTGAGAGAATGCCAAGTGTGCAAAGCTGTCATCAAGGCAAAGGGTGGCTATTTGAAGAATCTCAAATATAAAATATATTTAGATTTGTTTAACACTTTTTTGGTTACTACATGATTCCATATGTGTTATTTCACAGTTTTGATGTCTTCACTATTATTCTACAATGTAGAAAATAGTAAAAATAAAGAAAAACCCTGGAATGAGTAGGTGTGTCCAAACCTTTGACTGGTACTGTATGTGTTTTAGCACACTAGTGTTTCTTCACACTGCCTTGCACTCAAGTGAGAGAGGGTCAAAGAGTCCATTGTATTAGCTTAACTACTTTATCACTGTGTGTTTGCTTAGTGGATAAGTTTATCATCTCCATCGACTTGCATCCCACGGCTCCCCTCTCTAACCCACATATACAACGGGAAGCCATTTAGGTCCGACTGTGTGTGTGTGTCTGGGCCTTTACGGGCCCTGTTGTTATGACCAGGTACGGTAGGTAGGGGGGGGGGGGGATTCATGTTCGGTTTGCTTAATCTATTTAATGCTCCACATGGATGGATGCCCTTCAATTGGGATGCACACACACACACACACCTCACGTGCATCCAAACTCCAAACACTTGGTGTCTTTCTAGAAAGTGCTGTTGAAAGAGACTCTTATTCTTGTCGGAAAATGGCAACTGGTCAAAATAACAAAAAAGATGCAGTGTTGTCAGACCTCGAATAATGCAAAGAAAATAAGTTAATGTTCATTTTTAAACAACACTAATGTTTTAACTTAGGAAGAGTTCAGAAATCAAAATTTGGTGGAATAACCCTGATTTTCAATCACAGCTTTCATGTACGCATGCTCTCCACCAGTCTTTCACATTGATGTTGGGTGACTTTATGCCACTCCTGGCGCAAAAATTCAAGCAGCTCGGCTTTGTTTGATGGCTTGTGACCATCCATCTTCCTCTTGATCACATTCCAGAAGTTTTCAATGGGGTTCTGGTCTGGAGATTGGGCCGGCCATGACAGGGTCTTGATCTGGTGGTCCTCCATCCACCTTGATTGACCTGGCTGTGTGGCATGGCGCATTGTCCTGCTGGAAAAACCAATCCTCAGAGTTGGGGAACAATGTCAGAGCAAAAGGAAGCAAGTTTTCTTCCAGGACAACCTTGTACGTGGCTTGATTCATGCGTCCTTCACAAAGACAAATCTGCCTGATTCCAGCATTGCTGAAGCACCCCCAGATCATCACCGATCCTCCACCAAATTTCACAGTGGGTGCGAGACACTGTGGCTTGTAGGCCTCTCCAGGTCTCCGTCTAACCATTAGACGACCAGGTGTTGGGCAAAGCTGAAAATTGGACTCATCAGAGAAGATGACCTTACTCCAGTCCTCTACGGTCCAATCCTTATGGTCTTTTGCAAACCTCAGCCTGGCTCTTCTTTGCTTATCATTGATGAAGGGCTTTTTTCTAGCTTTGCACGACTTCAGCCCTGCCCCTAGGAGCCTGTTTCGAACCGTCCTCGCTGTGCACTTCACCCCAGCTGCCGTTTGCCATTCTTTTTGTAGGTCACTTGATGTCATCCTACAGTTGTTGAGTGACATTCGAATTAGTTGGCGGTCATCCCGGTCAGTAGAGAGTCGTTTTCGCCCTCTGGGGACAACAAAGCTACAGACTGACAATGTCTGCTGCTTGACCTTGTTCTTATGAACCGCCGTCTATGAAATTTTAAGGATGGAAGCAACCTGACGCTCACTGTATCCCTCTGCCAGTAAAGCCAGAATTGAACCCTTCTTTTCCTCACTCAAAAACATTCCTTTTCAACTCTTTTGGCATGGTCAATAGTTATTTTTTGATTAATATTACTTTTGAGGTCCTATTAGCACAGTTTTTGCCATCCAGCTGGTCCGATTGCAAGAGGATAGTGATGACCACAGCAGTGGATTTTATACTTTTCCTCGTTAAATAAGATTTGGTTCATGTGATCACCTAATCAGTACCTAATTCAGTAGAATGAGGTGTGCCTGTGTTGGAATTCAACAGACACTGGAATGGAATGGCTGTCATACATGTCTCTTTTTCCACAGCTGTGTGTGTGTGTGTGTGTGTATATATATATATATTTATTATTTATTTTTCAGACCCTTTACTATGATACTCGAAATTGAGCTCAGGTGCATCCTGTTTCCATTTATCATCCTTGAGATGTTTCTACAACTTGATTGGAGTCCACCTGTAGTAAATTCAATTGATTGGACATGATTTGGAAGGGCCCACACCTGTCTATATAAAGGTCCCACAGTTGACAGTGCATGTCAGAGCAAAAACCAAGCCATGAGGTCAAGGAATTGTCAGTAGAACTCCAAGACAGGATTGTGTCGAGGCACAGATCTGGGGAAGGGTACCAAAAAATATCTGCAGCATTGAAGGTCCCCAAGAAGACAGTGGCCTCAGTCATTCTTAAATGTAAGAAGTTTGGAACCACCAAGACTCTTCCTAGAGCTGGCCGCCGAGCCAACCTGAGCAATCGGGGGAGAAGGGCCTTGGTCAGGGAGGAGACCAAGAACCCGATGGTCACTCTGACAGAGCTCCAGAGTTCCTCTGTGGAGCTGGGGGAACCTTCCAGAAGGACAACCATCTATGCAGCACTCCACCAATCAGGCCTTCATTGTAGAGTGGCCAGACGGAAGCCACTCCTCAGTAAAAGGCACATGACAGCTTGCTTGGAGTTTGCCAAAAGGCACCTAAAGACTCTCAGACCATGAGAAACAAGATTCTCTGGTCTGATGAAACCAAGATTGAACTCTTTGGCCTGAATGCCAAATCAAAATCAAATCAATTCTATTTGTCACATGCGCCGAATACAACAGGTGTAGACCTTACAGTGAAATGCTTACTTACAAGCTCTTAACCAACAATGCAGTTAAGAAAAATAAGTGTTAAGAAAGTATTTACTAAAATAAACTGAAGTAAAAATTAAAAAATAAAAATTAGAGCAACAATAAAATAACAGTACCGAGGCTATATACAGGGGGTACCGGTAGCTGTTCAGGAGTCTTATGGCTTGGGGGTAGAAGCTGTTAAGAAGCCTTTTGGTCCTAGCTGTCAAGTGTCACGTCTGGAGATAACCTGGCACCATCCCTACGGTGAAGCATGGTGGTAGCAGCATCATGCTGTGGGGACGTTCTTCAGCGGCAGGGAGACTAGTCAGGATCGAGGGAAAGATGAACGGAGCAAAGTACAGCGAGATCCTTGATGAAAACGTGCTCCAAAGCGCTCAGGACCTCAGACTGGGGTGAAGGTTCACCTTCCAACAGGACAAAGACCCTAAGCACACAGCCAAGACAATACAGGAGTGGCTTCAGGACAAGTCTCTGAATGTCCTCGAGTGACCCAGCGAGAGCCTGGACTTAAACCTGATCTAACATCTCTGGAGAGACCTGAAAATAGCTGTGCATCGACGGTTCCTATCCAACCTGACAGAGCTTGAGAGGATCTGCAGAGAACAATGGGAGAAACTCCACAAATACAGGTGTGCCAAGCTTGTAGCGTCATACACAAGACTCAAGGCTGTAATCACTGCCAAAGGTGCTTCATTAAAGTACTGAGTAAAGGGTCTGAATACTTATGTAAATTGCCGTTTTTATTTTTATAATACATTTGCTAAAAATTCTAAATCTGTTTTTGCTTTGTCATTATGGGGTTTTGTGTGTAAATTGATGAGGAAAATCCATTTTAGAATAAGGCTGTAACGTAACAAAATGTGGAAAAAGTAAAAGGGTCTGAATACTTTCCGAATGCACTGTAGGTAGGTTAGATGATTGCTTCCTCTACCAGAGACAATGGAAACTCAAGAAGAAACGGGAAACTCAAAGTAAACCATAAGAGTTTGAATTGAACCTTCCGCCACCCCCTAGTGCACTATATAGGGAATATGGTGCCATTTGGGACGCAGTCCCCGTCTACAGTGAGGCAGCCATCAACTCTCTCCTAAGGGTCAGTTATCAGAGAAGCCGAGTGTCAGGGGACATGTGAGGAAGGAAATGGTCCAGACACCAGGGTGCCATAACACAAGGAACACTACAGAGGGAAGAGGAGGGGAAAGGGAGGGAAGAGTGCCTGGGGGCTCCTCCAAGAGGTGTCACTGCTCTCTGTGGGAACCCAATTCACTGGTTCTCCAGGATCACAGCACCTGTCTAATTGGTGTTAACCAGGACTACACATTCTGCGGGCAGAGACACTCTAGTCACTAACTATGGTGAGCCACACTGGTTATTATAACTCATCTTTTCCTCAGAACCTTTTCCTGCACAAAAATCAGACAACTTTTGACAAAGAAAGGATTGTTAAAATGCCAACAAATTGATCAACAAGGAACATACAAATTTGCTAGGTTTAAGGTATTTATTCTCTCTGCATCCCCTTGCTTTACCAGTGTTGGCGGAGCAATATATGAATCAACGATGGATAGAGCTGGAGAGTAAAAGAAACAGGAGGAGCCCAGTAGAGAGCATTAAGGTATAACTGTGGAAGAATAGGGCTGAGCTACGGTAGGAGAGGCTTGGCTGGTAGCAGTGTGTTTACGGTGAGCATGGCTCGTAGGAGCACCAGAGCACAGGTAATGAACACATTAAGTACAGTCCTCATGAAAAAAATGAGGAAAAGGGAGAGCGAGAGAGAGAGCGAGAGAGACTGTTTGTGGAGAGAACATTTATGATTTAGAGAGGAGATGGGGGACTGCCCCTGCCAGAAACCAACAGAAAAGACGACAAAGTAGAGGCTATTTAGCATAGTATCAAAGGCCTTGTCGTTCTACTTCCCAAACTGAACGGCTAAGAACGCTTGTGCTACAACAGAGACTATAATCCTCTTTTTTTTTTATACTATACAGTTTTCCACAATGCCCATCTGTGCCAATATGCCCTTGCCCATACCATCAGAGTTTCAGCTAGAGGAGAGGTCATGTTGGCTGAGGAGAGGCCGGGACTAGGGCGAAGTCTGGCACACTTCCTGGAGAGGGTAAAGCTTACTGATAAAAACAGAGTAACGGCAATGATCTGATATTCTTTCCTGCATCTAAACCTGTTGAGAGAAACCAAACATTGTCCAATGGGATGGAGTAAGTAAGTTGTGTAAGTTGGGGTGTGCATGCACGTGTGTGTCTTATGCCAGCCTGTACCCTCCACCCTTTTCCCACCCTGTTGGTTAGTACCAGGTATCCTTCAGTCTTCTTCTGGCACCACTTAAGCAGGGCATTCCTCTTGGATCCCCCGTACTCCCTGGCCAGTGCAGACAGGGGGTCTTTTCTCTCCTCCCTATGGACACACAGAAGGACATGAAAGAACACATGAACAGAAAGAATGATCAGACACATAGGGGTGGTTTTACAGAAACATATTTAGCCTGATCTTGGACTAAAAAGTATTGTCAATGGAGATTCTCAATTAAGCTTGCTTTTCAGTCCAGCACTAGGCTTTATCTGTGTCTGTGAAACTGACTCATAGTGCACCTTTCAAAGGAGGAAAATCTACAACACATCGAGGTGACATTGAAAACCTCAAAAATACAATGTGTTATATTTTTATTTTCATCCTCTGTAACTATACTCTCATAGCCCCCTGCATTCACCGACTAGCAAGTCAAGCTGTGGACAAAATAATCCTTCCATGAAATGTCATAATTCAGAGAGAGGCGGATAGAGAAATAGAGGATAGAAAATTAGAGAGGGGATAGAGAGAGGGGGGGTAGAGAGAGAGGGGGATAGAGCGAGAGGAGAGAGAGGGGGATAGAGAGCGAGGGTGATACCTGACCACTGTGACAGACCCAAAATGAAGGAAAGCTTTGACTATGTACAGACTCAGTGAGCATAGCCTTGCTATTGAGAAAGGCCGCCGTAGGCAGACCTGGCTCTCAAGAGAAGACAGGCTATGTGCACACTGCCCACAAAATGAGGTGGAAACTGAGCTGCACTTCCTAACTTCCTGCCAAATGTATGACCATATTAGAGACACATACTTCCCTCAGATTACAAAGCGATCCACAAAGAATTCGAAAACAACCCAATTTTGATAAACGCCTTATCTACTGGGTGAAAAACCACGTGTGCCATCACCCAGCAAGATTTGTGACCTGTTGCCACAAGAAAAGGGCAACCAGTGAAAGAACAAACACCATTGTAAATACAACCCATATTTATGTTTATTTATTTTCCCATTTTGTACTTTAACTATTTGCACATTGTTACAACACTGTATATATACTAATATACATTTGAAATGTCTTTATTCTTTTGAAACTTCTGAGTGTAATGTTTACTGTTTATTTCACTTTTGTTTACTATCTACTTCACTTGCTTTGGCAATGTTAACACACGTTTCCCATGCCAATAAAGCCCTTAAATTGAAATTGAAATTGAAATGAGGAGTAGATAGAAATAGAGAGGGAGTTTGAGAGAGGATAGAGAGGGGGATAGAGAGTGTGGGGATAAAGAAAGGGGGGGGGGGGGGTATGAGAGAGAGGTGGGATAGAGATATAGAGGGGGATATAGAGAGAGGGGGATATAGGGAAAGGGCGCGAGAGAGAGGAATAGAAAGATGGGGATAGAGAGGGGGACAGAGAGCGAGAGAGAAGGGGATAGAGATAGGGGATAGAGAGCTGGAAAGAGAGGGGGATAGAAATAGAGGGGTAGAGAGAGAAATAGAGAGGGGGTTGAGAGAGTGGGGATAGAGAGATGGAGAGGGCTAGAGAGAGGTGGATAATAGAGAGAGGGGGATAAATAGAGAGATAGGGAGGGGATAGAGATGGGGATAGAGAGAGAGGGGATAGATCGAGAGAGAGGGCGCTAGAGAGGGGGATAGAGAGATCGAGAAAGAGGGGGACAGAGCGATAGAGAGGAGGCTCAGGAACGAGAGGGAGATAGTGAAAGGTCCTTTTAGTCGAGCCCGTCACCCATTCAGAGCAGTGTGCGTTGTCAGCGCTCAATATTTGGTTGCAGTCAATTGGATTTCCAGTCAAGCTCTCCTGAATTACCTGGCATTTCCAGTTCACACCCGGCGTCCCTCTGATAGACTGGACAAGCAATCTGTCACTTTGCTTAATTACTGATATACTTATATATAGGGCAGAGGAGCCATAGGAAGATGGGACACAGACAGACACAGACATCCACAGATACTGACACAGACACTGACACAGAGATAGTGACACAGACTAGGGCTGTTGCAAGTTTGGTAGAGCGAGCTTCAGGTGGACACAAATTAATAGTTGATACAATGTTTCAAGTTTGTTGTAGCCAATGTGATTTATAGGATATATTTTAAATCAGGATATTTTCTACCTGCAGGCTGCAATGTTTTTATTTGTTGGCTTTATTTGGGCTATTTTTACATAGTTGGCAATTGCAATAGAATATACTTTTTAGTTTTATCATTTTAATTTAGATTTGGATAGAATTTTGATTAACCCGATGACAATGATTTAGAGATACGAAGACGTTATAAATTAAATGAAACTGTTCCACGAAAATGTGCATATGAAAACCATAACTGACACGCAGATCGGTAGAAATTGTAAGATAAATTGGCATTCCACATGAGAAAGGTTGCCGACTCCTCGTGTAGCCTATTATCGGCAACTTCAGGAGAGTAAGGGCAGAATCTGCGAAAGCCAGCAGGAGCGGGAGGGGGATGGTCGGGTTAGGTTACGTTTTTTTTATTATGGTTATTATGGTTTTTTTATATCTTAATCTCTGGATCCCTCTTGACTAATTTTTGTATTATTTAATCAAACAGTGAGCTTAAAGAATCAGATAAGCTGAATGCATATATAGTTGATTTTATTAAAACACATGGTGTCTATATATGGAATAATACACGTTTTAAAATTTCGACCAATCGATTGGTCGAAAGAACAGACGACTTTCGGTCGACCAAGATTTTTTTGGGGGGTCGGGGACAGCACTAACACAGACACACACAGATACTGACACAGACAGATAGAGACACACACACACACTCTGACACACACTCAGAGAGAGAGAGAGAGAGCGAGAGGGTGTCCATACCGTAAGCGTCCCCTTGTGGAGGGGGTGACTGAGGCGGTGGGGGAGGAGGTGGTGGGGGAAAGGGAGGAGACCTGGGGGGAGGAGGTGATGAGGGAGGCCGAGGCACTGTTCTCTGAGGCAGACAAGTTCCTCTTCAGCTCCTCACTGCTCCTTCGGGACACTGGGGACAAGACAGGACAAAGGTCACTTACTGGAACACTGTGATGACTGAAGAAGTAGTTAACCACAGTGTTATCAGTACCACAATCACATTACTTTCACTATCAAGCCACAATAAAGTAATTTGGAGCACAGCACACAGTCACAAATGTATGATACAGCCTCTGACACAGGTACATATAGTAAACACACACCTGAGAGGGACTTGGAGGAGTCCATGTTGGGGACCCTCTGGAGGGCAGAGGGGGTGCGGGTCCCAGGCGAGGCCCGGAGCAGGTGATCTGCTGTTGGGGATGGAGAACACAGTCCCTAGTACTCTAAATGGACCTATAGATTAACCAAATATGGAACTATGTTGGTTGAAGCAGGGGGCAAGTCATAACCCCTACCAGATCCCTACCAATAACATCGTCCAGCCAGTAAATAAGCACACTTCAGAGCCCAAGTTAACACCTTAATTAATACCTGTTAATACATTAATACCCTTTAATGCAAGCAGACTTTTTCCTAAATACAAAAGTATAGCTTTGTGAGGCTCACAGTTGGCTGCTTTTGTGCCAGGCTAAGTGGAAAAACTGAGTGTGAGCTGAGTTAGCAACGGTGGTTCTAAGGAAGCGTGTGAACGGGGATCTAAATCCACTGTTGCACGCTCCTATTACTCCTTGTCTGCATCCCAAATGGCACCCTATTCCCTATTAAATGCACTACTTTTGACCAGGCCTATAGAGCTCTATATAAGGAGGAATAGGATGCCATTTGGGACAAAGCCCTGTTGTCTGAGCCTGTGGCCTCCCCACCGAGGGCTGCCTGCGTTGGGCTGCGATATGAACCTCATGTGATTGCAGTGCCTGTGTCCCTTCTTCCATTATTAAGCCTGACACTCAAGATAGAGGTCAATCTCACAATCTTGGTGGGTCTGAGAATTATCCCATCACCCACATGTCTGCTACACACTGCTCTACCATTACAACCTCCAAGCTATACATCCAGACATCAGTGATGGACTTGCTTCGGTCTTGTGGTGTTCATCTGTAAGGTCATGGCGCAGTGAGGTAACCTACCTACTAAACTAGGTGAATGCACTGACTATAAGTCTCCCTGGATAAGAGTGTCTCCTAAATAACTAAAATGTAATGTCTGTTCTGTTGGACAACCATTACATGATATGAATGACGACAGTGTTATACCCACCTGGCATAGTGAGGTCTGTGTAGCTGGACCTCTTTTCCACCATGGAGCACAGTGGTTTGGGGGTCGACGCGGTGTGCCTCTGAAACATAGCACAACAGAAGAGAATCAGACATACACACTAGCATATACAGCAACATTGTTCATTAAATGAGGACAGCATAACAGAACTACTCATAAAGTAGTGTATCCAATCAAAAACACATATTTTGACCAATGGGTAAAATAATGTTAATTGTATAGATCCTCCTCTAAAAAACAAAACAATGGTCCAAACCTCATGTCTCCATCATAATCCGTTCCAAAGTTATTGGAGTTTCTACCCTTGTAGGATCAGATGGCCAAAATTAGGGTGACTAAATCAATGGAGGCCAGAGAAAAAAAAAGCGTTAGCTAGTCTGGATGCTGTGCAAGAATTAAGGCTAACTGACAGGCTCACGGTTGAACTCGTCATCTTTCTTCTCGTATCCGGAGGACCCCAAAAAAATGTAGGTAAGATAGATATCGATTTTGAGACATGACATGTAGTATTTTCATAGTTTAGTATACGCTTTTCATATTAATGTGAAATTCATATTTGTATCGCAAAGATTTCTCACAAAAACAAGCATCTCTCTGAAATGTCAATGGAACAAAGAGCGTACCGCAAGCCTTTTATTTTCAAAGCCTTTTTTGACCCGAGGAAACAACTTTGTACACGACAACCAGAACTTTGTACACGACAACCAGAACAGAGCGGTACTGCGAGAAAGCAGTACCGCTCTGTCAAGAGCTCGGTGCTTATTATCGGATGTATTAGGTTACGAAATCTGACTTTTTGGATATAATGTTAAATTATATGTTAGAGAAAGACCCCACTGAATGATTCAGAACATGAAGAATCATATTTGTCTTGGTAAAATGTATTTTATAACATAAGGAAGTGAAATTTAAATCACCACAGCACGGTTTCACCCACTCTGGGCAGAGAGGGTGGACACCCTACATTAGAGCTCTGCTACCCGATCCCCGACATTATACATCGGGTTAGGGCCGGGTAGGGCCTGTTTTTTCATTAAGAACTTGGGTATGGGTAGGGCTCAGGGTATCACTAACATTTTGAAGCTGACCCATTTGTGTGTGCTCATAACATGGTGTCAGAAGTGCTTCAGTCCTCGTCAAATATAAGACAGGAGAGATGATTATTTCACAGAAAATAATAATGTTCCTTGAGTTGAGAGTGACGAAAAGTAGCTACAAGCTAAATGCTCTCTAATATCTCATAATTGAGCAGAGCAGCCTCTGTGGAGCTGTTGCTATGGATTAGGGCTGACCCCATTTAGTCGACTGGTCGATTGTTTGGTCGATAGGCTGTTGGTCGCCCGAGATTTTTGTAGTTGAGCAGTGGCAAATATATTTTCAATTATGGCACACGAGACACCTGTCTGATTCACGCCTGTGAGTGGACTAAAAACGAACAGGTTTTTCTTTTCTGGTTTTATTGATCTCTGGCTCCCTCTTTAGTAATTTGTGTGTCTTCATTTTTAGTCACAGTGCTTAAAGCACCAGACAAGCTCAGTAGCCTACATATAGTTGATTTTATTCGAAACATATGGGTGTCTATATATGGAAAAATACATGTTTAAAAATGTCAACCAATCGGTTGGTCGAAAGAACAGACGACTCACGGTCAACAAAGTTGATTTATTTTTGTCGGGGACAGCCCCACTATAGATATTGTTGGATTCTAGCTTGAAATATACTTATTGATGTTACCATACTGGAATGTATTTATTATTTTACATGTATAATGAATGTTGGGGTCATTGGACAGTGGATAAGAACTAGGTGTATGGAAAGTTACTGAGTCAGACAAGGGTGGAGGCAGGAAGTTTACATTGTCATACATGTGATTGTTCAATCCTATGGAGGGAGGCAAAAGGCAACAGTCTGGTTTCAGTCAATGATAAGGTAGGACAGCCATGGAGTAGGGAGGAATGGAATTCAGAACGAGGTCAGGTCAGATGAAGTGAGAAGGAACAGTCCTATTACACACATACATACTACATGCCCACGAAGGTTCTAGCAGGAGGCAAGGCCATGACTACACCAGTGAGAGGAACCAATTAAGTTCCTGACTAGCAACATATATGTATTTGCTGTCTAGATGGGCAAGGAGTTGACTCCTCCTAGTAGGAGGGTATAAATATATGTGCTTGTGTAAACATGTCTTTGTCTTTGCAGCTGTTTGACCCAGTGGGTGAATAAACTTAGTTTGAGCTTTTTCCTAGTCGTCCGTAGTGTGTGTGTGTGTGTGTGTGTGTATGGATAAATTGTCATGCTTGTGTAGTAGTACGGTAGGTTGTAGAGAAGTAGTCCATGGAGAAGGACAAATGGAGGGAATGTGGAATGTGATAGAAGGTTGCCTTTAAGTTCTGGAGGAGAGCCCCATCCATGGTTAGAAAAGCAAAAAGATATTTGAAAGTTGTTTGAACATGATTTGTGTGTATTTAGCAGTAGCAATAAGGACAGAGGTTGGTTTATGCTCTATTGGGGTGGGCAACCTTGACAGATTATGTGGAAATAGGAAGACAACTGTGAACAATTTGGTTATGTGTGTTGTCAACAACAGTGATATTTGAAGCGTGACACTGGTATAAGACATTAGGTCTCACGTATTCTCCAGTAGTAAATTGGCAGATGCTTCAGTATTGGTTCTAATACAAAGTATTAGGTCCCGTGACCAAATTATTAGGCACCTATACCGTAACTACTATCCAGGATGTGGGTATCACTACCTAAAAAAAATTATAGTTAAAATTGGCATGTATTAGAGCCGTGGGTGAGGAAATCTAAATAACTATTGAAATGGCGACGGGCGGCCCCGATTCTCCCTGTAAAGGGGGTCTAGAGGAAGAAAAGTTTAAAACCATAGAGGCTCTGAAAGAGGCACACAAGCATTTCACCAATTCGGCTCGAATATGGGAAAAACTTGGTCAGCACTTCCCTGCTGACGGAAAATTCGAATCTAATAAAGAATTCAGAGATGCTATTGTGAGTTGGCACAATGACATACAATCAAAATCAAAAGCTCAATACACCAGCATTTTGATGTCAGCATTCTATCAACAGGAAAGCAAAACCGATAAAACCAAAATTAGTAGATGTACTCAGCATCAAAAAGACTGGGTACGTGAGTACATTGATAGAATGTGTACGTCTGCTTTGATGGCAGGTTTGAAACCTGTTATCAAAACGGCTATTGCGGGGGTAGTGGACCAACATTTTCACTGGGATGAAATAGTGCAGGAGGCTTTGAGAGTGGAATCTAATTATGCTCACTTTGCAGCCGTGCGTGTGGTTAATACAGCCACAGTGAAAGTCACTAACAGTGGTTTCAACAGTCAAGGTAAGACAAAGAAACAGAGGAAAGGGCAGCGAACCTATGCTAAGGCGCAGGGCGATAGAGCCCTGTTTTACATGTGGGACTGTCGGTCATGGGAAGAATGAGTGTACGGTAGTCCTGGAGCCTACTACACCCGCTCCCTCTGGAGGGAATGCTGCGATGCAGGCGTTTGCCGCATAAACAAAAGAACAGCAGCAGACACTCTTGAGAGTAGCGGGGCAGGGGAGCTCGACATAGGCTAAATGTGCGACAGGAAAAAGTATTACAATTAGCGGGGTAACGGGCAGAATCGAAAGCGATACGACTACTACCCATGTCTCTGACCATAGAACCACTAACAACACCCGGATCATTTTACATGGCGACGGGTGTGGAACCAATTTTGGGGTTGGATAATCTATGCGAAATGACAGGGGAATGGATTCTAAAAGGTCACAAGTTAAAGTTGGCACGGCCAAACACTGCTTGCAAACTCAGAAAACCTTGGGGGTTTTTAATCTCGTGAGACACTTTATTCCGTCTTATTCTGAAATCGCTTTATAGAATTGACGAAAGGGAGGAGGGGTCCTCACGAGAAATTCGAGTGACGTTTTTATTGTGAGTAATTGTTTGTAGAGTTAAAGAAACAATTGTAATTGCCGTTTAAAAAAGCAATTATGTCAAGCACCAGCATTGGGGTTACCAAACCTAAAATTACCTTTTAAAATTGTGTTCATGAGTAAGAAGGGCATTGTAGTGTGGTGGTTACGCAAAATCATGGGGAAAAGAGAGAACAGTCATGTACAGGACTAAATTGTTAGACTTGGTGGCGAGAGGAATGCCGCCGTGTCTAAGAGCAGTAGAGGCTACAGAAATGGTTTTGCATGCTTCGATTACATTGGGCCCCAAAATAATCGATTCAGTGCATATTTATCTTAAAATAGTAGACATCAATGAGTGTGAAGCAAATAGGGAATATCCAACAGAGATTGGTAATAGTATATGCAGTAAACGTTGGGATGGATTAAAACACAAACGATGAATGAGTGCAGGGAGGACAGTGGACTCCCGGTGAACAGAATTTATCATGTTTTGTTTGTAATTTATACTTTATAAAACTGCGGAATTTCACTAACTGCTCTCCCAAGACAACAGCCTCGGGAAACATTTCAAAGGGAGAGACAGGGACACCCCATCCTTAAATCAGCAACCCAAAAGTTTTAAAGTACCCGGATCCGGCCGTAAAGGCCGTACGTTTTACCACACACACCAGCACCCCACCTGTTATGAATATTTGTTAGTGGTGTTAATACCGTGTCTGATTTAATTGTGTGGGGTCTTTTATTTGGTTTTAGTAGGTTCTTCAAGGGCTAGAAAGGATGCACCTTAAAGGGAATTGTGGTTGCACACATGTAAGTTCTCCTGATAAGGAATGTACTGAAAAAAACAAAATGTAAAATGGGTACACAGGATTTGGGAAATGTTTGAAATGTCTTTAAATAAGTAGCCTGAAGTACAGGGAAAGAACATACTCACTTAATGGTGTTGAATGACCTCTGTTCTGACTTTCTGGTGTGGCCTGATCACCCTTGCCAGAAAGGCTAGAGACATTGGGTGAGATTTAAGTATAATATGAAGAAGTGTATTGCTGTAGTCGTTTTGTTTTTGTCTTTGCTTCAATACAAATCTCACAAGATTGGGCCTGCTGTATGGTCGGGATTTCTCCCTAAAGGTTAGTACTCTAACTCCCAGACCCTGTAACTCAGTGAGGTTGCCAATATGATAAGGGAGTATAAGCCAAATTGCAAAATGGTTTCAACAGTGTGTTGTTATGCTCTTTGACATTTGTCTTAGAAATGTTGTATCAAGAAAAGTGGGAATGTAATAATTAGTCATACGGTGAATAGTTTTGTCTGGATTTCCTGAATCAGAAATGCCTTAAACTGTTGTCAAGGGTGGTATATCATCAAGGGTGGTATATAGATGCATGGAAGGGATAATTCGACCGAGAACAGTGTGAGCCTCACCCCCTCTAACCGGCTGAAGTAATGGCGACAATGGCGTTTACTATGGCCCAGTCCTTCACCACTTCTACCTGAGACCTGAGTCTAAGCCAGCAACCGGTGTACGGGCAGCAGGAGTGTGGCATGAGTCCTGAGACCGTCCACATGAAGTGAGCATGGAGAGAGATCATGCCCAAACTCCTCTCATGCTGCTGGTGCACTGGTCGGAAAATGGACAAGACAGAATGGACCGTAAAAGAGGTGGCGGCTCAGGTGAGGCATTCGTCTGCTTGGGGAAATCAGATTATTCCTCAGATATTGAAATCGGGACATTATCAAGGGCCATCCACTTTGACAGGCATGTGTGCCATTGGGAGGATGAACTGTAAAGCTATCTGAAGAAGAAAAATAAGATATGCCAGAAGAATGAGTGCCGGGAAGGAGGGGGGTGGTCAACCATGCCCGTAATTGATTTAGGGTTGCCCTAAATTGTTTATTTGGGGTATCAGGTTGATTGTGGGGACCGCACACTGGGAAATGAATTGTAATTTAGACTAAAAATGCATTGAGATATCGATCTGTCATTAACATGTCACTTGCGACAGTGTAAATCAGGGATAAACGGTGGCCGTGATGAGAAAAGTTAATGCTGGTAATATAAGTAGAACATACTGTATATATATTTCCCCATCTGTAAATGTACATTCTGCCAGTGTCGGTGTGTGCGCTAAGTTGAGGGTCTTGAATTCGAGTGATAGACTCAACGTGAAGCATTAAGGACTGTCATTCTAAATTTGGGTTGGATAATTTATATCAATAGTTCTAATTATGATTCGGAAAGGAGAGAAGGAGAGAGAGAGCGCTGCCCCTAAGCTGTGAGGAGAGCACAAAGTGAGGGGAGGGTGCACTGCTCACCCGGCAAGTGGTTTCCGAAACTAATTAAATATTTGTAAGAATCCATTGAGTCTAGGGAGGGTTTCCTCCCAGGAAACCTTATCTTTCGTGTCCTCCAAGAGGGAGGTTATCAGAGAACTCACTAGATGGTAGCTTGGGCTAACCATAATGGGGACATTGATAGTAGGGGCTTTGTTTTACCATGCTATCAGAATCCTAATGTTAAAGCGCATCAATACGGCTTTCTGGATGATACAGTCCAATTAATTACTTACAAGGCTCGTAGTCTGCGTCTTGCTTTGACACCCGAGGATGAAGAAGACTGGGTAAAAGTGAGTGGAATAACCAACAGGGAACTAATTTTCATTGGAGCCCAGTGAAGATCTAGCATCCCATTGGCACAGAACAGAACGGAGGGACGGTCCTTGCCCCAATCTCATTCTCATCAAGGGTGGTGTGAAATTGTTTACCATGTATTCTTTCTCTTCCCTGTTCAACTCAATATGTTTTCTAGGTGGCATGGAACATGTGAGCGATCATTGTTCCAGATGAGGATTGTTGGAAACGGACTAATTGACTTGAACACGTTTTAATGTTTATAACTATATAACTGGACTAGCAGTAGTGATTAACGTGTTATGGGTTAGATGGAATTATTCATGTGCAAATGTATTTGTGGCCGGAGGCAAAGTACATAGGGGGCTTGTGTCTGAGACAATGTTTCAATAAGGGTGTTAGTTGCAGATTATGGCAGGACCGATATCAGTGCATTCAATGGAGTCCCAAAAACCAAGGCGTTAACGTTACAGGGAATTGGGAAAGCGGAATTGAATATGACTGGGCCGGAGATTTGCGTGACTCATAGATTCAAGAAGTTGGTAATAGAGTCTCTGGGGAATGATACTACTCCTCTGTATATAGTAATACAGGGGATAGCTTGTGGTAGAGGAAGGACAGCTAATTGTGCACAATATAGAAACTACTATGAAGACAAGTTGAACGTCACGCATACCCAGATCATGGTGGGAGTAGCAGAGATAGTGTTAAAAGGAAAGTGTCAGAAGGTTGCTGCTTATCAACCGTTGGGACCCAAAGTTTACACTGTAACAAGGGTGTTCACAAAGGGGTGGGGTGTAGTTCGGCCTTGGGATGAGAGATGTGTACCTAACCTGAGCACAGGGAAGTATTATCCACAGATACCGACTGTAGCAGAACATAGGATGTCATTGGAGATGTTGGTGGCTAGAAAGTCGGGTAGGAGTTGGGAGACAGGTAGGGAGTACCTGAAAGATTCAGTCGCAGATCTATCGGTGAACCACAAGGGCAATAGGAGATCAGGAGCAGGAAACAGATTCAATGCAATAGATATTCTCACAGCAGTCGCTGTAAGGACAGCAACTGAAGGATGCTATATTAACAGCATGGAACTGGACTACGGAGCAAATGAGGGGTATCTTGAAGTATGCATCATTGGCAGTGTTAGTGGTAGCATGGGTTACCTTGTTAGCATTGCTGGGATATCACCTTCTGAAGGCGTTGAAACGCGTATACAGTGCTGATTTACCTCAAGATGAGGTAGTTGATTAAGGCCACCACATGTGTATATTGGGTGGCCATGGAGGGAGAAGGAGGAGATGGGGGAGAAAGTGAGGATGATATGGAGCGGGAACACCTTTTGTAAACTAATGGGGAAGACTGGGTACAAGTATGAGGTGGTGTTTATAGCCTTCATTTTTGTGGACCCCAGCAGAACAGTATCCCAAAGGTATAGAGTCAGACTAAGGGAGAGTGGGAATCGTCATGTTATCAAACTTTGTTTTTCATTTAATTATGCATAGCTTAAAGCATTATTAATACTTATTATATTTAGTGTTTTCTTTTTTGCTATCACTCTCTTAGGAACCTGAAGGAGGAACTGGAGAAAGTCACCATGAGCAGAGCGCATGCAGAGCGAGCTGCGCACAGGGATCGAGTGACAGACAGAGAAGAGCAGCTAATGGATTTACTAATGGAGGTTATTTCTGAAGTCGGACCTTAAATTTGCCAGAAGCAATTGGGCCTGGGTAGGGTAGGGCCTGAACGTCAAGGGCATAGGTAAGGTTCAGTCTTAGAATTAATGCCTGTGCAGGGCTCTACCCTACATAAAGTAATGAACTTACTAATAAACTTTATGATGTGTTAATTAAGGTGAAGTGTACCATCATTGTGCTTCAGAGTGCTGTTTATGAGCTACTGGTCTACCTTTGGGTGTTTTTCTTACCTGTATGGGAGAGATAGCAGCAGCGGGTGGGGTTTTCAGAGGGCTGGGGCTGAGAGGTGTACGGGCAATCGTTGTGTTAACTGCTGGCACGGCTGCTGTGGGGGAGGTTGGGACAGGGCCTGCAGTGGAGGCGTTGTCAAAGCTCTTGATAAGGGTCTTGACGGTGGGAGAGGGCTCAGAGGAGGTAGAGGAGCGTCGGCTGAGACCCATGCCCTGCCTAAGGGCAGCTAGGTCCCTCTCAACCGCATTCATGTAGTTATATACCCTGCCCCTCTCCTCATCCTGCCTATAGAGACAGATAACATATCGTCAATGTCTTTGACACAGGGAGAGATTGGCACACACACACTAAGACCACATACTTCTTGAGCTCCTCCAGCTCTTTGCTCATCTTCTCATTCTTCTCCTGTGTGTCCAGTAGGCGGCGCCGCAGATCCCCAATCTCCTCCTGAGCCTCGGACTTGATGTCATTAGCGATGACCACCGCCGTCTGCAGGTCGGCCTGAAACTGACGCCACTCCATAGACTCCTCCTACAAGGGGAGATATGAACCGGACATGGACCCAGGTGAAAAGTAGTGCATTACATTTACGTCATTTAACAGACGCCCTTATCCAGAGCATTATATGGAATAGGGATGCACCCACGGGCTAATGCTAAGGACCAGCAGACCAATTTTCATTATGACTGTGAAATATCTTCACTGGATGTTCAATACAAAGGGCAACTTTCTGCTAAATGACTAAAACAAAACAAAACATAAAACAAACTTTTAGCTGAGATATAGCTGAGGCACAGGACTCCATATTCCTCTAGCTCCCCAAACTTACCCGTAGCTTTCGATGCAGAATCTTGATCTCACGCTCCATGTCATGTTTTTGGTCCTGCAGTTTTTTGATGGAGTCTAAAAGAAAAAGAGAGAATGAATAATTAAATGAAATAATTGAGATGGGATAAACTATCTGACTAGGCTGTGTAATAATGGTCCCACATCGCCACCTGGTGGTCACACATCAGCTTTATCATTGGTTCATGATTCAGTATTGGCCCAGCATCGTTGGAGAGCTGTGGCTGTCCCAAATGGCAACCATATTCCCTAAATGGTGCACTACTTTTGACCAGAACCCCATGGGCCTTGATCGAAAGTAGTGCACTACGAAATGAATAGGATATAGGGTGTTCACTCATAAAATTATTAATTAATTCAAGGTTTATACAAATATGTCCATTCAATAGAAAATTCTGTCAGAAAAACAATAGTCCAAACCTCATGTCTCTACCATACAGTACATTTGGAAAGTAGTCAGACCCCTTGACATTTTCAACATTTTGTTACATTATAGCCTTATTCTAAAATTGATTAAATTGTTATTTTTTTCTCATCAATCTACACACAATACCCCATAATGACAAAGCAAAAACAGGTTTGTAGAACTTAAATATCACATTTACTTAAGTATTCAGACCCTTTACTCAGTACTTTGTTGAAGCACCTTTGGCAACAATTACAGTCTCGAGTCTTCTTGGGTATGACGCTACAAGCTTGGCACACCTGTATTTGGGAAGTTTCTCCCATTGTTCTCTGCAGATCCTCTCAAGTTCTGTCAGGTTGGATGGGAACCGACGATGCAGTTATTTTCAGGTCTCTCCAGAGATGTTCGATCTGGTTTAAGTCCGGGCTCTGGCTGGGCCACTCAAGGACATTCAGAGAGTTGTCCCGAAGCCACTCCTGCATTGTCTTGGTGTGTGCTTAGGGTCGTTGTCCTGTTGGAAGGTGAACATTTGCCCCAGTCTGAGGTCCTGAGCGCTCTGGAGCAGGTTTTCATCAAGGATGTCTCTGTATTTTGCTCCGTTCATCTTTCCCTCGATCCTGACTAGTCTCCCAGTCCCTGCCGCTGAAAAACATCCCCACAGCATGATGCTGCCACCACCATGCTTCACCGTAGGGATGGTGCCAGGTTTCCTCCAGACTTGACGCTTGGCATTCAGGCCAAAGAGTTCAATACTTGGTTTCATCAGACCAGAGAATCTTGTTTCTCATGGTCTGAGAATCCTTTAGGTGCCAGCTCTAGGAAGAGTCTTGGTGGTTCCAAACTGCTTCCATTTAAGAATGATGGAGGCCACTGTGGTCCTCTGTAGCTCAGCTGGTAGAGCACGGCGCTTGTAATGCCAAGGTAGTGGGTTCGATCCCCGGGACCACCCATACACAAAAAATGTATGCACGCATGACTGTAAGTAGCTTTGGATAAAAGCGTCTGCTAAATGGCATATTATTATTCTTAGGGACCTTCAATGCTGCAGAAATGTTTTGGTACCCTTCCCCAGATCTGTGCCTCGACACAATTCTGTCTCGGAGCTCTACGGACAATTCCTTCGACCTCATGGCTTGGTTTTTGCTCTGACAACTGTGGGACCTTATATAGACAGGTGTGTGCCTTTCCAAATCATGTCCAATCAATTGAATTTACCACAGGTGGACTCCAATCAAGTTGTAGAAACGTCTCAAGGGTGATCAATGGAAACAGGATGCACCTGAGCTCAATTTTGAGTCTTATAACACTTACGTAAATAAGGTATTTCTGTTTTTTACTTTAAATAAATTTTTCCCCCTCATCAATCTACACACAATACCCCATATGTATTAAATCAATTTTAGAATAAGGCTGTAACGTAACAAAATGTGGAAAAGGGGAAGGGGTCTGAATACTTTTCTGAATGCACTGTATATGGTTCAAAAGTTAACAGCGATTTACTCTGAGAATATAGCATGTTTAGAGTGAATGGAATGTCATCACAGGCACGATCAAAAAGTGGTCACTGCTCAATAGAACTGTGGCGCTGCTCCACGGCAGAACGGTACTAACTTCGAACGTCAACTGACAAGCTTGAGTTTGTGAGTGAAAACATCGGCATTTTCTAAATGTAATCCGCTGATACAAAACTAAATAGAGACTAAATATATATTTATTTACAAAGTCAATATCCACCCTCCGCGAAGACAATCTGTTCCTGTTTATATTGTGTATTTCTGAGTCTTTCCCTTTAAATCGCCATAGAAATGGCCCCTCTCAAGTAGATTGATCGCGGTTATAGGCAATGAAAGCCAAGGATCTGGAGGTGAAAATGACGAAGGCATCAAGTTGATTTTTCCAACCAGCGGAAACACCTCCAAATGGTACCACCTCACATCACCAAATATGGAAGATATACAACCAAGAGCGGCAATGGTCACAGCAAATTAATGTTCTTATTTCATCAACATTGTCAAGTACAAGTATATTAAGGTTATAATATTGTAGAGAACAATCTAATGATTCATTCTATGTCATTTATAATGACATAGGGCAAAGAAAACAACGTTTTGACATTAATTTCGTAGCACCCTCTTGAATTGCTCAATTTTTCTCTATATTGTACAGCAGTGAGTGAACGCCCTATAGCAGGACTGCCCAACCCTGTTCCAGGAGAGCTACCGTCTTGTAGGTTTTTGCTCCAACCCTAATCTAGCACACCTGATTCTAATAATTAGCAGGTTGATAAGATGAATCAGGTTAGTAACACCTGGGGTTGGAGCGAAACCCTATAGGAGGGTAGCTCTCCAGGAACAGGGTTGGGCAACCCTGTCCTATAGGATAGGGTGCAATTTGGGATGCAGTCATGTCAATCCACCACTCACTCTCCAGGTCTGTGATCATGAGGTTGTCGTGGAGTTTGATGGCTCGGTGTTGCTCCACTTCGTCCTCCAGCTCAAAGATGGTCTCCTTCATGTCCGAGACCTCTGTGTCCCTCTCCTCCAGCTCAGAACACTGCTGGGCCAGGGCCCGCTTCTGCTCTGCTAGCTGCTTCTGTACCTCATCACGAAACGCACGGAAGTTCTCCTCCAGCTGATGGGTGAATGGGATGCATAGGTGTATGCATGAGCACACGTGTCATATACATTTATACATTCATACATACCAACATATGAATTGGGTGAAATACTAACAAAAATATCCAAGACTGATGGAGAATCTGAAATGAAAGCATGTTTAAATATGAGAACGTGTGACCTTGCTGATGCCGTCCTCCAGCCTGGCGGCCTCGTTGCGGGTGTGGTCCAGCTCCTCCTGCAGCTGAGCAGACTCGGCCTCTGCCCTCTCCTTGTCCCTCCTCTCGCTTTCCAGCATGTGGCGGATGTCCGTCTTATCCCTGGCATTGTGGATGGAGTAGAGCTCAGCCACCCTCTGTCTCTCCTGCTCCAGCTGGGCCCTGCATCGAGCCAGCTCCGCCTGCTCCCCCCCGGCCGCCTCCCTCAGGACCTCCAGCTCTGTGGCCGCGGCTGCCCTCTCCCTGCGCTCCATCTCAGCCTGCCGCTCCGCCATGTGCACCCGCTCCTTTAGCGCTGAAATCAGGCCCTGGGCCTCTGCGTTGTCCTGCTCGGCCATTTTCAGCGCCCCACTCAGGTGCTGCTGCACCCCCAACAGCTGCTCCCTCTCGAAGTGGGTGCCATCAGTCAGGTCCACGTAGCTGCGCTCCAGCTCCAGGTAGCGGCCGCTCTTAATGTCCTCCTCGTCGACTGGGGCATAGGTCACGCGGTGCTCGTCCAGCAGGCCCCGGAAGTAGTCCATCTGCCGGCCGTACAACTCCAGCCGGTCGCCCTGCTGGCACAAAGAGTCCACCAGGATGGCCCGCTCCTCGCCCAGCCGCTCGTTCTCTGTGCTTAGTTCCTGAGTGATCTGCTGCAGGTCGGCCAGCTCCTGTAGTGTGGCCTGGAGCTCCTCAGAGGTGCAGTGCTGGTTCTCCTCCATCTGGTGAATGCGCTCCGTTAGACAGGCCACCGACGCCTCGCTGGTGTTGCCACTGCTGCCTCTGCTGCCTCTACAGGAGCGCTCGCCGTGATTCGGTGGCCCGCCCTCTGACTCGGAGGAGGAGGAGCAGCAGGCAGAGGCAGAGCCAGAGGGAGCGTCCAGGGCATCATCGCTGGAGGTGATTGGCTGGTAGGCTTCACTGCACTCGCTGTCGGCCGCCTCAGGGGAGATAGCTTGCCGGGGGTCCAGAAGGTCTTCGTTGGAGCTGCGGGCAGAGCCGTGTGGGGAGACCCCATGTAGAAAAGAGGCCCGTGGGAACCCTCCATCTCTGCCACTGCTGGCTGGGAGAAGCTCTGGGCTGAGGCAGGGGCCTCGCAGGGCTTTGAGGGGGCAGTCCAGCCTCTGCTCCAGGGAGAAACCCAGGGCATTGAGGCGGTCCTTCAGCATGCGGTTCTCACTCTTCAGCATGTTCAGCTCCCCGCGGATCCCCTGGTTCTGGTCCTGCAGCAAGAGCAGGGTGGACTCAACGTCTGTAGAGATGAGTGGAGTAGGGTCTTCTTTCTCCTGTTCTTGTAGGGGCTCAGCCTCAGCAGTCTCCTCTCCCTCACCCCTCTCTCTGCTCCCCCCATCCTCCTCCGGCAGGCCTAGCTGGAGACAGATGCCCCGCAGCTCTGTGCGCAGGTGGAGGATCTCCACGTCTTTGCTCTTAGCCAGGCCCAGCAGGTCCTTCACCCTGCTCTCCAGGACCGTCTTGTTGCTGAGCTGCCCGTCCGACCTGGACTTGCTCATATGGGACTCGGACTCAGTCATGGCCCGGCTGCGGACTCTCTTGGGCGGTGCCAAGGCGTCCGAGGGTCCGGAGAGCTTCCTGCTGGCGGTGCCAGTTCTGGAGCGTTCTCGCAGGCCCTCCCGGGATGAACCGGGCTCCTTCACCACCGAGGAGGTCCCACGCTTGCCTAAGGAGTACAATACAGCACGTTATTGAAGGTCAAGAAGTTGGGTTAGAGCTAATCACAAACCAGAATATATAATCTGTAAATAGCTCTATGGTTGATGTACCTGAGCTGGTCTTTGTCTTGCCCTCTGTGTTACTGGTACCTGTAGTGGAGGAGGTTGAAGAGTGGGCAGAGCTAGTCTTCTTGGCCTTAGCAACAGTGCTGATCCCAGCAGAGGCTCCACTGCCTACTGTTGTTGCTGATGGCAAGTCATCACTGCTCTTCGCCTAGCCAAAGAGAAAGATGACAGTTAACACACCACCTATTGGACCTATAAAGATAATCGGCTTCCATGGTTGTTCTCAGCATGTAGCCAAAGTGCTCGCAAGGTTACTTGCTTGTGCCTTCTGCATTTGTACCTTAGAGAGTGGTGCGGTGGCGGAGGTCTTGGCTGTATTCCTGCCAGCTGTGCCCATGGTAGCGCCCTCAGGCTTGACTCTCTCCCCAGTCTGGGCCTTAGTGCCTGCTGTCGTGGCTTTGGATATGCCAGCCACTGGCCTGGTCGCCTTCCTCATACTGGGCTCTAGGTTTCTCAGACATTTACAATGCAATCTGTGTGGAACAAAAACACACAGGAGGAGTTAATAACAGGATGAGGTGGTAACACGTGCATGCATCAGAGGGTTTCTTGTTTCTCAGTCAGAGGAAAAACGATTATTATTATGCCGTAATTAACGTCAGTGAACAACCTCTTACAACTAACATAAATACTAAACCCACATAAACGCTTAGCCTACAACTACAAGAGTTATAGTATGCAGCTCAACAGTCTAAATACTAGTTTGTGAATCATTCATTTTAAATCAATTACCAGAATAACCAATTAGCCTAGATTGCCTTTTTTAAAATCCAGTTAGTTACCTGATGCCTGTGGCAGTAGTTTTCTTGGGAGAACACATGGTATGTCATCTATGGTCTAGCTATTAGCTAAGGAGATGCTGACTTTACAGTTCTCCCGTGCTGTAGTCGAGGCTATTTTATGTTCAAACGCCAGCCAGCACTACCTCCTTCTCAGACACTGACTCACACAGATCACATGGAGGGAACGGTCATTGGATGCAGATTTGAAAGCACACAAGGCGTGTGACTGGAGGTCTCAGGCATGTAGCTAGCTGCCTCTTCTCACAACATCACACGGTGGTTGTACTGTGGCTGCAGCAGCAGCAGTAACGGGGTTCTGGGCAGGCCAGTAACGGGGTTCTGGGCAGGCCAGTAACGGGGTTCTGGGCAGGCCAGTAACGGGGTTCTGGGCAGGCCAGTAACGGGGTTCTGGGCAGGCCAGTAACGGGGTTCTGGGCAGGCCAGTAACGGGGTTCTGGGCAGGCCAGTAACGGGGTTCTGGGCAGGCCGACTGGGCCTTGAGAGGCATGAGGAGCCCAGACAATGAGAAGAAACACTCACTTCAGTCAGAACATTTCGCTTTCATTTCACTACTACACATTGGCTTATGTCTGAGATGGCGACCCTCTTTTTCTTCAAGATAAGACTGATTATTCAAATTGATCAGGCTACTCGTCATCACCTACAATGAATCACATATTGCCTGCCTGACGAACAGTCAGTAAGTCCCCCATTCACAGATCAGTCTATTCATACCACAGATAAAGCTTGACCATTATAACCACTACCCTGCAATAGCACGCAAGATAGCTTTGAACATTTTTACAAAGACAGGTATACTCATAGTAACCATAACATTTCCTCTCCCCAGCCCCCTTCCCTTATCTTTGAACTTGATCCGTTTGAACAGTAGACAAAGCAACTAGATGTCTAGAGACACACCAAACCTAACAGACAGCTGCCCACCCACATGGATCAGTGACTGAGTTGGGGCATCCAGTAACAGGGAGTATCCTTGTGGTGCATCATGTTCAAACAACAAGAGGCTAGACGTCAACAACACCCTGAGTCAAGACAGTTTCTAGAAAGGCTTACTGAGGATGCAGTCAGAACTTGTGCAAAAAGACCAGTCAGACTCAGAATTGGTGGCAGAAGTGAAGAAGAAAAACACAGTCTTTCAGGCTCCTTCTGTAGAGTGAAGTATATGATCAAGTATTAAGCCCCAGTACCAGAAGAATTTAGCCTAGTCTAATAGTTTTAACAAAAAAGAAAATACATAGCCTAAGCTACAGTAAATAAACATCCTAGGCTGGCCATGGTGAGCTTTATGATATTAGTACCAGGGGTTCGGGGTAGAAATATTTTCGCTGAAGATGGATCGGACAATAACAGACTAGAAAATGATAAGATAGCTGGAATTCTGGAGTTGAAGAGTAGAGGGGGATGGGACGACAGGGTAATAACCCTCAGTATGCACTAGCATAACTCAGTGTTGTTTGTAGGACATACTCCCTCATATCAAATTTAGAGAGTAACACACACATCGGAACACATATAGCCAACTCAGGAATTTTAAAGGGCAGTCAGATACCAGATGTGTTTCTGTTGTTTCAAGTCCATGTGTTAAAAAGCTTTACCTGTAAAAAAAAAAAAAAAAAAAGATACATAAAATGCAACTGTTGTTCTGAAATATAGCCTATTCTTTTAAAGCTTTCTCAATGCACTCTTAGCCTACAACTTGAATCAGTTGCCTATGATTAAAATCAAATTGGAAGATAATATGATCACAGTGGACAGCCCAAGGGTGAGCCAGAGTCTAATGACTGACCCTGACCTTGAATGAGCCACTGACTGGGTAAAAGTCTGAGCTTAGGCTGGTGTATTTGGATCCCCACTGAGTCTGACTGACTGTCATTTCCTAATGACCTAATTAAAGCCAAAACTAAATCAGACCAGATAGATACTGGAGGAAGTGAGGGGTGACTATGAATGCATAGTATGGTTTGTACAAGACCTATATAGATTGGTGCAGCTGAGGGTGGAGACCAGACAAACGTTTGACACAATCACCAGGAAACAATCCTGATAACTAGAGAGCAGAGAGAGACAGAGGTCTAGAGGACAAAAGGTTGTATTGGAGGGGAGAAATTGTTGATATGTGGAGCCGGAAGAAAATTGGAGAGTAGCAGAGCAGATTAATGATACAAACAAGTTGGTTGATGACTAACAGAATGAGCATGACTGTCTCTCACACAGGACAGTAACAACTGCTTGTAGGCCCTAACCCTGCTGAATACCACAAATTAACCTCGTTCACTATGTCATGGGTATGAGGCGGGCAGGTTTTCAAAACACTGCTGTCTGTTTTAAGAGAGCAGCTGCACCATTATTTACAGCACCAGATGGCTCCTGACAGATCTCCTATCATATCAAGGTTTAATGGGCAGAACACTGTGTTGAGCATCACAGAAGAGGAATACATAAAGAATATTGTCACGAAAGCCAGAACATGCACAAGGCAAGAAAAACCTGATTTCAGTGTTTCCTCTATATGCATTTAGCAGCGGCGCTGATTCACTGTCCATGCTACAGCTATGTAGATAGAGAACAAGCCTAAGCTACATTTGCTGCTCCACAATACATTTAGGCTGACTGTGTTAATGCATACAGTGTGAGAGAATAAAACCATACGCTGACTGGATAGTCTATTGCCTCAAATTCCTCATCTTGCTCCTAAAAACGATGCCCCTATAACAACACTGGCCCTCCTCTCTTCTCCTTTTCCACATAGCTTTAATAACACAAGCTGAAACCCCTTCCCCCATGTCCAGGGACTTCACGCAGGTTTGGAGGAATGTTGGGGATATTTGGGGACATTGTGTGGCCCGGAATGTGCTGCAGGCAGCAAAAGTCAATACCAGTTGTCTGCTCAATAAACCGTGTTAATTGCTTGCCAGACTGTGATTTTTACTGCACCATGTCAAATGATCCTTCATGCCAGTTACTATTTATTAATATCAATCTATTCCAGTTCTTATCAGGGTGCATAATGGCACTAGAAGTAGCCTAGCAGCAAACTAATAAGGCTTAGTGTGACATGTAATGGAACACAACACAAGTCACTGGCAGTGCCAATATATATTTGGTGGTGGAAGCTAAATGAGTATGACTACTTAAGAGATAAATCTCCTTCACATAGTGTGAAACATCATCACATGCATGATAAATAGTTTGACAGGTTACATGGCTGGAGTATGATGTCAACACTATTCGGACTTTATGCAATGTGATAGTATGGCTGCAATAGAATTGTGTCTCTAATCAGACACACAATTTGGTCAAAATTTGTAGATTTTTTTGTTGCATTTTAGCTAACCCTAACCCTTCTCTTAACCTGCTAAATTACGTTGTGTGTCCCTTCTAGACAACACCCTCCACTAGGACTCAGAGCACAGATTAAACAAGGAGCTAACGTTAGAGGGTTACTTGTAGTCATAAACATCTTTGTTAGGAGGGGAGGGAAGTAGCTAGCTAGTTAACGAAAGTAAAAGACAACGGTAATGTTATTGTATTTTGTTATCTAGCTAGCTATTTAGTTACCTAATTAGCTAGTTAGGTAAATATGTTGTATTGTTTCCATACATTGTAATGATCAGATACTGCTGGCTCGATTAAGTTACTGTAGCTCGCTAACGCGTTCGCTAGCTAACAACGTTCCATGTAGCTAGCTAGTTACACACAAGGAAGCAATCAAAATTAGAAAAACGTCTAAAACATTTTACCTGGAATTCTTTGGTAGAGATACTCGAATGACTCGGATACCATCGGTTTGAAGTTACAATATGCAGAGATTGGTAATGTCATGCACTCCATCCTCGGCGTCCTGCCCTTGCTCTTGCTCTTCTCCATTGACAGGACACAGCATGAGCGAGCGTTCCCGATTACAGCTTGGAATTGTGGGACGTCGCCTGACAGATCCCTCTCCATCTCCTTTTTGGAATGTAGCAAATGATACAGTGGGGGACGTTATGATGAAGGGCCTAGGCGTTGTCTGCTGCACATTTTCAGCTATTTCTTTGATAATAACGACATGTAGTGAATCTGTGATGTGGTGATATGTCTGCGATCTTTCAAATCTAGTAGGGTCCTGGTCAAGATATGCTCAATTTAAGATATAAGGCATTGCCACATTTTTACATAGATACAGGAGATTTTATTTAACATTGTGTACAAACAGAGGCTGCAAATGCCTTCCAAACATTTATTTCCCTCAGACTACAGTATCCCTTTTTACAGAACCATAACATAACACGTATGTTGACCAGAAGAAAATAAATCTAAATTGAAAAACAGAAAAAATGTACATTGTATTTTTTAGGGGATGACCAGCAAGTACCATCATTTTAGCTTCATTCTGTAACTAGAAAATGTGGAATAAAACACACATATTCCCAAGAAGATGTCAAAATATGGTTTCAGGTCATTTAAAATGCGTGTAATATGGGAGTGAATTATAATAAACTATTGCCAGGCTCATGTCAACTTACAAGGACTGAAATAATGAATATTCATTCCACATACAGTATGCATACACTGAAATGCTAAAGTCATACATAGAGTAATATATTCCATATTTTTAGACTTTAAAACATTGTACACATATTTAGAATAATCTTATGTTGACATATATTACTTTTTTATGAAAGAGGCAGGGTAAGCGACTAGCCCTATGAAATCACACTGACAATCAATAACCAAGTTCTCTTTCAGTTGAAGCCTAATTATTCAACTGTTTTATTAATATGATTTATCCTAAATGTATTGCCCAAACTTTGATGAACATCACAATAAATAAACCTAAGAACCCAATGTCTCTAGTATGATACATACAGTACATATTGTACAAGCATAACACAAGGTTAGAGAGATTACTAATCTATATAAACTCAAATAACCTTAATCTTTCCTTGCAAAGATTTTCCAAACCACAGAAAATGTCCTAAAGCATCACAGTGGACAGTCTGGAGTAAACCCAAAAGGAACTGAAAGTGCAAGCCCC